TGTGTGTGTATGTGTGGGTGGGGGCAGATTGCAAGAGCTGTCATTGAGCCAGGTGGCGTGGTTTCGATTCCCCACTTGTGCGTGACAAGGAGGGTAGGGTCGCCTGTCCAGTCTCGTGGATTTCCCTGGATTCTCCGATTCATCCCTTGATTCCGTGAAACAAAAAACATTTGCCACCAAAGCTGGTTTGGGTGCTTTTTGATGCAGCATGGGCTTACCCCTTGTTTATTGAACCCACGAACGCCGCCTCGAATCCGGGTGCTAGGAACTTTGCGGTAGTATAACTCGATACGCCAACATAGAAAGTTAATGAAATTTGGCATGTTCATAAACTATCCATCTGTCGATGTGGTGCAATAAAGATTTCGGAGCCACCAAAGCTAGTGTAGAAGTTATTACGTGCGCAGTGAGCCTACCCTAACCCAATTCTCCAATATTTTAGAATGTTTACGGTAATATATCCCGAAACGCCATCATAGGAGCCTTCTGCAATTTTGTATTCTAGTAGTTTATTCATCTCTTGATTCCGTGAAACAGAAAACATTTTCCCACCAAAGCTGGTTTGGGTCGTTTTTTGATGCGGCGTGGGCGTGGGCGTGCCCGTTGTTTATTGAACCCACAAACTCCGCCTCGAATCCGGGTGCTAGGAACTTTGCGGTGGTATAACTCGATACGCCAACATAGAAAGTTAATGAAATTTGGCATGTTCATGCCATATATGCACCTGCCCAGTTGCTGAAATAAAGATATTGCAGCCACTAAAGCTAGTTTAGAAATTATGGCGTGCGAAGTGAGCCAACCCTAACACGATTCCCTCATATTTTTAGTATGTTTACGGTGATATATCTCGAAAAGCCAGCATAGGAAGCTTCTGAAATTTTGTATTCTAATCACAAAAATGTGTCAATCAGTTATTCGAACATTATTCAAACTATAATCGCTTAAAGAGAGGTGTCGCTTGGTGGCTTAGATTGAAAAACATTTTGTATTTGAAGAGCAAGAAATGTGAAATACCCAAAGAAAAACTTATAACGGCATTTTAGAATCTACTGAAATCGAAACTGCTGAAAGTGAGATAATCAAATTTGTACAAAGAGAACATTTTCCCAGTGAGTTAGAAGCTTGTGAAAGAGACAAAGTCGTAAATGTTGGTAGTGACATTTCAAATTTGGATCCATTTGTTAAGAACGAACCATTATGTGTAGGTGGGCTTTTACGCAATGCAAAAATTCCTGAAAGTGCTAAACATCAAATGATCTTACCCAAGAACTGTCATGTTTCAAAATTAATCGTGAGGCATGCACATGCCAGTGTATACATCAGGGACGAAATCATACTTTATCCCATTTAAGACAAAAGTACTGGATTGTTAAGTCTGGTGTGTTGGTGAAGGACTTTGTGAACAAATGTGTTATTTGCAGGCGACAACATCAACGCAAAGGTATTCAAAAGATGGCTGACTTACCAGCTAATCGTTTAAGGCCTGATGAACCCGCTTTTACATGTGTAGGCATTGATTACTTCGGACCGCTGGAAGTAAAGATTGGTCGATGGTCGATCTGTGAAGAAGAGATACGGTGTCGTGTTCACATGTTTGTCTTCTAGAGCGATCCACACTAGACACTATTTCATGCATAGATGCCCTTAGGCGCTTCATAGCGCGAAGAGGTTCAGTGAAAGTGATATATTCTGATAATGGAACCAATCTGGTTGGTACCTACAACGAACTAAAGGAAGCCTTGAAAACTTTAGATCAACATAAACTTAACCGATTTGCTTGTGAATTAACTGTAGGACTGTGAATCTTCAACCCTTAAAAGTGACTGTGACTTGGTGAACTCTCAATCTGAATTAACGATTTTTTTTTTAGAAATACTTTATGTATATGTACTTGATAATTAATGATTTCTTTAATTTCAGAACTTTCCTGTTGAGCTACTCTTTAGATAAGAGACTGTGGTGTTAATTCAGTTTATATTTTAGATATAATAGATGTATACATATATCTAATTGTATTGTACGTAGACAATTACAATTCGATAGGGGCCGGAATGTTATGTTTGAGTTTCATTATTTGGTACGAATTTGATGTCTTGTAACGAACTCGTGTAGTCTACATTTTTTTGTCTGTCAAGCGTCTAGTCAGTCAAGGCTATTGGCGGGACGCCTGCGCATTGGTCGAAGCAGCAGGCTTCACGTGTTGTGATCCAGCCATCATGGCTTGGTAGGGCCAGTCTCATATCGTTTTTTATACGCCCACATTTTCATGTGGACGTATTATGCCGTCGCCCCTGTCCGTCCGTCCGTCCACAATTGTTTGTGGACTCTCTACAGGTCACAATTCTTATCCGATTTCGACGAAACTTGAAATATAGGTTTATCCCCAAAAGATCTCCGCTGCTTTCGATATTGGCATGTATCGGATCGAAACTTCATGGATTATGGCCCCTGTTTGTACGAAAAATCACGTTTTTAGCTTGTGGAACCTATAGAGGTCACAATTTTTATCCTATTTTGTTGAAACTTGAAATGTTTTGCGCATATCGGACAGTAACTTCCTGAATTATGGTCCCTGATTGTACGAAAAATCACGTTTTTAGCTTGTGGACCCTATAGAAGTCATAATTTTTATCCGATTTAAAAAACCGTTCTATTATGTCACCGTTACACCCTAAGGATGACTGAGTTGGAATTCCATGAAAATCGGCCCAAAATTGACAGACAAAATGGTATATCAAGGTTGTGGACCCTCTAGGGGTCACAATTTTTATCCGATTTTGTTGAAACTTGAAATGTAAGTTTATAACCCAAAGGTCTCGGTTCCTTTTGATATTCGTGCATATCGGACCATAACTTCCTGAATTATGACCCCTGATTGTACGAAAAATCACGTTTTTAGCTTGTGGACCCTATAGAAGTCATAATTTTTACCCGATTTAAAAAAAAGTATTATTATATCACCGTTACACCCTAGGGACGACTGAATTCGAATTTCGTGAAAATCGGCCCAAAATTGACAGACAAAATGGCCGCCGTTCATTCTCAAATAGCGTAAAAATATGGTATATCAAGGTTGTGGACCCTATAGAGGTCACAATTTTTATCCGATTTTGTTGAAACTTGAAATGTAAGTTTATAACCCAAAGATCTCAGTTCCTGTCAATATTTGCCCATATCGGACCGTAACTTCCTGAATTATGGCCCCTGATTGTACGAAAAATCATGTTTTTAGCTTGTGGACCCATTAGAGGTCATAATTTTTATCCGATTTAAAAAAACGTATTATTATATTACTGTTCCACCCTAAGGACAGTTGAGTTTGAATTTTGTGAAAATCGCCCCAAAATTGACAGACAAAATGGCCGCCGTTCGTTCTCAAATAGCGTAAAAATATGGTATATCAAGGTTGTGGACGTCACAATTTTTATCCGATTTTGTTGAAACTTGAAATGTAAGTTTATAACACAAAGATCTCAGTTCCTTTCGATATATGCGCATATCGAATTGTAATTTCCTGAATTATGGCCCTTAATTGTAGGAAAAATTACTTTCTTGTTAGCTTGTTCTCTATCCATCTCTCGAAAATGTGGGCTTATCCTGCCTGGCAGCCGCTGGTTCAACGACAAATGGTGACGAACGGCGACAAGTGAAAACTATGTGATAGAATCTGTGAACTGGTGATACGGGAACATTGTGTAGCATTCGTGAATCATGCCAAGTGGGTTATGATGTGATATTCAGTGATAAACGCTATGTAAATCTGTCGTGAAATAGTCAAGACTGACAAGTTAGTCAACCGTGAAGATTTTATAAACATGTAGAACACTCTATAATGAACTAGTAAGTGAATCAAACAACTCAACTGTGAACTCTTTTATTTACATTTATTATTGTTTATATTTATATATGTAAATTAACTGTCTTGGACGTCATATAAATGCTTTCAAATTCAAGACTTTCTTGGTGTTGTTGACTGATTGTCTCCCTTCCATAACCACTTTGGGAATCAGACCACAATTTCTGTGATGAACTGTCGCTTACCCTAGTTACCAAATGTTGTGTCGATTAATGCTGTGGCACCCTACTAAGTCCATGTCTACAATAATAGTTTGTTCGGCTAGGGCCTATACTTTTCGTTGATAAAATGTATGTTTTATCTCTTTTTCGCGGAATTCTATGAAATAGCCATCTACACCCCTGTTGGGGACAGCCAACTTCGACACAACAGTATGATAGGACATAAAATAGATAGTGAGTAGGTACAACTTGGGACACAAGATGGCGTCTTTGTACACTTGACGTCATATTTTCATGATGTCACATGAAATTTCTGGCATCACAGTTGTCGCAACCCAGTCGGAGTAGGACGTTAAACCCCCATTTCATTTTATTTCAATACGTATCACTGTCAGATCCCGACTAAGATTGTGTTGCCCCCTGCACGTTTATTTTCCCAATGGCGGGCGAAAATTAGTGTTTTGGAAACAAGGCTAATTGAGATGACATTACGCGCTGGATGAAAATTCAACAGAATTGAAATTATATTACAAATGACTTGGGTGAAAATTAAAATTGACATGGGTGGTAATTAAAATTGACTTGGGTGAAAATTATAAAAAAACAAATTAAATTACAAATGACTTAGGTGGAAATTAAAATGAACTTGGGTGAAAATTGTAAAAAAACAAAATATATTAAAATTGACTTGGGTGGAAATTAAAATTGACTTGGGTGAAAATTATAAAAAAACAAATTATATTAAAATTGACTTGGGTGGAAATTATAAAAAACAAATTATATTAAAATTGACTTGGGTGAAAATTAAAATTGACTTGGGTGAAATTTATAAAAAAACAAATTATATTATTTTTCATGTCCCTTATCAGCCACCGTAGTAAGACGTGATATGACACGTTTTGTTATTTGGGGTGATAAAACACATATCAATAACCAAGAAAATAACGTATCTTTTTACCAACTATTCAGGAAATGGAGGAAAACTAAATTTAGAGTGATCCTGTATTAGTAGGGGTTTTTTTTCAAGTTCGACTAGATATGTCAAGACAAATAACTTCTGTTAATCTCACCAGTGGATGAGCACCTTGTGGTCAGGACATTAAGGTTGCTGATTGGGTAAGTTTAGTTTCTTGATCATCGAGGACGCCGCCGCGTCATAATATATCAAATAATTTTAATCAGATTGGCTAAAATATTTAAAACATATACTGGCTTCAAGTACATGTACATACGATTTTGATATGACCATTTTATCTGCTCTTTAACCATGGTGTTTTATAATTAGATAATAAATTAGACGAATAAAAGGCAAAAGGGTGCACCATATATATATATACCCTATAAATAAACGTGCACATACACAGACAGGAGCGACAGCAATATACGTCCACATTATAAATGCGGACGTATAAAAATGAAATGTAATTTAGCATCCTACTGTTTTGCAAATACCAGGATAAGGAAGACATATCAGGACTAACGTTTGATGCGTTTCAAAGAACACATTTAACCTTTATTCTAGAATATTTAGACTTTTAAGTAAAAGACTAGTACCGATAAGTCATTATTGTATGTTGCCTGGCAGCTCTGAATGTTGGAGAATGCCTTAAAGAGTAAAGTATTTTCACTATGAGACATAATTATATAAAAGAACCTTAACGTCAAAATAAATCCAAAACTATGTGTGAAGGGTTAATCTAAACAGGATATCTTGAACAGAGCATTCCGATAGCAAGTGACATCTGGCAGGCTTGTCAAATAAAGAAAGCACACTCTTCTTTGGCTTCTGATATGTAATATGTGCCCTGCATATGTGGGGTATGCTTACCTTTCCCTACAACACCCTATTTCATTTATAATTCAAGGAGTTCACACAGAAAACAATTTTTTGTTCTTTTGTTTTTATCCTGTACAATTCCTCCACTCATCAATCAGTTACATTGCATTTGAGACTGTACTAGAAGAAAATAAGTATTGACTTTTTATTTTCTGCTTAGTTTAAATCTCTACTGATTACACAGCCTTTATCCCCTGTATTAACACACTTGATTACCTTGCACTATTAACATCCTGTATACACTCCTGTACAATACTCAATCTTCTTATTTCTGACTGATTACATTTTGACAGATAGCTGTCTGTTATAATCAAGGATTTACAAGCCTATTGTACACGCTGACTTTGTAATAAATCAATTGATGCTTTTGCCCATCAGTATTCTTATTAAAAACGATATAGTGTTTAAAGTTGGATTCCTTCGAGTGTTTAACATCTTCTCGACCTTCCCCTCCTGGGTCTCCATTCCAACTGTCCATCATCTTCATATAATTTTAATAATAAAAATTCTAATTTAGGTTGTGGTACTGGAAAATGATATTCTTGTAATGGCACTTATCAAATCAAAAGTGAGGATCAAATGTGTTAAGTGAAAAAAAGATGTTGAAGCCACTGATCTTCATCTGGCGAATCACTTGCAAACTACAATATTGTGGAAGTTGAATCTCTCAAAAGAATATCAGTCCAAAAAAGGTTCAATCCCATTCAGATATCTGATGAATTAAAAAATTCTGCATCGTTAGGAAGCCAAGATCACTAGCAATCAAGGGTTCTTTGTAGGCTAATGGTTCTTTGTAGGGTAATCCGAGTGATCGGGAAACACTTTACCTGTCCGCTTTTGGCCACAAGCTCGATCGCTGTAGGAATCCAAAGAATCTCCCTTTTCAACATAACAAGATTAAAATCCTCTATTATATAAGTGATGCTATATTTTTAAAACTGTCTATTGGTGTAGGGAATCTTGAAAAATTTGATTTTGTTGGTAGAAATATTAAGAAAAGAAAAAAAAAAGGTCAGATTTTCCCCGCCGAAATCCACCCCGATATGTACGCGCCTGACTGGACAGTGATAATGAACTATAGAAACTCGACCTATTCTTTGCCATCACTCGAAAGACAACCATATAACAATGTAAGAGAACAAATTCAGATAGGACACCAGTCCAACAATCCGCTGAACACCCATCCACTCATCGGGACGGGTTACCAGTCGGAGCAAAAGCAGATCACCGACCGCACAAGGTTGAGGAAGTCCGTTCTAGCCCCGCTAAGATAAAAAAAAGACCTGACCAGTCAAGAATGAGGAAGCATGGTTTACAAATTATAAATAAATGACATGAACATACCGAGGATACCCTACTGTTGGAGAAAAAATAACTACATAGGTCGGGCCTATCCTCCACAACACCCCGGAATATGTACATGTTTATTTTAATTTCATTTACATTATAACTTTCAAGGTGTCCGCCGCTCTGTTTTACGATTAATGTCATACGATGTCTAAAATTGCGAATGACATCTTGACAAGTTTCTGCTGTTATTTTCCCTATTTCTCTCCTAATAGCTTATTTCAGTTCACTGATATTAGTTGGTGCATTTATAAACTCTATCTTTCAAATTGTTTTTGCTGTGTGTGAGGCAGTCCCATCTTGTTGGAACCAACATTTGGCCATTAGGTATCTCTTTGATGATAGCAATGGTAGAAATTTCGATCTTAAAATGTCAACATATCTATCAGACCTGTTACAGTCTCTCCATTTCCCTCGTAGAAAAAAAACCCCCAAAACAGGCAAATAATGCCAAAAGAACTTAATGCTGCTCACACATTTATTTTTGCACTGTGAAGTGCTTTTTCTCTGTACAGGTCTGGTTTTGGAGATCCCCACTTGTGAATATAAGATAAAATGAGGTTCATCTGAAAACCAGATAATTTGACATAGGTTGTCATGACTCTGGACAATCATCCATCTGGCAAAGGCAGATGTTGTTCTTCTGTCTCGGGTGGGTGACTGACTGGTGTCCACATGGAGTGCAAAATGAAAGTAACTAGTCAGCCTCCGCTATAGCAATCCAGTCTTGGGATTCCCAGGTTCAGCCTATGTAAATAACCCTAAAATGAGAATGGAGTATACAATGCACTTAGTCTGGGATGAGAGAGGGAGGGAGAGAGAGAGTGTTTAACTTCCACTGGTCTCAAACTAGGTCATAGATGCATAACACTTTTGTATAAAAACTTAGTTTTCTCTGCAACTATTAAATGCATTTATTTCAATAGTTTAACCTGAATCAAAATTTAAAAAAAACAAGTTATTGTGATTCTTTAATATACAAATATTAATCATTTAAACAAACATCTTATAAAAGATTACAAAAACATTTATATCACACTTGGATTGTGAACCTGGGTCCTGTTTCTCGAAATCTTAACTAAAGATAAAATCCAAATTTTAGTAGATACTTCAATTTTGATTGGTTAAGCACTACAACCAGTCTAAGATTATCCAATCAAATTACTAAAATTTGGATTTTATCTTAATTAAAATTTCGTGAAACAGGCCCCTGGAACATTACAAATTCATGGAACTGCAATCAAGTAACACAGCAGAATTAATGGCTGCAACAGTTCTGTTGGCACCCCAAAAACAAATGCTGGGTGTCTAATCGCCTGAAATTATCTTGTCAATTGTCACATTTTGTAGGATTAAGAGCATTCAAGCATGGAATTTAGTATCCCATGAGATAATCATCACTAGATTAAATCTGATTTATTATGATATTTATGTACATGAACAAAAATGGAGTAATTGAGCAAAATTATAATCTAGCCAAACATTTGAATCTATCAGCTCTGTTTGACATAAAATCACTATAACTCTGTTTTAATTCAATAGTATAAATCAAATAATGGTTCCAAACAGAGGAGTAATCCATTTTAATACTGGTGTCAAACAGCGGAGTAATCCATTGAAATAACTGAAAATTAAAGTCGACTTTGACGAGAATAACCATCAAATACTAAGTTAAAATTGGCATCTTCAGTTTGACTGGAATAACTCTCTGTCTTGTGATTTGTGGTAACTGGACATAAATCTTGTTGACACCATCTATAGATTAAACAAATATTATATTACAATAATTGTACACAAATTTCTACCTAATGCTAGGTTGCCACTGTTGTGCAATGTGTTACAATAGGATTGTCTCTATTGAGTACACAATCTGGTACGTGCAGATACATTGGGATACGTTTCGATATGCTACAACTGACCTCAATATTACTCCACGATTTCAATCGTAGTGCCAATCGTGATAGTGAGAATCGAGCATAAAGCCTGTTTTTGTACTGCTGTCGAGCAGGGAATTAATAAGTATCTAATCGTGATTGTGGGAATCTAGCATAAAATCTGTTTTGTACTGTTTTTGAGCAGGGAATTATTAAATATCTAACTAAACTATAACTAGTTAAAGATACATTATGTAAGATTTAGATAGAGAGAGAGAGAGAAATGGGGTTTAACGTCCACACGACACAAACTAGGTCATTTCGGAACTAACATATGGTTTAATTTCATTTCAATAATTTGCTTGCTCGTAGGGGTCTTTATCAGTGGGAGGAAACCGGAGGACCCGGAGAAAACCCACGAGGTTGGACAGGCGACCCTACTCCTTGTCACGTACAACCGGGGATTCGAAACCACGCCAGTTGATTCAATGACAGGCCTTATGATACAGCATGCACGTGCTAACCATTCGGCCATCCACCAACCCTTTAGATAAAGAGCTGGTCGTTCTTGCTATAATAGATCAAAAATGTATAATGCAAAATTAATACATTGAAAATTTCATTCAAATTACTTTATTCTGAGCAGTTATCAGTGTTTGAAGTTTTGACAAGATGTTGCATAGATTGTTTATTATCGTAATAATGGTACTTGTTATGCGTTTAAATATCCGTTATCCGATGGATTACAGAGTTGATTATAGGTTTGTCATGGGAATAAATGACTAAATAATACATTATATAACATTTGAAGCCAACATAAAGACCTGCAATAGCCATATTTAGCTCTTACATAATCTATGTTAAATTCCTAGGATATTAAAAAATCTGTAATGTGGACTTCACAGATTTCTTTCTGTAAGCGACTAGTTTTGGTCTAATTCGAACTCTTCAGGATTAATTGAGAATGTGCGACTGCCCCCTATATACAGTCGATGGGGACTGGATTATGTGTGATGTCACAGACGGACTGGAGTCGGTCTGTATCACCAGAGTCGATATGCACTAATTTTTCATTAGATATCCCTGTGAGGCGAACCCTGCTAAATATATATCGGAACTCGTCCTGATATTCAATGGTAGGCTCAGAATGATGCTACTATTATACATGCTTTCAGGGAGCTACACAGATTTTTGTCAAAAATTTATACTGTATGAAAGCCTCTAGTAGAATTTTATGATTTTTATGATATTTTTCAATCAAATTTTATGATTATTTCATGATGATTTTATTAAATTTTATGATACATTTATAATGTTTTTATCACATTTCGTGACTTTTTATGTTTCTATCATTATCAAATATTATGATTAGTCAGTCAGTTTTATGTGGATATGAATTATGAACTGATAGTCAGTCAGTTTTATGTGGATATGAAGTTATGAACGTCCCTCTAGTAACACTGTTAGTATGGTTGCAGTCATTTTTTCTTATCGGGGGTGGGTGAGGTGGCGGGCATAAAATGGGTTTATTAGTGCAGAAATCTTATTGGGAGTAGCAATTTATGGTTAATTTTATTTTTTGAAAATTTTTTCATCTTACCACAATTTTATGAGAAATAGAGAAATTTTATCTTTTTTATGATATTTTTCCATTATATGATAATTTTATGAGAAATGACGAAATTTTATGAAAATATAAATTTTTTATATTGTATTGTTCCTGATGCTTTAGAAAGTTGTGCAATGGATATTAGTTTGCAATGAAGTATTGAGTGGGTATTCTATTAAATCCTTTTCATTGATAAGCATACCTTATTCTTAACTTCATTATGAAGTCTTCATATCAGTTATTATACTGTGTTGCTGTACTATATGTAAGCCACTCTGTGTATTAATTTTACTATTCACTATGGCTATTTGAAGTAAGCATTGACAGGAGAATAGTATCCTATAGTATAGATACATGTATGTAAATAAATATGAAATATAAATACCTTTTAGCTGCATATATATCTTGTTCAGTACCACTGCTACTAGTAGCTTGTTCTAACATTAAGGCACCTATAAAACAAAGAACCAGCAGTTGCCAGGCCAGATATTCCCATATTTTGCAAGAGATGGATAGAGAACATGTAAAAGTGATTTTTCGTACAGTCAGGGGCCATAATCCAAGAAGTTATGGTCTGAAATGTGCGAATATCGAAAAGGACTGAGATCTTTGGGATATAAAGATATATTTTAAGTTCAATCAAAATCGGACAAAAAAATGTGACTTCTAGCGGGTCCACAAAGTATTATATACTTTTACACTATTTGCTTTCAAGGAGCAGTCATTTTGTCGGGCAAGTTTCAATTTTCTCGAAATTCGAATTTTTTAAAATCTGATAAAAATTGTGTCCTCTAGATGATCCACACGCTAAAAATGTGATTTTTCGTAAAATCAGGGGCCATAATCCAGGAAGTTATGGTCTGATATGTGCAAATATCCACAGGAACTGAGATCTTTGAGATATAAACATATATTTTAAGTTTCATTTGTGACCTCTAAAGTGTCTACAAGCTAAAAACATGGTTTTTCGTACAATCAGGGTCCATAATCCATGAAGTTCAATCCGATACATGCCAATATCGAAAAGAACTGACATCTTTGGGAGATAAACCTATATTACAAATTTTGTCAAAATCAGATAAAAACTGTGACCTGCAGATTTGTCCACAAAAAAATTGTGGACAGACACTAGACAGACGTCGGCATGGATAGGGGCAATCAAACTGATTATCTACACTTAGTCTAAGCAGAAAATCAGTCAAGGTTTTAAAGTACCTGGTAGTGAAACTCTACACTAAGTTTCATCACTCTCCATAAGTTAGAATCAAAGTTAGCTTGTCTCAAAGCATCGACCAATGAAATTGCTTAGCTCTGCTTAGCTTTAGTGAAAAATGTAAATCATTGAACTCAGTCCACCAATTTTAAACATTCTACCGCAATTAAATAACATTTATCAGCGTTGCGTATTTGATAATAAAGTCTAAGATATCGTGGAGTTATTTCCTGTAACCTGGGGGAAACATTTATGTGTGGTAATGAGACCTTTTTTTTTTTTTAAACATTATTCACCATGTCTTGATGTCCGATTGGGCATGTTCCTGGTCGGACAATTTAGGACGTTTGGAATATACAGGTGAAATCCCATAACTGATAGGGTGTGACTTTATACTGGTATCTTCAAAACAAGGATTAGAATCTTGACCCTGTTTCTCGAAATCTTAACTAAAGATAAAATCCAAATTTTAGTAGATACTACAATTTTGATTGGCTAAGCACTAAAATCAATCTTATATTATGCAATCAAATTACTAAAATTTGGATTTTTATCTTAGTTAAAATTTTGTGAAACAGGCCCCCAGTTCACTACAATGTGAAATTCTGAATGACAAGACTAAACAAACAAACAAACTTACCCATATAAGTTCTGGCCAGGCTGTAGGCAAAATCTCTAGCAGCAAATTGTAAACTGCTTGTATTTTTTGTAGCAAAGTTTATAATATTATCAGCAGCGTGATCAACTTTAACACCACTTTCTTCTAATGATTTGTTTCCTTTAATCAAGTTCAGTTTATTTTGTATTTCTTTATAATATGTTTTCAGAGCGTGACCATTAGATTTGGATATAGCTCGTAATACATCTAATGATAGAATGTTAGTTGTACCTTCCCATATTGTTAACACCTGGAATTAAAGAGACACAATCAAATAATAATCTATGTATGCACAAGATTATACATTCCCATCCTTTGTTTTAACTGTGATATGATTTTAAATGTTTACTAATAAATCTATCATAATTTTTACATTTTGGAATATTCATAGTTTTTGTGATGCAATTTAGTCTGTCTAGTATAATTCACCATCGGGCGCCAGAACAGCGCGAGGGCTAGGGTACCAAAAGATGGGGGGGGGGCTTAACTCCTCCCGGCCTCTAAATTTTTTTTGAAATTTGTTAATTCCGAGAACGCTGTTTAGAGCGCCTCTAGCATTCCAAATTCTGGGGTATATATGATTATGAAAGCGACAAAAGCCTGATTATTCACAAATGAATAGACTAGTAAAAAGGTTGTAAACTTTCATCATTAGGGCATGGGTATACATGTATACCCCAGATAAGGGCAGGGTACCATTTGTATACCCTGGTACCTGGGTTCCGGTGCCCCTGTTCACCATGTCTGTCTCAATTTAGCCAGGTTGGAGCTGATGTGCCATTAAACAACATTTCATTTCTTTATTTCAATATATTTTGTGGTAAAAATATAACTATATTGACTATATAACATATGTTAACATACCTGAGCATCTCGTAATATACCAGGTATACCTGTATCTTCTATATAACCTTGACCTCCAAAACATTCCAGCCCTTCTGATGCTACAGATACAGCCTATAACATAATAACTATACATTCACTTCACTATAATATAATAACTATATATATTCACTATAATATAATAACTATATTCACTATCATATAATAACTGCATATTCACTATCATATAATAACTATACTATTCAAAAAAAGTAGGGGATATTTGATTTTCGGGGCATAATACTAAAATATGCAAATGACTACGAAAAAAGTCACTATAGAACCTAACAGAAGAAACATTTCCAGTTACATGTGACGCCCAAACGCACCAATAGCTACCGTATGGAATGCAGGTGATGCTTGGGATCATCATGGGGGTCCAACCCAAGATTTGCACGACTCTGACTTTGAATGTTACAGTCATCGTGGCATTGAATTCCAGGGTGGAAACATCAGTTTAATTGTTTTAGTGACCAGAAAACAAATTTTGATATGCGTCGGCTTACCCAAAATGAAAGGTTACGTGCCCTTGGCATGCTACAGATCGGCACAACACAGGCGGTTGTGGCGCGGACGATGAATGTTTCTCAGTCTGTCATAAGCAGGCTATGGTCCAGATACCGTGATACACAATCTGTACAAGACAGACCACGCTCAGGTCGACCAAGGGCGACAACTCAAGCCCAGGATCGATTTATCCGTACCTTGGCCTTGAGAAATCGTGTCATCACAGCAAATCAGATCAGCGCTCGTCTTCAAACAGACACTGGTGTGAGAGTGAGTGGCCAGACGATTCGGAATCGACTGCATAGGGGTCACCTTCGCGCCCGACGTCCTCGCGTGATCCCTTGTTTGAGAGATCATCACATTCAGGCAAGACGTCGTTGGTGTAGGGATCGTCAACACTGGGATAATCGACGCTGGAGCAATGTGATGTTTTCAGATGAGTCAAGGTTCACTGTTGATTTTTTGGACAGACGTAGGAGGGTGTGGCGTCGTCGAAACGAGCGCTTCCAAGACGTTAACGTCATCAGACATGATCGATTTGGGGGTGGTTCTGTTATGGTGTGGGGAGGCATCACTGTTGCTGGAAGAACGGCTTTACATGTTGTTGCAGGGCGTGTTACAGGCCAGTACTACCGGGACAACATCTTGGCAGTCCATGTTGTGCCGTTCGCACGACGTCATGGCCGCCGTTTCATCTTCCAGGATGACAACGCAAGATGTCACAGGGCCAGGATCGTTACAGGTTACATCCAACAACAGAACATCACCACATTACCTTGGCCAGCACTGAGTCCCGACCTCTCCCCCATCGAGCATGTCTGGGACATGCTTGGACAGAGGTTACGTCAACGTCAACAACGTCCTGCCAATGTTCAAGAACTTGCTGCTGCGTTGCAACAGGAATGGGACAATCTGGACCAAAATGACCTTAGACGTCTCATTAGGAGTATGCCACGTCGGATCAATGCTTGTTTGGCAAACAGAGGAGGATTTACCCGTTACTGACTTGGTTGTGATGCTGTGGTAACTTTGCTGTTTGACCCCGGGTATCATTTTACCCTTATAATGGTCAGTCTGTGCCTTACTTAGTCTAACGATCATTTGGAATAAATCGATGAATGTGAACTTCATTTCATTTTGTCATTTGTTTCTTCGTCAGTTTCATTAGGTGACTTTAATAACACTTAAAAATCAAATATCCCCTACTTTTTTTGAATAGTATATATATTCACTATCATATAATAACTATATATTCACTTTATAATAATCAAATATTTCCTCTACCTTGTTTAAAATTGTAATGATTTTAACAATATGTAGGGAAAGGGCTACTCTAAGTTTTTGAAACCTGTGCCTGATCCTTTTGATATGTGTCAATAAAATATGCGTGTGGGCGTATAAAAAAAGCTTCTCAAATTCAGTTGCTGGCTTTCAACAGAATCAAGCATAAGAAATGTGACTATTAATACAAGAAAAATATGTTAAATAGTGATATCAGGTGTACTCTGTAAGCAGTAATAAGTGTAGTGAATGAGGAAAGGTATGCAAACATGTGATACCACTTCCCATTCTTTTTGAAAGTTCAAATACATTCACTCTTTCTTGTACTTTAATACTGTTTTTTTTGCAGTTAAATTTCAGACTAGATTTATCCACCTGTACTTTGAATTGAACTATTTACCTGTTTCGCTGTATATAGTTTTAATACTGGTGTCATTAATCTAAATAATTCTTTCTCCTCATCTGATATTATTTTAACATCTTCTTTACCTAATAAACGTGCCATCTCCAGGAAAAACAGAGTAGCTCCCCTTGTTTCAATCTGAAATAGGTTTCACAAAAGAATTCATCATTGTCTAAGAAACTTTAATTTTTTGTTAAGATTGAAATTATTCAATTTTTCTCCAAGCTAAAAATCAACATCTCCAACAAAACATGGAGAGAATTTAACGTCCATTCGACACAACTAGGTCATATTAGGACTAATATAGTGTACATTATTAATTGAATAAATTGCTTGTAAGCAGTCTTTAGCAGTAGGAGGAAGTCTGAGGACACATTGAAAACCGAGGTTGAGCTGGCAAACCATTTTATTTCAATAATTCGCCTATGTGTTTTGGGGTCTTTAGCAGTGGGAGGAAACAGACAACCTGCAGAAAACCCACAAGGTTGGCCAGGCAACCCTATTCCTTGTAGCGTACAAGCAGGAATCAAAACCATGGCACTTGACTCAATGACAGACCTAATGATCAAAAGCGCATGTATTAAATCACTTGTCTGCCCTCCCCCAAACAGAATCAGACCTATTAGCTTTATTTGTGAAGGAACATACTGTTTGAGAGTTCACATAGCTTACAAACTTTTGTTGTACTTCTGCATACAAATATTGACCTAGATATCACCATTAATAGCAACATACTTAAAGCTGTATTGCACACTATTGTATCAAATTGTGGATGGACCACAGACAGGGGCGATAACAATATACATCCACATGAAAGCGTATAAAAATGTCATTTGATATTTTTTTTTATACATTTTTTACAATATGTCTATTTCTTCACTGTTTTGGCCAGGCTTTTAACTACTAATTTGTGCAGTGCCTTTGAGCACAACCGTGGATACCAACTAACCTCCATTCTAGCTAATGTCTGGATATGAAGAGGATAATCTTTCAAGATGTTTCCAAATGCTTGTCTTCTTGTACTATAGTCTCTAGCCATATTTACTATACTGAAATAAATGAAATGAAATGGGGTTTAATGTCCTACTCCGATGAAGACAGGCATCAGGCATATGCCATACAGTGTGCTATGAATGAAATTTTGCCCGGACAGCGGCACTATGGCCTACTCTTATATATCGAATTACAACCGACAAGGGACTTTTTCCATGCACGCCAATGTGATCATGGGACCTCGGTTTCTCGTGCCTCTGTTGTGCACCACTGACAAGGGGAATCCAAACTGAAAATTTTTCAGCCAACACTGTCATTGAAACCTGACATACTGAGCCAGTGACTGACATACTGAGCCAGGGTCTGACTCACTTAGCAACCGTGGCTCTGTTATGGTTTTATATATAAAACCTACCGTCTCATAGAACTCGCTGAAGATAAAGCATTGTGCATTCTAGTAATGGTTAACATACTAGATATGGAAGCGACACCACGCCCATCATCTGACACCTAAAATATTCAATAAATTATATATGGACAATATGTAACCCTGGGACAACACCAGCGGTTGCCAGGCAAGATACGCCCACATTTTGCAATAGATATTATTTCGTTTCGTTTTTATAGTTCAAAATTTCGCTGTGCTTGTCTTTACTACAGTAGGATTTGAAAGAGTTGTTATCATTGCATGTTCTGAATGAAGTGAGGCATTCGTCAATAAAACGGTCTGTTACGGCAAGTTTTAGGCGTGTTTTGCATGGAACTGTGGGTAATAGTCTCGTAACATCAATGCTGATTGGTTAATCAAATGTCTGACATGATAGGGTCAAAAGCCGCCTGTATGACCTCTGACGTGAACTTCCACTATAAGTTGTCAGATCTTCAAGTAGTGTAGGCCATCGAAAGTATAAAAAATAGGTTGCCAGGCAACAAAACATACGCCCACAGCAGCTAAATCGTCCGAGCGGTGGACAAGGGTTGTTGCATATTTGTAGGTAATTTGGGGCCTTTACAAGACAGTTCCATACAGATCAGATTATAATTTTTGTCGTTTGAGGGTTCACAAGGTTTTACAAACTGAAACAAGGGCCTCAACTTTGGAAGTAGTTTACAGAAATTGTTGAAATTTGACAGGCTTTTTCATTTTACTAATTTAAATAATGCACATAAATTTCATACAGATCGGATGATAACTTTTGTCATTCAAACATTCACAGGGTTCACAAAGTAAAACAACTGCCATAACTCTAGAAATAATTGACGGAAATTGCTGAAATTCAATTAACCTGTTTCACAAATTTTAATGATGCATATAAATTTCATACATACTGGATGATAACTTTCATCAATCGAGCATTAACAAGGTTGAACAATGTGAAACAAGTGCCATAACTCTAGAAGTAATTATTATAAATTGTTGAAATTCAATAGGATTTTTCGTTTTACTAATTTAAATAATGAATATAAATTTCACAAAGATCGGATGATAACTTGTGGCATTAGAGTGTTCACAAGGTTCAAACAAGCCAACAGTGAGGCTGATGTCCCCCGCCGAAATAGGAAAATAATTAGAGGACACATATAAATTTATCACAAATTATCTTTTACAAAGTATTGAACAATCAAACAGTATATCTTTACTTATAGTCTAACAATCAAAGTAGGAGAGTTATTGTTTTCCAAAGTCTCGACCAATCAAATTGCGTATCGCTCTGCTTACCCTGAGCAGAAAATGCTCATTATCAAACTTAGTCAAGGTATTACTGTAATGAAACTATACACCAAGTTTCATCAATCTCACTTAATTAGAACTAAAGTTATCGTGTCCCAAAGCATCAACCAATCAAATTGCTTATCTCTGCTTACCCTAAGCGGAAAATGCTCATCTTCGAACTCCATCAAGGCATTGACCTAATCAACACATACACCAAGTTTGAACATTCTAGCTCAATTAGGAAGAGAGTTATCGTGCCCCAAAGTATCAACCAATCAAATTGCTGCTTACCCTGAGCAGAAAATGCTCATTATCAAACTTAGTCAAGGTATTACTGTAATGAAACTATACTATACACCAAGTTTCATCAATCTCACTTAATTAGAACTAAAGTTATCGTGTCCCAAAGCATCAACCAATCAAATTGCTTATCTCTGCTTACCCTAAGCGGAAAATGCTCATCTTCGAACTCCATCAAGGCATTGACCTAATCAACACATACACCAAGTTTGAACATTCTAGCTCAATTAGGAAGAGAGTTATCGTGCCCCAAAGTATCAACCAATCAAATTGCTTATCTCTGCTTACCCTAAGCGGAAAATGCTCATCTTTGAACTCCATCAAGGCATTGACCTAATAAACACATACACCAAGTTTGAACATTCTAGCTCAATTAAAAGTTATCGTGTCCCAAAGCATCAACCAATCAAATTGCTTATCTCTGCTTACCCTAAGCGGAAAATGCTCATCTTCGAACTCCATCAAGGCATTGACCTAATCAACACATACACCAAGTTTGAACATTCTAGCCCAATTAGGAAGAGAGTTATCGTGTCCCAAAGCATCAACCAATCAAATTGCTTATCTCTGCTTACCCTAAGCGGAAAATGCTCATCTTCGAACTCCATCAAGGCATTGACCTAATAAACACATACACCAAGTTTGAACATTCTAGCTCAATTAGGAAGAGAGTTATTGTGTCCCAAAAAGTGTGACGGACAGACAGACGGACAGACAGACGGACGGACAGACGGACAGACAGACGGACAGACAGACGGACGAACCCATTTTAATAGTCCCCTGCTTTCTTCGAAAGGCGGGGGACAAAAAGTGAAACATAGGCCATAACTCTAGACAGAAATTGCTGAAATTCAATAGACTTCTTTGTTCACTAATTTAAATAATGCATATAAATTTCACAAAGATCAGATGATAACTTTTGGCGTGAGAGCGTTCACAAGGTGCAACAAAGTGATATAAGTGCCATAACTCTAGACATAATAAACAGAAATTATTGAAATAAATAGGATTCTTCATCTCACCAATCGATGTCATAGTTCTGAAAGGCATCAAGTCTCAAAAATTGTCGGATTTGGTTTTTGAGATATGAGAGAGGGAAATCTATTCCAATCTTAATAACGCAATTAGGATATCAACATTTTTTAAAAATTAAAAGCAATTTTTTTGTCGAAGTTACAACCTTACAGTTCTGAAATTTTGCATAGAGATGTGATTAGTGATCCTATGCAAAAAAACTATTTGGGTCATAAATGGCACTTACAACCTTCCAGAACTATGGCATCGCAATGTGAACAACATATATCAATTTTAAAAAAATCGGATCATAACTTATGGCGTTAGAGCCTTCACAAGTAATTGTGCACGACCGAAGGTCCGACAGATGGACGGACAGGGGGGAACGGCAATATACGTCCACATTTCAATGTGGGCATATATAAAAACAAAACGAAATATAGATCTGTATTTTAATGGGCCGATTAATATCCCTGCCGTAATCCTTTAACTCAATATTATCCAATGTTTTCGACATTACAAACACAAATTATTGGTTCATTCTCATGAATAGTATTGTTGTTACCTGACCGTGAAAATATAGACTCCTGATATTAAATATTTAAGAAAACAGTTAACAGTTTTAAAACCAGTACTAAACGATTTGTAACAAGGCGTCAGTGAGTAAGTGAAATGTCAAACTGTAATTCAAATATAGACTGGAGAAAACCATGTGCGAGTGACTGTCATTCAAACCAGCGACTGCCAGGCAGGATACGCCCACATTTTGCAAGAGATGGACAAAGAACAAGCTAAACAAAAAGCGATTTTTCGTACAATCAAGGCCCATAATCCCATATGCGCAAATATCGACATTAACCAAGATCTTTGGGTTATAAAGATATATTTTAAGTTTCATCAAAATCGGATCAAAATTGTGACCTCTAGAGGAAGTTACGATCCGATATGCACGAATATTGAAAGGAACCATGATCTTTGCGTTATAAACATGCATTTCAAGTTTCATCAAAATCGGATCAAAATTGTGACCTCTAGAGGATCCACAACCTTGAAAAAACATATATTTACACTATTTGCGAACGAGGGGACGGGTGGCCATTTTGTCTGGCAGTTTGGGTCTGATTTTCGGGAAATTCGAACTCAACCATCATTCGGGTGTAACAGTGATATATTCAAATGCTTTTTTTTTAAATCAGATAAAAATTGTGACCTCTTAAGGGAGCACACGCCAATCAAGGGCCATAATTTGGGAAGTTGTGATCCGATATGCACTAATATAGAAAGGAACCAAGATCTTTGGGTTATAAACTTGTATTTCAAGTTTCCTCACAATCGGATCAATATTGTGGCCTCTAGAGAGTCCACAACCTTGATATACCATATTTTTACACTATCTGCGTACAAGGGGCGACCATTTTGTCTGGCAGTTTTGGTCCCATTTTCACGAAATTCAAACTCAAGCATCATTACAGTGTAACGGTGATATATTCAAATGTTTTTTTAAATTGGATAACCTCCAGAGGGACCACAAGCTAAAAAAGTGATTTTTCGTACAATCAGGAGCAATAATTCTAGAAGTTACGATCCGATGTGCGCAACTATCGAAAGGAACCAAGATCTGTGGATTATAAACATGCATTTCAAGTTTTGTCAAAATCAGATGAAAATTGTGACCTCTAGAGTGTCCACAAGCTAAAAATGTGATTTTTCGTTTAATCAGGGGCCATAATCCATGAAGTCATTTTTGGGAGATAGACCTATATTTTAAGTTTCGTCAAAATCGAATAAAAATTGTGACGTGTAGAGTGTCCACAAACAAATGGTGGACAGCGGGACAGGGGCGACGATAATATACGTCCGTATGAAAGTGTGGGCATATAAAAATGGATATAATAAATCAGTTTATATAGACTCATATTACATTAATATGTGCTTTTTGATCCATTTTCATTCCAAAGAATAGAGATTTAGTCCCTTCAAAGTGGAATGAAGGAAAGAAATAGAGTTTGACATCTATTCAAACTCAACCTTGTAATTTTGGGATGAACATATGGTTATGCTTTATTTCAGTAATTTACCAGAATGTCCATTTCTCACAATCTAGGAATCAAACACTGCAGTGAAGTAACTGTAATCATTAACCTACTTAACATCGGATACATCCAATGACATCAAGAGTTTATTATGGTCTTGGTAAGTTAATTAATGTCTAATTAATAATTTAGATAACATTTAAAGATGGGTTCCCAGAAAAGTATTTATCGGGTGGTTATTTTCAATAAAAGTATGGTAATTTTGGTATACCCGGTATATGGAAAGTGGAGATATCCAATCTTACTGGAAAAATACTGGATTCCCCCCAAAACACTCATGGAGCGTATACAGGACAAAAATGTAAGAGTTCCCCTAATCAACAGCCCGACTATTAGGAATTTCTTCCCGCGTGTTGTCAAAGGATTTGAAGCAAAGTTATGACAAATTAATTAGTTTGAATATGTTTTTAGTCCATATATACCATTAAATCGCCCAGTTTGTACGCAGGAACCCATCTTTAAGGCCTAAAGAAAGACCTGCAATAGGCAGATCTGCAATAGGAAGATTTAGCTCTTGCATAATGTCTGTTTTATATACCAACATCAATATTGATAAATACATATGTCAGGCTTTATGGGCTATCCTAAGTAAAGGTCTCCTCATGACACCATACCTCTCTATTCTCGTCTCATTTCCCATCCCAATCATAATATGCAGCACATAGTTCTTATTTCATATACATTGTATATATCTATATTTATTGTTGTCACGTTGTAACCTTTACTTGAAGAATAAATAATAAAAATAGTTCTATTTCCTCCCACTGCTAAAGACCCCTACGCGCAAGCGAATTATTGAAATAAAATTAAACCATATGTTAGTCCCAAAATGACCTAGTTTGTGTCGAGTGGACGTTAAACCCCATTTCTCTCTCTCTCTCCCCTTTAATATCTCTGCAAGACTTTACATACCGGTAAGTGGCTTGGAGGTCAACAAGGAATTCATGAAATATGAAAGAGATCAGATCTGGATCAGGAGTCACATTTTATCTTCAAACGTAAATGTATCATTACGTAAGTGGCTTGAAGGTCAACATCAATTCACAAACTATGAAAGAGATCGGTAGTCATATTTTCAGATCTAATCTTTAAAGCTAAATGTATTACCTTAAAAGCCCTTGTACCATCAAGAAGAAGTTCTGCTGTTGGAACTTGTTTAGTTCCTAATTTATTCTTTAATTTCTGAATCTGTATATTATTCAATTGGCCATCTTCATTTCTTATCTCAAGATAAAATAATGATAAACCTTGGGTTCCCTGTAAAATACATATATTAATCAAATATGAATACTTTTTTTCAAAATAACCAATGACACGTTTGTAGTATTATGGAATAATTGTTTTTCTATTTTAATATTATTTCTATTTCTAGTGTTTTATATCAACAAACAAGTGTATTGATAATACTCATACATGTGCGTCCTGATTATCCATAAACAAGTGTGTACTGATAATAAACAAACAAGTGTGTACTGATAATAAACAAACAAGTGTGTACTGATAAGAAACAAACAAGTGTGTACTGATAAGAAACAAACAAGTGTGTACTGACAATAAACAAACAAGTGTGTACTGACAATAAACAAACAAACGTGTACTGACAATAAACAACCAGTGTGTCAGTAAAAAATGTGTAATCATAATTAACAATACATGTGTAAACATAATCAACAAACACTGGTGTATAGTGATGTGTATATCGTAATCAGTCATTTTATCGACACTTTTACTATATATCACATCACACAATTTCTCTAATAGTAATAGGCTGCAATAGGCTGATTTAGCTCTTACATAATGCATCTTTAAATTTTGGCTGATGAAATAAACAATAGAGTGGTTAATTGTTTAGCTTTTGTTGTGATACAACAATCACGATTTTATGTTACAGATTGAAAAGGGCTTGTGAGTAAAACGATGTATGGGCTTTCGAAGAGCTGTAAGTGAAAAAAGACAATATAAACTTGTCTGCGATATCACCTCAGTGGAAGCGAACGTAAAATACAACTAACTCACACATAAACTTGACATGAGATACGACTGACTTAAAATTGACTGCCCTTCTGTGGTATCTGTATGAATGTGGCAATAAATCTAATGAGTTGACTAAAAATGAAAAGAAAAACCCCAAAAGATCTCTGTCAATGAGCAGTGTGTCTAGTTGCTGTTAGAAGCTGGTCCTGATGTCAAATGAGAAGGCAGATATAACTACAGTAGAATCTGCATTAAGCAGCCACCCAAGGGAATTTTCACAACTGACGGCTTAACGGGAGTGGCCTCTTAATAAAATCTCGTTGCTTTTTGTGCCGACATAAATTAAATATTACGCTTGGATGCATTGGAAGCGGTAAATTTGGCCGTCGCTGAATCTTGCGCCGGACGAAAATTCTTTACTCAAATCTCGGACATAACTTCTGTAAACTTGTCATTTTGTACCAACCTTCGATACTACTGTCTACCATTGTGATGCATTCGATAATATTTATCCATTTTTGTGAAGAAAATCGATGAATTCATTTTATTTTATCAAAAAAGCACATGAACAAAAAACATCGCTAATTTTATCACCTATTTACAGGGGGTGTAACTCTGTATGTAATATAGGAGGCGCTAAGAGAGATACTAGTTGATCGTGACAAAACTCGGTACTTTTATTTTATTCAATCAGTATCAAACAATGTGTCGTTACGCGTGAAAACAATGATCAGGTTAGTCGTTTAATAAAACAAAAGATTAATTAACAGATAATCCCGGGTTGATTGTTATGTTTACGTTTCTTTTTACCTGATCAGTGGGGGTCCAGTTAATTAACTACTACTCACGGGATTAGCGGGGGTGTTACAAAGAACGACAATTAAGATGGTATCATTCAACAATGGCCGTTGAATGGGCGATGTTTTGTTGAATTTATTAGTAAAATAGTGACCGCTGGCCGCGTTAGAGGAGTGACCGTTGAATAAAGAGATGAAACAACAGAATTTCTACGGGGGGAATTTATCGTGACCGCTTACAAGGAGATGTCGCTGAATAGGAGTGGCTGCTCATACAGATTCTACTGTATATCATAAATTGAGCTAATATTTCTGTCAGATAATGAAGCTCATCTTCCAACATACCATTATCGATTAAATATATTTTTTCACTATTAAGTAAACTGTAAAGACTAAGTTGAGACTGATAATTTAATGAAAGCTGAAAGAGATGAAGGTCTCGATATGTGTGTCAAAAATATTATTAAAGCTGGATTTAATATTGATGTACAAGATATGGATTGTGCAGCTCTTGTGATTGCTGTGGAGAATCATAGTAAAACAGTATAACATTATTCTTAAAAGATTCCAACAAACAAGTGGGCTGAAAATATTAAGTTGTTGCAATATTGAAGTTGTTAGTAAAGCCAGAAATGAATGGAAATTTTTTATTACACCAAGCCATATCAGTACTGCAGGAACATAATTTAATAGCAGAAGATGTGGAGACGGTTGATAATCTGATTGAAGAAAGAATAGGTATCAATGAAATAGATGAATATGGAAGAACACCACTGATGATGGTTCTAAAGCTGATAGGATTTCTATATGCAGAAGAACCATATAGTAAAGAATATGTAAATGAAGTCAAGCGCTTAACAAAGTCATTGTTAAATGCAGGTGCTGACCCATCTGTTAGATCTAAAATCGGTTCAACTATTCTTATGTCTGTCGCACATTACAGGTCACTGTATGAACTTGAGATCGTCAAGTTACTAATAGATTCTGGAGTGGATCCTAATGTTCAAGATAATCGTGGTTGGACCGCTGTAATGGAAGCAGCAAGTAAATCCAATAAGGAAATGATAGAAATGTTATTAGCTGTAGGTGCAGATGTTAATATGAAAGATAAAAATGGTCGCACCGCTGTCAGCTGTTCTTGTTATCGACGGAATGTTGTAAAATTGCTTCTACTAGAAGGAAGAAACCAATCTATGTATATTGATAGGATGATGATGGATAGTTTTGTTTTTTTTAAGGAAACTGAATTATTGTGGTTTTTGGTGACAGATAACCATTCTTTTGCCACAATGATAATACCACATGATAAAGAAGCATGTGCAATCTTTCAAACAGGGGATACATTATCACTGGTGAAAATCTTGTACCAAAGTGGTGTGAGGTTAAATCCAAATTATACATATTTCTTAGAAGAAGAAGATGAAAAGAAACAATGGAAGAATGGGAAGCAAATAACACATATTTGCGGACCAGATGGTGATGACCTGGTACAGTTTAGAATGTTCAGTAATAACTTATCACTTAAATCACGATGTGTTCGTGTTATTCGGGACTGTATTGGGTGTGGAATAAGAAGTAAAATTCACGAACTGAAAATACCAGAAATATTAAAAAAAAATATTTTACTTAGAGTTGTCATACCAGAGAAATATTTCAAACTGATAATAGATAATAATAATGACCTTGAAATACCAGTTTTGTCTAGAGGACGGCCTAGAAGTTTCAGGACATTTGTAGAACGGGGCGGTCGCTTCCGATAAGTAATAGGAAAACAAACACAGGGCATGTATTGTCTATGGACTTTGAATGGTATTACCCTTTACGGTCGATGGTATTTTAATAATGAATTCATACTGTTGGAATATCTTAAGTATGCATTATGTAAGATTTAGATAAACAGAGCCGGTGAATCTTGCTATAATAAATCAAAATTAGATAATGAAAAATGAATATACTGAAAATTTCAGTCAAATTGCTGTACTCTGTGCAAAGTTATGAATGTTTTGAATTTTAAACAAAATGCAGTGAAGATTTTTATTATTGTAGCATCAGTACATTGTAGACAATACAGACTATGTCTCAATTATCTATTTTACTGTTAAACTATAAAATGGCCACAGTGTTTTTTAATCTACTTAAAATAGGAGCTACCTGATGAGCCAGACAGTTGATTATGGGCTTGTCATGTTAATAAATGTTTAAAGGGCCAATCCCGATAATATTTTGGAGAATAAAACTTCGTAATTTTATGTTAAAATCCCTTAAAATCCTCTATCTCAGGGTCGAGCAAATAACTCAATGTGATACGTTTTCAAACAACTTAAACCCGTCAATCTTCATCTGGAAATGGAGATCGGTGTCCTAAGCTGTATTATGCGGTGTGTCTGGATAAAACCAGACTTTTATTTTATAAAAATAATGTGTAGGTGAAATTTACCTTTCATTATCAAGTCCACACATGGGTCATTCACTGTATGGACTTCTAAAGGACCCGGAATCGATTATCAGGTTACCCAACGAAAAAATTGAACCGATATCTTAAAATGGTTACGTGTCCGGATAAGCAGTTTTGATGTTCACATCCAAACGACTCAATATTTTGAGCAGAAATTTTGAGACAAGGTAAATATACCATTCCTCTATATTTTGGCTCTTAAATTTCATACGTACTCAGACTTTCATTTTTGAGACCCTGTTCAAATTGGGATAATTCTTTTAAATAATAATTTATATAACATTTGAAGCCAGAAAAAAGGACCTGCAATAAGTAGATTTAGCACTTACATAATTAACTTAATTTTTCTTTAATCTAGTGGAATTTATGATTTTTATGATATTTTTCAATCTAATTTTATGATATTTTTATGATATTTTTCAATCTAATTTTATGATATTTTAATAATGTTTTCATCAAATTCCATGACTTTATGTTTTTATCATTATCAAATATTATGATATTTTTTATATATCTGCACTGACAATAAATGACTTATCTCTAGCCTATGAAGTAGTATTCAGTCAGTATTATGCGGATAAGAACCTCCCACCAGTAACACTGGTGGTATTAATGGTCGCAGTCATCTTCTCCTATGTTCATATACCCACATAACATTGACTTAACACTGTCAAATAGAAAATTAAAGCAACAAGCTTGGGGTCATAAAATGCCTGGATGATTTTCTTATTCATATTCAAGTTTATTAGTATAGAAATTTATTATTGGGAGTAGTGATTTATGTGTAATTCTATATTTTGAAATTTTTTCGTCTTATTTTATGTATAATTTTATATTTGAAATTTTTTTCGTCTTATGTTATTCTAATTTTATGAGAAATAGAGAAATTTTATATTTTTTAATGATATATTTCCATTTTATAATAATTTTATGAGAAATGAGGAAATTTTATGAAAATATGAATGTTTTTATATTGTACGGTCCCTGGATCAATTTAATAAAATCCATTAATTAGAAGACAAAATCGAAACAGCAGTAAATTTAAAACAGTAAAATTGACGGATTATGTATTTTGATTTTCAATTCACATGTAAATTTCAATTAATGTGTAATTTTTATACATGTATGTTCAATTTATATGTAACTAGAAGAATGCCCGGCTTTGTTCGGGGGTCATAACCCCGAAACCAGAAGTGGTAGACTAACGCCACCTGGCCTATGTTACTCCCCGGTCCGAGGTACCCCTATACCCCAAATTTCAGACTCAGGGCAGACCTAGTGTAGCCGCCAACCCCGAACAGACAGACAGACAGACAAATGACAGTCACAAATATTAGTATAGATTTGTTCAATTTATATGTAATTTATTTATATGTAATTTGTTCAATTTATATGTAATTTGTTCAATTTATATGTAATTTGTTCAATTTATATGTAATTTTTATGTAATTGTCAATTCATATATAATTTTCAATTTATATTTGTAAACCTATTGTAATTCACAAAAATTCCTTATACAAGCCACATTAATATTGTCTGCCCCCGTTTCCAGAAAAGTTCACTCCCGTAATTCATCCAAAAATGAATAGAAAACTATGACTGCAGGGATATAAATATAAAGAATGTGGGGACCCTTTGGGACTAAATCTTAAGAAATTGTATAGCTGTACGTTGCAAAAGTTCTTAAGTGTGAATCAATTTCAATATAAAATGGTTCAAATATTATCCAACGTGACATATCATTTATGTCTTAGTTGGGATCAGTCACGAAAAGCCCAATTATTTGTATCGTAACAATTCTACTTGCATATCAGCCTTCTAAATGATTTGATTGGCTTTTTTGGAGGGTCCACGGCATGGGCTAGTTCTGAAAAGGATAATATATGCCATTTCTCTTGGAAGGGCTTACTAAATAGAACAATGGTGGGTTGATAAACCGTTATACAAACGATCGAAATTTGTTTCGGTGAGGTAAAAATAGTTTTCATTCGGCTTTGAGCGTTCATATTTTTATAAGGCGTATAAGGACCAGAATATTTTTTCGTTTCATACGTTTATTGTGATCTACATGGAATCAAAACAGTATTTTTATCACGTCATGATCATATAACCCAACAGCACAATTGCCAAATAGCAGTTGAATACTAAGTTTGATTGTAGACTAAGCATGCATGTCTGGATGAGTACCATATCAATACTAGACCAGCGGCTGCCAGGCAGGATACGCCCACTTTTTGCAAGAGATGGATAGAGAACAAGCTAAAAAGAAACAGGATTTTTTATACAATCAGGGACAATAATCCAGAAATGAAATGAAATGAAATGGGGTTTAACGTCCTACTGTTCTGCTCCTATACTGGGCTAATGAAGACGGGCATACGCCATACAGTGTGCTATGAGGGAAATTTTGCCCGGGCAGCGGCACTATCGCCTACTCTTATATCGAATTCCAACTGCCAAGGGATCTTTTACCTGCATTCCAATGTTTACACGGGACCTCGGTTTTTCGTCTCATCCGAAGGACTAGACAGCTGTCCTTGTCAGGCCCTCCGTCCTGCATCAATAATTCAGAAAGTTATTATCTGAAATGCGCAAATATCAAAAGGGACTGAGATCTTTGGGACATAAAGATATGTTTGAAGTTTCATCAAAATCGGATAAAAATTGTGACCTCTAGAGGGTCCACAACCTTCGTTTTGCATATTTTTACACAATTTGCATGCAAAGAGCGGACATTTTGTCGGGCAGTTTCATTTCGATTTTCACGAAATTCGAATTCAACCTTTATTATGGTGAAATGGTGATGTATTTAAACGGTTTTAAAAATCAGGAAAAAATTGTGACTTCTAGCAAATCCGCAAGCTAAAAATGCGATTTTTCGAACAATCAGGGGCCATAATCCAAGAAGTTAAGTTAAGGAACCAAGATTTTAGTGTGTAATTGTGATATATTCACATGTTCTTTTTAAATCAGATAAAAATTGTGACCTCTACAGGGACCACAAGCTAAAAACGTGATTTTTTGTTCAATCAAGGACCATAATCAGGGAGTTACGATCTGATATGAGCGAATATCGAAAGGAACCAATATCTTTGGGTTATAAACATGTATTTCATGTTTCAGCGAAATCGGATCAAAACTGTGACCTCTAGAGGGCCCACAACCTTGATTTACCAGATGTTTACATAATTTGCGAACAAGGGGCGGCCATTTTGTCCGGCAGTTTTGGCCTGATTTTCATGAAATTCAAACTCAACATTATCGTGTAACAGTGATATATTTGAATGTTTTTTTAAATCGAATAATAATTGTGCCCTCTAGAGGTACCACAAGCTAAAAAAAAAAGTGATTTTGCATACAATCAGAGGCCATAATTCAGGAAGTTACAATCTGATATGCGCGAATATTGAAAGGAACCGAGATCTTTGGGTTATAAACTTGCATTTCAAGTTTCATCAAAATCGGATCAAAATTGTGGCCTCTAGAGGGTCCACAACTTTGATTTACCAGATGTTTACACTATATGCGTATGAGGGGCGACCATTTTGTCCAGCAGTTTTGGTCTGATTTGCATGGAATTCAAACTCAACCATCTTTGGGGTGTAAGGGTGATATATTCAAATGATTTTTTAAATCGGAGAAAATTGTGACCTCTATGGAGTCGATAAGCTAAAAACGCGATTTTTCGTACAATCAGGGGCGGCCATTTGGTCCAGCAGTTTTGGTCTGATTGGCATTTAAATTCAAACTCAACCATCCTTGAGGTGTAACGGTGATACATTCAAACGATTTTTTAAATCAGAGAAAAATCGTGACCTCTATGGAGTCCACAAGCTAAAAACATGATTTTTCGTACAATCAGGGGCCATAATTCAGGAAGTTATGGTCTGATATGTGGGCGTATAAAAACAAACTGTTGCATTGTTGTTTCTGGTAAGAACCAGCGGCTGCCAGGCAGAATACGCCCACATTTTCGAGAGATGGATAGAGAACAAGCTAAAAAGAAAGTGATTTTTCCTACAATCAAGGGCCATAATTCAGGAAATTACAATTCGATATGCGCAAATATCGAAAGGAACCGAAATCTTTGGGTTATAAACTTACATTTCAAGTTTCAACAAAATCGGATAAAAATTGTGACCTCTATAGGGTCCACAACCTTGATATACCATATTTTTAAGCTATTTGAGACCGAGGGTGTAATGGTGATATAATAATACGTTTTTTTAAATCAGATAAAAATTATGACCTCTATAGGGTCCACAAGCTAAAAACGCGATTTTTCGTACAATCAGGGGGCATAATTCAGGAAGTTATGGTCCGATATGTGCGAATACCGAAAGAAACCGAGATCTTTGGGTTATAAACTTACATTTCAAGTTTCAACAAAATCGGATAAAAATTGTGACCTCTATAGGGTCCACAACCTTGATATACCATATTTTTACGCTATTTGAGAACGAACGGCGGTCATTTTGTCTGTCAATTTTAGGTCGACTTTCACGAAATTCGAACTCAGTCGTCCTAATTGTGTAACGGTGATATAATAATACGTTTTTTTAAATCAGATAAAAATTATGACCTCTATAGGGTACACAAGCTAAAAACGCAATTTTTTGTACTATCAGGGGCCATAATTCAGGAAGTTACAGTCCGATATGCGCGAATATCGAAAGGAACCGAGATCTTTGGGTTATAAACTTACATTTCATGATTCAACAAAATCGGATAAAAATTGTGACCTCTATAGGGTCCACAAGCCAAAAACGTGATTTTTCGTACAAACAGGGGCCATAATCCATGAAGTTTTGATCCGATACATGCCAATATCGAAAGCAGCCAAGATCTTTTAGAGATACACCTATATTTCAAATATAGACGGACGGACGGACAGACAGACGTCCGGACGGACAGGGGCGACGGCATGATACGTCCACATGAAAATGTGGGCGTATAAAAACGTCTTAACTAACTGAGATAAAAAGAAGTAAATACACAACGTGAAGGGGAAGTAAAGACGATCACAAGGCTACTAAGATATGTAGTAAGAAAAGATACATGGGTCATACGTAGGATGTGGCGACCGGTTTGGGATAGCCCGCTCTCCATGTCTGACAGAAGACCCATGGTGCTACACAGTCCGGTTATCCAAATAATTCCTACTGCGCAGGTCCATCCAAGATCCTTTTTGTGTTCCGGTTCCCGAAGACTATATAAAGGGAACATCTGCACAATGTCATTTAAGCCTGATGAGTTTGAAATGAACGGCTACTCACCACTCATAAATTTCTAATTTTAATATGATTGTCAAGGTTAAGCTTGAACTGTGATATTGTACCTTTCAACAACTTTGAAAAGTTTGCTTCGAATCCCTTTCAAAACATTTTAATGTTGTATTTGTTGGCAGAGAAGTAGTTATATCCATATGAATGAAACAAATTTTCAGTGGATTATTTAAACATTATACTTACATCCACAACCATTCCATTTTTGTCTAATGGTCGTGCTAATGTAAAGGTCATATCCGAGTCTGTTGCTGAGGAGAACCATTTGTAACCATGAAGTGTGTAAGAACCATCTGGTTGTAACTGAGCTAGAGTCTCTGTTCCTCTGGCTGAAAGAAATACCAATCATAAAATTTGCAAATAAAAATGTCCAAGAAAAGTTGCTTGTATGCAATTTTACCAGTTTTATTTAAACCCAATCTAAATGTCCAATAAACGAGAGGAAAATCCTTTCAATAAAGTGGTGTTGGTTTGTATCTAAGAGAAAGCTACAGGAGAATTTTTGTGATTGTTCTAGTTTAGGTCTCTTGTGATTATAGCCTATTAGATAGTGTCGGGCAATAGTATACATCCACAGCACAGTCAATCTAAATCCTTCTACAATGACATAAAACATACACAACACTTAGTCAGGTCCCCTATTAAGCTCTATTATGCTAGCTATAAAATCATTAATAACATAACAATGTTTAAAGATGCATTTTTAAGATTTAGATACAGAGCTGACACGTGGGTAAAACGTTGGCTCGCTAAACTGGTGGTGCCGCGTTTGACCCCTGCAATGGCCGATAAGAGTTTATTGGGATTTTTCAGCGTGGTTCCTCCTTGTCACTGGTGCAGGACCGATGGCCTGGCAAGGGACAACTTCTAGTCATTTGAATACGCATGCACATTAAAGATCCCTTGGTAGTTGGAATTTGATATAAGAGTAGGCTGTAGCGCCGTTGTGCGGGCAAAATTCCCCTTATAGCACACTGTATGCCGTATGCCTGTCTTCATTAGCCCAGTTCAGAGCAGAACTGTAGTTAAAACCCATTTCTATTTCATTCTCTTTTCCTAATCTGAACATAACCAAATGAAAAATCCCTCAGATTTAGGCGGCACCAATTTGATTTTCTGTCCTTCAGGGTGTTAATAAATAAATAGCCACTTGAGTCACGTGAAAGATATTTTGTCCCGAAGATCAGAAAATCAAATTGGTGTGGCCTTCGTCCTTCAGATTTGACCAAACATTTAAAGTAGTTCCCATGTGACATATTTACCAACATCAGAACCGCCTCTTCTTTCTGTCATCCATTGACCAGACGTCCAAAACTTTTTTGGGTCTCGGCTGGTTAATCTGATGTATGCTCTCTCTTTCATCCAGGGATTTTCATCACCAATTGTCTAAAGAAAGATAAATGAATTATTGAAATTTAATTTACTGGTACCATATTTTTTAACTCACACTCATATGAAAATGAAAGTAATAATATTCATTCCAATTGTATTTTAGACAAATGAGTTACCAAATGGAAAATAAAATGAAATGGGGTTTAATGTCCTACTGTTCTGCTCCCACTGGGCTAATGAAGATAGGTATACACCATACAGTGTGCTATAAGGGACATTTTGCCCAGACAGAGGCACTACAGCTTATGTCAAGGGTTCTTTTACGTGCATGCCGTTGTGTACATGGGAACTCGGTTTTTCGTCTGATCTGAACAGCATTACGTTGCATTTTGCCAGTCCCTCCATCCTGCACCACTGACACAGGGGAACCATGACAGTAAATCCAGATAAACTTGCTCAGTCAACATCAGATTCTAACACAGGACCCCCAGGTTGACGTCTTACTTACAGAGCAGCGGCTCCCAATTTTGAATAAAAAATTGTGCAGACCCGATATATTACCATAGATGATGCCTAATACAGTTCATGCATTGATAATACAGGCCTAGAGTTTGCAGGAATCTCAGAATCTGATTCACAAAGAATTATTGAAGAAAAACTCAAATCTTCCGCAAAAATAAGTAGGTTTAACGACCTACTTTTCTGTTCCATTCAGGCTATATGCCATACAGTGTGCTATGAGGGACGTTATGCCCGGACAACAGGTTATTTGTCCCATCCAAAAGCATAGGAACTGTTCATTGCCAGGCATTCTCCTACACCACTAACAAGGGATTCATGAAGGAAAACACTCAGGAACTTTCTCTGCCAACTCCAGGATCGAACCTGGAACCTCCAGGGTAGTCAGCCAGTGATTTACTCACTGAGCTTCTGAGGCTCAAGAAAAATATACGAAAATGTAGGCCTGATGATAAGTTACCTCTATAATGCTTGATGCACCATCCGTCATGGCTAATGGACAACTATATAACCCAGCTGATGGACTGTACAAGTACAGTTTAGCCATTTGATAGAGTCGACTGAAATAAAATAACTAAAATAAAACTGATTATCTGAAGTACCTCAATAACCTTAGCAGCACCATCAGTCATACCCAATGGACACCAATAAAGAGCAGAGGCAGCAGAATAAAGGTACATTTTAACCATTTGGTAAAACCGACTATTCAATAAAAGAGAAGCAAACGATATTATATGATATTTATATTATCTAGAATTAATAATATCTATATTTTTCTTGAAATTGATAATCCCTATTTAAAATCATTTATACTAAATCCTATACAAACCTCCATTCTCCATATTTCTTTTCATAGGCTATAGCAATTAGACCTTCTTCTGCTGAAATATCATGCATACGTTTCCAGGCAGGGGAGGTAATCAGATTATCTACACGTTTTCCCCAAGCATCATATTGTTCTAGTTGTGGTATTTCCTTATCGCACTGTAAATGGAGATCATAAATGTCTGTTGCTACCCTTTCTCCAAATCTTTTTAAGTCAGGAGATATCTCACCATAAATCTGTAATAAAAATTAAAGGAATATAAACTAGTTTGGTGATTATTCAGAACTGTCAAATAAAATAATTCAAATATAGAAATAGATTTAATGTTCATTCAAAACTATAAACTGGGTCTTTTGGGGACAATAATTTGCATCCAAACACAGGCATCATTAGAGCTGGGAGATAAGCAAAGAACCTGTAGAAAACCCCAATGGTTAGGTAGGTGACCCTACTCCAAGTCTGGAATCTGAGAGAGAGAGAAATGGAGTTCAACGTCCACTCGACACAAACTAGGTCATTTTGGGACTAACACATGGTTCAATTTTATTTCAATAATTAGCTTGCGCGTAGGGGTCTTTAGTAGTGGGAGAAAACTGGAGGACCCGTAGAAAACCCATGAGGTTGGACAGGCGACCCTACTCCTTGTCATATACAACCGGGAAATCGAAACCACGCCAGTTGACTCAATGAAAGACCTCATGATACAGCACGCCTGTGCTAACCATTCGGCCATCCCACCTGGGATCTTGTATACCCTTATAGAAAATAGAACCACAGCACTTAATGAACCAATATAGCCTATAACAGACATTATGATCTACATCATGTTTATGCATTTCTTGTACTAAAATGAAGACGTGTGTAGATAAGTATTGTAACTTTGATTATGATGGGCACATGAGTAGGAAAAATACAAGATCTACCTTTGTGGGTAGTACTATTTACCCAAATTACAATAATTTATATTGATATTTAATAATATGCTTTTCTTTACACCAAATTGTCATTTTTAATTTAAAATAGTAATGTTTTTTGTGTCAAAAGGACCCTCAAAATGTGATTTCCAAGCAAGCTTGGAAGTGGTGATGAAAGAACATAACTTGTGTATTGCACGAAACCACTTGCTTGAAAATTGCATTTTGAAGGATATTTTTTAAACAAAAACATTACAATTTTAAATTAACCAGCGGTTGCCTTGCAAGATATGCCCACATTTTGCAACAGATGGGCAGAGAACAAGCTAAAAAAAAAACATGAATTTTTTGTAAAATCAGGGGACATAATCCAAGAAGTTACAGTCCAATATGAGAGGATATTGAAAGTCACTGAGATCTTTGGGTTATATACATACATTTCAAGTTTCATCAAAATCAGATAAAGTTGAGACTTCTAGAGGGTCCACAACCTTGGTATTACATACTTTTAGACTGTTTGTGTACAAGGAACGGCTATTTTGTCGGGAAGTTTCAGGCAGGTATGATCTCATGCATTAAAACTGATAGTACGAATTGGTCTCGAGACCACCAAGATACTATACATGTATAGTCTCATGCATTTAAACTGTAAATAGACCATCAAGGTATGACATGGTCTCATGCATTACAACTGATAAAGAGACCATTGATCATATTACACTGTTGAACCTTTTCAGCAAGAACCGTCTGATTATCGAGCCAACGCTTTGTCATTGAGCTACCTTGGCTCGTTATATTCGTAAGAATAGCTACTTAATAATGTGACGAAAATTATTATTATTAATAATGATCAGTGCTAGTTAGTAGGAAACATGCTTGGTGTTCAGCAAGTCATATTAGTGTCTTGGTTTTCGCGTCTAAATAGTAAACAAGATGTAAGCAAGACAGGTTATCGTTACATGAAATTTTGGAAAATAAAGGTGTGTAAAATATAAAGTTATTGGCCGATTCGGCTGAAATTTGGTGTGGGGCCGTCGCTAGCTTCCCCCCCCCCCTCCCTGGGAAATTTCAAGTCTCTACAACAACAGACAAAATAGGCCTACTAGCTAGGTAGGTGTAGGCTACGAAAGTGCATTAGCGTCCTTTTACTAGGCTACCTCTTTAGGGACGTATCTCTGTAAATATGACTGAAGGACTGAATCTTCTGAAAACTGGTTTCCCAATAGTGGTTTCTCTTGAAAGAACTGTCCAATTTTAGCATGTGCAAATGGCATTCCAGAGTGAACTATTCTGCCATCTTCAAGCTCCTGTAAATCTGAATGAGCAATTACTGATGTACTTTTTCTGACTATGTTTCTCATCGACAGAATTCCCTGATGTCGAAGTTTCAACATAGTTCAGAATCTATTTGATTTTTTGTCATGTACATTAAACCCAATGCGATGAATGCAGCTGTCAAACTCTATTTACTGAGTTTACACCAGGCCTACAGGGCAAAGGTCAGGTAAAATAGTCATTTAATGGAGTTGTTTCCCTTTCACAATAAAGGTGAACATTAAACGAAACGTTGTCATGTTTGTTTCGTTGTTTTAATTTTGTTAAATAAAAGTATTCTCTTTTGATATCTCTTGATAAAGCCAAGAAATACTACATTGGTATCATTTCAGTAAAAGTATATTTTTATTTTTACCAATCTAAACGGAAGTAATATTTACTGCCGACATAGAAACCATTTCCGGATAAATCATACCCAGGTTGAAAATTGGGTTTTTTGTTGAAAATAAGATAGAAATTGGTAAGTATGCCTTTACTATCACATCATTTAGCTTTGATTTCAGGAATTATTCTCGTGTGGTTTTGGGCCATATTAAAAAATGTTCCCAATTTGTTGTTGAAATTGTAATAAAATGTCTGTTTGTTCTGGTGTGGTGTTTTTCTCTATTTCTCTTCTCTCATCTCATCTGTGTTGGACAAGAAAGGCTAGTTTCCCCAAAACAAGTTTGCCATTTAATAAATTACACTCGATGTTGTAACCAATTTTGGTATTGAATATAAAAGAAAATAAAACTTGCTTTAAAAAAAAACAAACAAACACTGAAGTGATCAGACTATCTAGCAGCCAATCAACTAACTAAACTAGGGCTAGCATCGGCAAATTTGAAATTGAAATTGGTACATCAATTGTGGCTTTGCACAAGTACAAAATTTTCAACACATATTGTTATAATTTGTATGATATGAAGTAAAAGTTCTTCATTATGACGTCAACTGCCATTCAGAAAACATCTTTCTTGTATATTACCCCTATATTTCTAGTTCCCTGTATACGAATCAACTATTAGTTGTGGACGACATAACCAATACCCTGTGGACAAGTCAACCAATGCTTGTGGACCACTTAACCGTGGACGAGTTTGTATTCATACGTGAACGAGTTAACTAGCTTCCATTCTTTGCACAAACAATGCAGTATGAACCATTACTATAGTCACCGAACAGTTTCTTTTTACATTTTCAAACTGACATTTTTAAAATTTCAAGTAGCTGTTTGATCTTTCAAAATCATAGAATTATGCTATATGGTTTCACCTTTATTTCAATGTGGATTAGTTGATTAATGTTAAGCTATGTGTAGTACATTTTGTGGCCAGATTAATTGGCAATTAAGGGAGTTTCAGGCCTGTAACCAGTGTTCGACACAAACATTGTTCCGAAGGACTCCTGCTAGCCTATTTCACTCAGTTCTGACAGGCCTTTGAAGCAGAGATACCAATTTTGTAATTATTTGATTTTTGCCCCCACCTACGACAATTCAAATTTAAGATTGTTTTATTACAAGTATTTTAAAATCATGACTAAAAATGTGATTTTCGGGTTATGCAAAAGTCCCTATAGAATTTAAATGAATTATAGCTGCCGAAAATTCAAGCCTTGACCTACATGTTCATGTACTAGCAGTTTGCAAGATCATTTACTAAACCACCATAGACAATAGTGTGTAATAAATCTCAAATTTTTATTTTGTATAATCTTTTTCAGTATTATATCGGAAAAATGTCAGACTTTTTGGAAAATGAAGCTGAGGAATCAGAGAGAAGTAGTTCAGAGGAAGATGATGAAGTTGTAGGAACCAAAAAGTCTAAATCAGTTGTAAAAAAGAAAAGTAAAGGACGTATTGATGATGATGACGATGATGATGATGAAGAAGAAATTGGTAAATGTTATGCATTGTGAATTTAAAATGTTTCTTTTATTAAGATATGTAGTCAGGACAACTCAATTATATATAATATCAGGCCTCGAAATGTTTTAAAAAAGCTACCTGTCGCAAGCAAAAGGTAGCTTTTCTTCATACCTGTCACTTCAGTAAATAACCTGTCACTCTCAATTATCAGGGGGGTTGGATGGCTGAATGGTTAGCGTGCGCGCGCTGTATCATAAAGTCTGTCATTGAGTCGACTGGCGTGGTTTCGAATCCCCGGTTGTACGTGACAAGGAGTAGGGTCACCTGTCCAACCTCGTAGGTTTTCTCCTGGTCCCCCGGTTTCCTCCCACTGCTAAATTCTTTGCACAAACAATGCAGTATGAACCATTACTATAGTCACCTAACATATGGTTTCAAATTGTGTGAGTAACTGCTGCCTACGACAGAGTGAAATGTAAACAGTACAAATGGCGGCTTTTCACGGTATATCCGTGCTTAATTCTTGCATTTAGAAACGAATAATTAAATGTACGTGACGTGGACGTGAGTATTGTGGTCTTAAGTCAATTTACTGAACATCAAGTAATATCTAGTCCACCTGTCGCAAGCAACAGGTAGTTTTACTTGCTACCTGTCGGCGACAAGTAGACAGGCGAACATTTCGAGCCATGAATATTGTAAGATTAAGAGAAAGAATTGGCCGTTCTATGATAAAAAATTAATATATTGAAAATTCTATTCAAATTACTTTATTCTGGGTAAAGTTATGACTGTTTAAAGACGTAGTGCAAATCGTTTATTATTGTAGGAACAGTACTTGACAAAGTAGAATAAGTCTTCATTATCCATTTTAACGTTGATATCCATTTAAATCTCGATAATCTAATGGTGTAGGGAGTTGATTATACTTATACATGTAAGCTTGTCGTGTAAATAAATGTCCCCAAATAATAATTTAATAACAATTGAAGCCAAAAGAAAGACCGGCAATAGGCAGATTTAAGCCTAGCTGACAACCCGCCGTACATGCTACTACAAACGGTTTACAGGGGAAATTTTAGTAAACCTGTGCCTGAGACTTACGCGTCACTTGTGTTTTTTGGGAACCGTAGAACATCGCAGATTGGCCGTATAGAGATTTTTGGTCCTGCACATACAAAATTTTCACCCCGATTCTTGCAGTTGGTCTGCGAACTGTCAAACCCCACAACCTGTGCATGTCAAACGCTAGGATTTAGCTTTTACATAATGTGTCTTTAAGCATCTGGTAACTTTTATCATTCATATTTTAGATGAGGCACTTATTGAAGAAGAAATGAAAGATTTTATTAATGAGGATGTAGAAGAAGATGATGAAGAAGGAAGTGAAGATGGTGGGGATGAAGGAAAGAGAAAACACGAAGATTCAGATATTGATGATCAACTTGAAGATGATGATTATGATCTGCTGGAAGAAAATCTGGGTATAAAAGTGAAAAGAAAGGTAATGATAAAACATACATGTATTGTAACCGCATGCCTGGCTAAAAATTGTTTCTTCAGTATTGATTGTACTGTTGACTTAGTACTTCCAAACATTGGAACTATATGTACTTATCAAAGTAAATTCTCAATAGATATTTAAGAATCCCTGCGCAACAGCATTTTAACAGACTTATGTTAAAGTAGAGATTTTTTAATCATCATAACGTTTCCGGGATCAATATCCTGTATCAAATCATTTGATAAATATCTATTCTTGCTCTCCTGCCCCGCTGGCATCTTCTTTTTCATCCAGTAAGGTACACAGATCTACCAGCTTGTCAAGCTTTAGATACATTTTAAGGGAGTGAGGGGGGTTGCATGGCCGAATGGTTAGCACGTGCAGCTGTATCATAAGGTCTGTCATTGAGTCAACTGGCGTGGTTTCGATTACCCGGTTGTACGTGACAAGGCGTAGGGTCGCCTGTCCAATCTCGTGGGTTTTCTCCATGTCCCCCGGTTTCCTCCCACTGCTAAAAAAACTCTACACGCAAGCGAATTATTGAAAAAAAAATTGAACCATATGTACAGTTAGTCCCAAAATAACCTAGTTTGTGATTCTAGATTCATTCATTGGCCAGAGCTCTATGGAAAGATAAGATATTGAAGGAAGAAATATAAGACTTTTAATTTTAACACAACAAAATTGCAAAATTTTAATTAGATTAGCAATCGTATACTATCCCCCCCTCCCACCTCAAAAAAAAAAAATACTTGACATGATATTTGGTAGATGTAAATCAATATGTATTTATTTAAAAAAAGAAAAATCTACTAGACCTGTTCATATTTCATATTATTTTGTAGCAAAAACGTAAACGTATTCGTGTGATGTCTGAAGATGAAGATAGTGATAAAGAAGGAGATGAAACAGGTACTGATGGTAAACAAACTATAGAAGATCAGTTATTTGAGGGTTTAGAAGAAGAAGGTGATGATGATGTTAGATCTGTAGCACCTGCCAGAGAAGCACCAGATACAAATGATTTTGGTGATTTGGATGAAGAAGAAGAATCAGGTATGAGAAAATTAATTTCAAGCCTCTAGATAAATAAATTTCTGCTAAACTTAAAAATCAATGATGTAGATATCAGTTGGTGGCCAGCAATAATGTCTGGGTGCTTCTCCTGTATTAAGGAGTAGGGTCATCTGTCAAACCTCATTTGTTTTCTCCAGGCTCCCCGGTTTTATCCCACTGCTAAAGCCCCTACGTGCAAGCGAATTATTGAAATAAAACTGAACCATAAGTTAGTCCCGAAATGACCTAATTTGTGTTAAGTGTGTGTTAAACTCCATTTCTCTGCCTTGAATTTGTTATTGCTAAATAACTCCAGTGGCCATTTGGTTTCATGGCTTATCTTTCAAACGTTGATCTTTTCTAGTTTATATTTATTGTGTGACACATTTTGGTTTGTTGTTAGCAGTTGGCAATATTTTGTTGTAAGTCTATTTTTAACACACAAGAGTTCAAAATTGAACATAAATAGATACATTAATTCTGATAGTTTTACACTTGAAATATATTTTCTTCAACAGATATAGATGATTTCATTGTTGATGATGAAGGAAGACCGATCAGTAAAGGAAAGAAGAAAAAACATATCATTCACAGTGATAGGTATGCAGTAATTATAGTCAGACATTTTTTATTGGCAATCCTGGGGGTTGGGTGGCCGAATGGCTTAACTTTAGTACTTTAGAATAAATGGTCTGTCATTGAGTCAAGTGGCATGGTTTCATTTCACTCGTGTGCGTGACAAGAAGTAGAGTCGTCTGTCCAATCTCGTGGGTTTTCTCTGGGTCCTCTGGTTTCCTCCCACTGCTAAAGACTCCTACATGCATGTAAATTATTGAAATAAAATTTAACCATTATGTTAGTCTCAATCTAAAACACTATTCATTGGAGGTGTTTACATAGCCAACATATTTTTGTGGTACCTTTTGTATTTTATTATGACACAATTTTTATTGTCAAATTAGAGAAATTAAGTCAACTGGCTAGTATAAAAAACTATGTTAAATTAAAGAGATATTTTTGTAGCCTTTGTCTGACTTGTGTTATTAAAATATCTACAGGGCTCTACAGGAAGCTCAGGATATATTTGGTGTAGATTTTGATATTGAAGAGTTTGCTGACTATGATGAGGAGGAGGAAGATGATATGGATGAAGAGGTGAATTATTTTAAATATTTTGTTTCTGTTCCTTCAAAGATAGTTAATGCAGAGTGATATCAGAAATTTTGTCTGGCTATATTTGAAAATTTATATTTACAATGAAATATGTAATTCTGCTACACTAATTTGTTTCATCTCAAGACAAAGGTTATCTTCATTAAAAATAACAAAAGTTGGACACCAAGTTGAATTTATAACCTTATTTAATTTAGGCTTAAAGATGCATTATGGAAGAGCTAAATCTGCCTACTACAGGTCTTTTTCCTGTTCTTCAAATGTTATATAAAGTATTATTTAGACATTTATTCCTATGACAAGCCCATAATCAACTCTCTAGACCATTGGATGGCTTAGATATTTGATTTAAAAATTAACGATAAAATGGATAATCTAGACTTTGTTTATTGTTGTAGCAAAGGTACAGGACAATCAAGGCTATCTTGTTAAAACTTGAAACCATCATAACTTTGCTCAGAATTAAATAATTGTACTGAAATTTTCAATATTTATTTCTCATTATTATCTATTTTTGAACTATTATAGCAAAAACTCCCAGCTCTATATCTTAATCTTACATATTGCATCTATTAGCTCATTGTGCGCTAATTTTTGAACTATTATAGCAAAAACACCCAGCTCTATTTCTAAATTTTACATAATGCATCTATTAGCTCATTGTGTGCTTAAAATGACAAATATAGATGTATAGATGATTAAATGTATGTAGTATGGGTCAAGAAAAATCGTTTCCTGTAAAGTCTTCCCATATAAACTTTTCTGAACTATAAATTTTTTCAGTATGAAGATGAAGAACTAGATGTTGATGGTGTAGCCAGGCCAAGAACTAAAAAAAGTGGCCGAGCCAGAAGAACTAAGAAAAGTATTTATGATGTAAGTTGGTTTCTTGAAGTCTAGAAATATGAAGAAACTTAAAGGTATTTATCTGTTTTCTTGAGCAGGATTTCCAGACGTTCCCATGTAAGACCTATTCTGAGATAACTTCACACTGGTTGCCAATTTCAGAATAACAAATACATCATCACAAAACCTTCATCCCTAAGATCATTATTGGTTATAAATCTTTTGGGAGCCTTGGTTGCTCAATAAAAAAGATGCTAACCAGGAGGTCTTAGGTTCGTTCCCAGTATTGATAAGACAGGTTTCCCCAGTGTCTAGTTGTTTGGGTGGGACAAAAAATATTCTGGTCACATGTACACATTGACGTGCACAGAAAAGAACTCTTTTGACAATTGCAATTCGAAATAAGAAATTTTCATCATAGCACACATTACACAACATACGGTCAGTTTTTATTAGCCCAGTCGGTGCAGAAAAATATGATATGAAACCCCATTTCATTTCATATAGAACTTTTGAATCGTTCAAAAGAAGTATGTTACTAGTGTTTAAATATTTAAAAGTGTACAGCGTGTATTTCGGGTGGGGGGTTAGCACGTGCGCGCTGTGTCATAAGGTCTGTCATTGAGTCAACTGGCGTGGTTTCGATTCCCCGGTTGTACATGACAACTAGTAGGGTAGCCTGTCAAACCTCATGGGTTTTCTCCGGCTCCTCCGGTTTCCTCCTACTGCTAAAGACCCCTACCAGCAAGTGAATTATTGAAATAAAATTGAACCATATGTTAGTCTCGAAAGACCTAGTTTGTGTCGAGTAGATGTTAAACCCCATTTCTCTCTCCCTCTTTTGTATTTCTAGTTAAAACAAGCGTGATATAAATATATAATATTATTTTACCTTGTTCTATGTAGAAAAGAATATAATTAAATTAACATGGAATCACATATATTCCTGCTTTAAATATTTTTAATTATAAATAACATAACAATTCATGTTCTTTTCTAGGTATTTGAACCAAGTGAGTTGGAAAGAGGACATTTTACAGATCTTGATAATGAAATTAAAACAGCTGATATGCCTGAAAGATTTCAGGTACGATTTTCTTGTATGATAATGGTTGGCTCGCTATATCAATTTAATTAGATCCCAAAAAGGTTTCGATTTAACAAATAAATTCATAGTGTGGGTGTATATAAGCTTTTTTATACGTCTAATGAGAGGGTGCCCCAATAGAGTCTCAAGATTTAGTAACCTGCTACGGTTCGAGAAAAACCACCAGGCATAATTGTCTTATCATTGCACACATACAAATGTTGTGTTGACGATCTGTAATCTACTTTTGATTCCATTCAAGCATCAAGAATCTGCTTGCACAATATTTATTTAATTTGATTCCTTGGTTCGATCCAGTTGTTGGCTGAGAAAGTTCATTGTGATCTTCCGGCCGGGTTTCCCCTTGTCAGTGGTGCAGGACGGGAGGGTCTGACAAGGACAGCTGTCTAGTCATTAGGATGGTACGAAAACTGAGGTCCCTTGTACACATTAGTGTGCATGTAAGAGAACCCTTGGCAGTATGAAATCGATATAAGAGTAGTCCGTAGCGCCGCTGTCCATGCAAAATTTCCCTCATTGCACACTATATAGCGTATGCCCATCTTCATTAGCCCAGTCGGAGCAGAACAGTAGAATGTTAGACCCAATTTTTTCATATCATTTATTTTATTCATATTTTAGTTACGTCAAGTACCAGTTTTAACAGCAGAAGAAGATGAATTAGAAGAAGAAGCTGAATGGATTTATAAACAAGCTTTCTGTACCAAATCTGTGTCCACACAAACATTACTAGAACAAGAACAGGGAAATCAGTTTAATTTTGACAGGAGAAAAGGTCCAGAAATGGTGAATAAAATCAGAAAAGCTATTGACTTCATGAGAAACCAACGACTAGAGGTAAACTAGAATTAATTAAACATACATTATGCAAGAGCTAAATCTGCCTATTTCAGGTCTGTCATCACTAGCCTTCGATATTTACTGGATTAGGATCCGATTTGCTAGTCAACTTTCATTCATGATTTAATCATGAAATGGATAATAGAGACTATGTTTTTTATCGTACCGACTTAAGTAATGATGATCGAGACGAGGCCGAAAATTCAATCGCTAAATTCTCGGTTTAGAGTGGATCAATTTGACTGAAATTTTCATCAAATTTCCTTTACATTATCCAGTTTTTAACTATTATATTGAGAACTGCCAGATCTTTGTCTAATCTCCCATAATTTATCTTTAAGTATCATTTTTAGCATTCAAAGTCGTACACTTTCATACCTTTTGGTAATACATTTCTAGACTCTATTGTGCATAATTTATGAGATATTCAAAATCAATACAGGTTAATCAGCTAATTATCTCAAAATGCACAAACCTGTCAATAACCAAGTAGTCAGAAATGTACTCTTCTTGTCCTGTTTCACAAGAAATGTAATGAAATTGGGTTTAATGTTCTACTGTTCTGTTCCAACTGGGCTAAAAGAGACAGGCATAAGCCATACGGTGTGTTATGAAGGAAATTTTACCCGGACATTGGCGCTTCAGCCTACTCTTATATTGAATTCCAACTGCCAAGGGATGTTTTACATGCACTTCAATGTGTAAGCAGGACCTGATTTTTTTTCCCCAACGACTAGACAACTGTCTTTGTCAGGCCCTCCACCCTGCACCACTGACAAGGGGAAACCACGTAGGAATATCTCAGTGCTCAGTGTACTTTCTCGGACAAGACCGTGAGCGAACCAGTTACCTCCAGGCTTGCAAGCCAGCATCTTACCCACTTAGCCACCGTGGCTCCCCGTTCCGCAAGAAACCGTCAAACATGTGATATGTTGATTGTACTAACATATACATGTTATCATTCAGTATAAGTGTGTAAAGTAGTGCTTGTACTCACAGCCGTGCAGAAAAGTAGGACGTTAAACCACATTTCATTTCTTGCACTCAAAGGATGTTTTATTAACTACTCACCATGTCATAGATTGAATTGATATGTTTTTGTATTTAGGTACCATTTATAGCCTTCTATCGTAAAGAATATGTAGAGCCAGAATTAAACATCACAGATTTATGGAGAGTGTGGAACTGGGATGAAAAGGTAAAATTTTGTCAGTGTATGAAGAAATTGAATTATGTTATACTCAAAGTAGGATATATAACTCCGATCACTATCAATTCCTTCCTTTTGAAATATAACATTGATCAAATCATAAAATGCAGTATGGCCATTGTATTTTAAGCATGGGATGAGGTTCTTATTTTAGATCAAAATGTCTGTCATTGAGCCAAGTGTCATGGGATATCGATTCTCAGCTTATAGGGATAAGGAGTAAGGTTTCCTGACCAACTTCATTGTTTTTCTCCTGTTCATCCAGTTTCCTCCCACTGCTAAAGAACACCTCCTACCTCTAATCGAATTATTGAATAAAATGGAACCCTATATGTTACCCCCGAAATGACCTATTCAATCTTGAGTGGATGTTAAACCCCTCTTTCTCTCTCGCTCTCTCTCTCTCTCTCACTATCTCTGGTTTCGATTCCCCGGTTGTACGTGACAAGGAATATGGTCGTCTGTCCAACCTCGTGGGTTTTCTCCCGGTCCCTCGGTTTCCTCCCACTGCTAAAATTGAAATAAAATTGAACCATGTGTTAGTTCCGAAATGACCTAGTTTCACTAGGGACCGGGTATCATTCGGATTTGATGAAAAAAGGAAAGAAACTGAGCTTACCATCTATAATCTAATACACATATTCAGTTAATAGATTGCCATGCAGAAAGTGTTAAATACCATCAAGATTCATCAAATAACGCCCAGTTTGTGCTACTGTTTAGTTTAAGAAACACCATTTAGTTTTGACATCGGTCATCTAGTTTATGACCATTTAGTTTAGTTTTGATATTGGTCATCCAGTTTATGACCATTTAGTTTATGACCGGTAGCACAAACTGGGCGGTTTTTGATGAATCTTGATGGTATTTAACACTTTCTGCATGGCAGTCTATTAACTGAATATGTCTATTAGATTATTACTTCTTGAATATTGCAGTGGACACAGTTAGCTACAAGAAAGAAGAACCTGATCCGACTGTTTGAAAAAATGCAGAATTTTCAATTTGAACAGAATTCTGATATCGACAAAGTTTTGGCTTCATCTTTCAGACCATTAACAGAGGATGATCTAGAAAAGTAAATTTGATTTTAATTAAGCTGTAGAATCTTTGAATTTAAACAACATATAGATCTATTCTTTGGAACCTTAAATTAGACTGAAATGGGTCTAAAAGCACATATTCATTATTGGAAATTAGTATGATATTCTTACGGTAAGATAACAACATCAATATTGATTAAAATGAAATGATATTAAACATACATTTAGGCCTTAAATGTTATCTAAATCATTAATTAGACATTAATTAACTTGTCCAGACAATAATCAAGTCTTGATGCCATCGTTAGCCCACAATATTTAGTGGATTTGAATATATTTTGTGATGGATGATTTAACATAAAACTGGATAATCGAGACTGTCTATTATCGTGCCAACATTAGTAATGATGATCGAGGCTAGTCTAAAATTGAATCGCTAATATCTTGGTTCAGAGTGAAGCAATTTGACTGAAATTTTCAGAATATTCTGATTTCATTATCTATTGTTTAACTATTATAGCGAGAACTTCCAATCTTACCTAATGCCCCTTTAAATTATAATTCGAGTTTTAATTTCAAATTTTTTGGATCATATTTACATTAGATTTGAAGAACAGAGTGATATTTATAGCTTTGGATTTAAATGTGGCTAAAGACTCTGTGTTCAGTGCAAATAGTTAATTGAGTTCCCTAATCCACAGTAACTACTACAAAACACAACACCCAACAACATTAAAAGGCAATTCAACTGAACATGATACATTAGCACAAACCATGACTTCTAATATTTAATAACAGTTTGGTTGAATTAAAAGCAGAACAGTGATTAAAAAGTGAGGAAATTCTCAGTTAACTCATTAAAGATACATTATGGGAGATTAGTTAAAGAGCTGGCAATTCTCTCTATAATAGTTAAAAACTAGATAATGTAAAGGCAATTTGCTGAAAATTTCAGTCAAATTGATCCACTATGAACCAAGATTTTAGCGATTGAATATTGGGGCTAGCCTCGGTCATCATTACTAAAGTCAGTAGAATAAAAAACATAGTCTAGATTATCCATTTTTTTTATATAATTATGAATGGAAGTCAAACAGCAAATCGGAACGTAATCCAATAAACATTGCAGGCTAGCGATGCCACCGAGCATTGATTATGGTTTGGATAGGTTAATTAATGTCTAATTAATAATTTAGATAACATTTCAGGCCTAATGCAATAGGCAGATTTAGCTCTTGCATAATGTATTATTAACATATTACACAATGCAGCAAAAAAAAAAGAATCACTATGATTGGATAAAACACAAAATGCATTATTTATTAATGGAGCATTATTATGCATGTCAACTTTTCTAAAGAAATGTTAATTCATCTTTTTGAAATTAAAAATAACTTGATATACTCTTTTATCAATAGGGTGCGTAAAGTTCAAACAATTGATGAACTACGGGATGTGTATCAACACTTCTTGTTGTACTATGGTACAGAAATACCTAAGATGAGAAATGCAGAGAAGAAGAAACAAGCTGAACGAGACGGGGGAGAGAAAACAGGAGATGATGACCATCAAGATACAATCAAACAAGCGACAAGAAAAAGTGGTTATTCTATCTGTCAAGATGCTAAACTAGGTAAAAAATAATTTTCTATTCTGATATTAGCTATAATTATCTATTCTGATATTTAGCTATTTAAAAATTGAAGAGAGTTGGTTTTAGTTTGTGGGTGGGTGGACCATAGTCTAAATCCAGGGCTAATAAAAACTGGCATGTGCCTTGCAATCAAATTATTGAAGGTTCTTTTAAATGCACTTCAATGATTACACAAGTAGACCTCTGTTTTTGCCGTCCTGTCCAAGGGATTAGAGCCTTTTTCTTGCTAGGACCTTTGTCCTGCACCTCTCTCAAGGGGAGAGCAGGCTAGAAAATCCTACGTCTAGATTCAGTTATTGGACGGATAAAACTTGATCCCAAGTCCAACAAATTCTTTAGAGCACCCCCATTTTGTTTACCCATACTGTTCATGTCATTAAAATCTCAAAGGCATGTTAATTTTGCTTATCTAGAAATTTTAATAGAGAATAATGTACACATTGCTGTGGTCTAGAAATTATTAGATACCAAATTATTCCAGAGCAATGTTGTAGATGATTTTACCCTGGATTGCTAGCACTATACAAGATTTAATATCTGCTGGTATTCTATTCTCCTCTTAAGGTCTGTCAGTGAGTTTAGTGGCGTGGTTTCGATTTCCTGCTTGTACATGACAAGAAGTAGGGTCGCCTGTCCAACCTTGTGGGTTTCCCCCGAGTCCTCCAGATTCCTCTCACTGCTAAAGAGCCCTACACGGTAGAGAATTATTGAAATAAGATGGAACCATTTTAGTCCCGAAATGTCGTAATTTGTGTTGAGTGGACATTAAACCCCATTTCTCTCTTTCTCTCTCTCTTTTCTATTTCTCTTTATTTGGACAGGTTGTTTGTCCGCTGAAATCATTCGCTCTCGACCGCAAAATTGACTTATTGGATTCATTATATTCTTATATTATAGATGAGGTAGCTAGAAGGTTTGGTTTAACACCAGAGCAATTTGGTGAGAATCTACGAGATAATTATCAGAGACATGATGTAGAACAATGTCCGGTTGAACCTCTTGATCTATCAAAAGATTATATCTGTGGGTACGTATATTATTTACAAAGAAATCAAATTAATATACTTTCAACTTTATTGAGCAATTTATAGTACAAATCTCTTGTACAATTTATAGTACAAAATCTTTCGTACAATTTATAGTACAAATCTCTTGTACAATGCAGTAACGAAAATGTCACATATTAATACAAGTGAATGGGTGCTGAAGAGTTTGAGTGAACAACCTTCTCAATGAACTTCAAATAAAAGAACAATGAAATAATGTAGTTCATCAGGATGATTCCAGAGCTGTTAAACTCTGTGAAAATATCTCGTACTTGGCATAGTTAATTGCCAATTTATACTCCACCATAAAGCGAAGTTTTACTTGCCAAGCTAAGCTAAGCTAAGCGAAAAATTCAAAAGCTGCCGATTGTAGCTAGATGGATCATTTGATCGCAACAGCAGACGTTGTACTGCCGATTGGCTGTTTGGCAAAGAGTTGAACTCGAAAATTGATCTGAGACGATGTTTTGATGATAAGACTTCACCATAAAGCGGGGCTTTAAAGCGTGCAGCGGTATGGGACGACAATTCTTCGCCTCGCTTAGCAATGTATAAATCGGCCTTAAGCATTTAATTTTATAGGAAAAAATCCATAATTTAAGTATTTTGTATTGATTTATTGAGGAATATTAATTATACATTATTTGACAATTGGATATTTCTGTTACAGACAGTTCCCTACAGAAGAAGATGCTTTAATGGGGGCTCGACATATGGTTGCCATGCAGATTTCCCATGATCCTCTGGTGCGTAAATCAGTAAGACAGACATTTGAAGAAAGGGCTAAAATAAAGGTCACACCTACCAAAAAAGGACTTAAGGTTTGTTGTTTTTTCATACAAAATACTTTGAAATTGGTTAAATCAGTCCATAATCCATTTGCTTGTAGATACTCTAATGGCTACAGTTATCATCCAATTGACATTATCACACAATGGGTTATGTTCATTAACCTAAGAAATCTATTGATTTTCAGTGATTTCCGATATTACTGTCAATTATGACAATTTAATCAATTAAAAAAATCTTATCATCCGATTTATTTGAAAATCATACACAGAGTTTGAAGTCCATAGATTTTCAACAATTTCGACAACTTGAACAGCTAAAGATATTAATTATTTTTGATTATTACTTCATTGTTTGGAACTCTTGATTAGTTTTTGCATCGCGTAAATTCTCCCATTACCTACAAAAGAAAAAAAATATTCGAGAACCTTTGTGGACTGACTGGGCGGCTTGGCTCTGATATGTTTAGCTGCCTGGCAACCTGTCTTTATTTTGAAACATAGACATGATGATGGTTTTGTTATTTTGACAGGAAATTGATGAAGCACACAGTTGTTACCCGATGAAATATATAAAAAATAAACCCGTTAAAGATTTAAAAGATGATCAGTATTTAAAATTACACATGGTGAGTATCATGGATAAGCAAAATAAGTACATGCTTATAGGGCATCATTGGAAGGGGGGCACCACAAAATTTCAGCTTTGTTAGATGACAAAATTAAAATATTTAATTTAAAGATTACTTAAAGATACTTTCCCAGAACAATATTTATCGGGTGGTTATTTCCAATAAAAATATGGCAATTTTGGTATATATATAGAAGGTAGAAATATCCAATCGTACTAGAAAATTACTGGATTCCCTTAAAAACACCCATTGAACGCATACAGAACAAATATGTAAGGGTTTCCCTAATCGGCACCCAAGCGTTTAGGAATGTCTGCTCACATCACGTCAAAGGTAGCACGCGAAGATTCAGCGCTTGATGTATATATGTTGATAAACTTGATGAAGAGTTAAACGTACAAAACTTTCTGAGATAAAAAACACGGAAAAAGACATGGGCAGGGAATAATCCGAGAATTTAATTAGGCTTCGATGTTTATGATTTATGGATAGCGATTAAAACCAACATATATATGCAATGAATTCTCCTCCAGCATCGCACCCATTGCTAGTGTTTTGAGGGGGATTTGAAGCAAAATTTTGATAGATTAATTAGTTTGAATATGTTTTTAGTCCAAATAAATCATTAAATCACCCAGTTTGTACGCGGGAACGAATATTTAAGAACTTTTGACTAGTTTATCATTGTTTTTGTATTTTCTTACAGTTATCTACTTTGTCTCAATTAATAATGACATTTATAAATTCTCATTTTGAACAATAGAATTTATTTTATGGTTTATAATAGTTTATATTTTGAATTAGATATATATGGGGGCATGAATGGCTTTTAAGTGCTTAGGGCCTCTATGGGTCTTGATATAGCTATGTGGATATTATGTTTATTTTATGAACTGGTGATGGAAATTCTCTGGTGGGGACGGAAGTGTTTGGAGGCCCAAGACATGCAAGTATGTGATGAGCCCCAGCATGTCAGAAAAAGAGCAAAAGTTCCTTGTAATTGTCCACACGTCTTAATTACTAGTTTCTGATTGTAGGCTGAAGAAGAAGGTTTACTAAAAATATCTATTATGATAGATGACGATGGTCTTACATCATCAACGTATTTCGAAGAAGTTCGACAATTATATTATAGGGTAAGTGTTTATGTTGTTCAGTTTTGTTCAACTACAGTATATTAAATAGAATGTTTTGTTTATTAGATTGGAAGATGGGTGGGTGGTCTAGTGGATTAACGCGTGCGTGTGAAATCACAAGGTCTGTCATTGAGTCAAGTAGCTTGGTTTTGATTCTCCGCTTGTACGTGACAATGAGTAGGGTTGCCTGTCCAACATCATGGGTTTTCTTTTTTTCTTTGGGTCCTCCGGTTTCTTCAAACTACTAAAGACCTGTACGCACAAGTGAATTATTGAAATAGAATTCAACCCTATGTTAGTCCCAAAATGACCCAGTTTGTGTCGAGTGGATGTTAAACCCCAGTGTTGGCGGAGAAAGTTCCCTGGGATTTTCAGGCATGATTTCATCATATCAGTGGTACCGGAAATTGAGCCAACCAAAGAACAGAATCTAGTCGGGCTGTTTGGAACGAAAAACCAAGGTCCTATATACATGCTGTCATGCGCTTAAAAGAACCTGTAACAAAGGAAGGCGGAAACATCCTCAAAATTTCCATCACGGGACACTGCATGGCATAAGCCCATGTTCATTAGCCTGGATGGTGTAGAAAAATAGAATGGCAGAAAACTCCTCGGGACCTTCCAGTCTGGTTTTAGTTGTACAAGACAGATGATAAGAATTTAAAAGCATCTAGTCATTCAGATGGGACAAAAAATTGAGGTCCAGTGTGACATATTGTCAGCACATTAAACATCCCCTGACAGAAACCGAAATAAGAATAGGCTTTTTCCCCGATAACACACCACTTGGTGTATGTCTGGTTGGTGCAGTGTATACCTTTACATGTAGATTGAAAAATCTATTAGGGGAAGATGGAGAAATAAAATCAGTTTGGGGGAGGTGGAGAAATAAAATCAGTTAGGGGGAGATGGTAAAATAAAATCAGTTTGGGGGAGATGGTAAAATAAAATCAGTTTGGGGGAGATGGTAAAATAAAATCAGTTAGGGGGTGGTAAAATAAAATTAGTAGGGGAGATGGAGAAATAAAATCAGTTAGTGGGAAATGGTGAAATAAGATCAATTAGGGGAGATGGTGAAATAAAATCAATTAGGGGGAGATGGAGAAATAAAATCAATTAGGGGTAGATGGAGAAATAAAATCAATTAGGGGGAGATGGAGAAATAAAATCAATTAAGGGGAGATGAAGAAATAAAATCAGTGAGGGGGAGATGGAGAAATAAAATCAATTAGGGGGGGGGGGGGGGTGGAGAAATAAAATCAATTTGGGGGAGAAATAAAATCAGTTAGGGGGAAATGGTGAAGTAAAATCAGTTAGGGGGAGATGGTAAAATAAAATCAGTTAGGGGGAGATGGTAAAATAAAATCAGTTAGGGGTAAAATAAAACCAGTAGGGGAGATGGAGAAATAAAATCAGTTAGGGGGAGATGGTGAAATAAAATCAATTAGGGGGAGATGCTGAAATAAAAATTGAACTGAACAGCTATTGAGGTCAAGATGGCCAATATGATTTGTGTATTTATATATATTTATTGTATTTATATTTAGGATGAATTCAGTCATCTGGTACAACAGTGGAATACACAGAGAAGTGAAGCTTTAAAACGAGCCTTAACTAAAATAGTATACCCACAGATTGAGAAAGAATTACGCTTGAAATTATTACAAGAATCTAAAGAAGGCATATTAAAGGTAAAACATTGGGTTTGCATTTCTTTCATAAAATCAAATTTCGCAATAGATTCTCATCAAATTATGTCCACACCCAAAAATAATGGTGAATTCACCTAAGGGTCTATCGCAAAATTTGGTAAATTCACCTAAGGGTCTGTCGCAAAATTTGGCAAATTTACCTAAGGGACTATCGCAAAATTTGGTAAATTTACCTAAGGAACTATCGCTAAATACCTGAGTTGTAGTGAGTTGTGTTTAGAATAAAAAGTTAATTATTTGTCTATATGTTGTAGGCATGTTGTCGTAAACTGTATAGTTGGTTAAAAGTTTCTCCATATCAATGTGATCAACAGTTATATGATGATGAAGATTATAGTGATTCCAATGGTATAAGAGTAATGGGCATTGCCTACTCAATGGAAATGTAAGTACGGTAGAATCTGTATTCACTCAATAAGATTTTCATGACTGACTGCTTAACAGGAGTCACCTCTTAAAAAAATCTTAGGCTTTGTCAATGTTGATTTCAAGTAAAATTCCAATGCGTTCCAATATTTGCCTTTGGCAAAAAAAGGTTGAGAACCACTGTTATACGGCCACATGGAATCTGGTTGTATATTATCATCACCTTCTTGTGAACACTCTACAGACTACATTTATCATCTGATTGTTTTAAAATTAATATATGTTGATAACATTAGTGAGATGAAGAAGCCTTTTGAATTTCAGAAATTTCCATTAATTACTATCTTTTTATACACCCACATTTTCATTTGTTTGTGGACACTCTCTACAGGTTTTGACGGAACTCAAAATATAGGTATATCTCCCAAAGATCTTGGTTCCTTTCGATATTGGCATTTATCGGACAATCACGTTTTTGGCTTGTGGACACGCTAGAGGTCACAATTTTCACCCAATTTTGATGAAACTTGAAATGCATTTTTATAACCCGAAGATCTTGGTTCCTTTCGATTTTCGCGCATATCGGATCATAACTTCCTGAATTATGGCCCCTGATTGTACGAAAAATGAGGTTTTTAGCTTGTGGTCCCTCTAGAGGTCACAATTATTATCCGATTTAAAAAATCATTTGAAGATATCACTGTTACACCGTAATGTTTGTTGAGTTCAAATTTTGTGAAAATCGGGCCAAAACTGCCGGACAAAATGGCCGCCCCTCGAATGCAAATGTGTCAACATCTGGTATATTAAGGTTGTGGACCCTCGAGAGGTCACAATTTTGCTCCGATTTTAATGAAACTTGAAATACATGTTTATAACCCATATCAGATCATAACTTCCTGAATTATGGCCCTTGATTGTACAAAAAATCAAGTTTTTAGTTTGTGGTCACTTTAGAGGTCACAATTTTTATCCGATTTAGAAAAAACGTGTGAATATATCACTGTTACACACTAAGATCTTGGTTCCTTTTGATAATCGCGCATATCCGAGCGTAACATCCTGGATTATGGGCCCTGATTGTTCAAAAAATCACATTTTTAGCTTGTGGATTCTCTCCTAGATGTCACAATTTTTGTTCCGATTTTAAAAACTTTTTAAATATATCACCATTCCACCATTCGAATTTCGAGAAAATTGAAATGAAACTGCCCAACAGTTTTAGAATGGCCACTCTTGGTACACAAATTGTGTAGATGTTTTTAATATGAAGGTTGTGGACCCTCTAGAGGTCACAATTTTTATCCGATTTTGATGAAACTTAAAACATATCCTTATATCCCAAAGATCTCAGTCACTTTTGATATTTGCACATTTCAGACCATAACTGTCTGGATTATTGCCCCTGATTTTACAAAAAAATCATGTTTGTTTTTAGTTTGTTCTCTATCCATCTCTTGCAAAATGTGGGTGTATCCTGCCTGGCAGCCGCTGGTTTATTGGTCTAATGGATTGAAGCATTCTGTTACTCCTGAAATCACTTGTTATGAATTTTTTTTAGGATAAATAATAAAGATCCTTCATCGTTTTGTGCTTTAATTGATGGAGATGGGGAAGTGACTGATTATTTACGTTTAACAAGTTTAACAGTCAGACGTAATTCGTATAGACAACAAGAAAGAGAAGCAAAGGTAGGTCTCTATATGTTGCCAAAGGTAGGCCAGTATATCTACTAGTTACCAAAGGTAGGCCTCTATATGTTCTAGTTACCAAAGGTAGACCAGTATATCTACTAGTTACGAAAGGGAGGCCAGTAAATCTACATATATACTAGTTACTAAAGGTAGGCCAGTCTATTTACCAGGTCCAAAGGGAGGCCAGTATATGTACTAGTTACCAAAGTGGTATATATGTATACTAGTTACCAAAGTGGTATTATATATGTTGCTAAATAAATAGGGTGTGAAATTTCAGACTGGTCCCAAAATGACCTAGTTTGTGTTGAGTGGATGTTAAACCCCCATTTCTCTCTCTCTCTGGGCTGTACACACATCGAACTATTATAATACTTATGTACTGTTATGATTATACATATCTCAAATTTAATGATTATGTGTTTCCATGGAAGCAATTTAGCATAGTTATTTTATATACAAGACTGGGTCTTCTAGTTTGATGTCGTGTGTGTCACAACAATTCTGTACTTATATGAGAAATATAGTTATTTGACCTGATTTTGGTTTCTATATTTAAGGAAAAAGATATGGAAAAAATTAAAGACTTTATATCTAACAAGAAACCTCACGTTATTTGTGTGACTGTAGAATCAAGGTTAGTATAGGTGTACACTATGTAGAGTTGTAAACTCCTCAAGTAAGTACTGAATAATATCTGGTGTGCTAAACGGAATAAGTATACCCAACCCCATACATGACACCTGTCAACACTGGATTCGTAGCGAATTTTGTTAAAAAAAACGTTAATTGTTATTCTATATAAAATTGTGTTATAAAAGTATTTGTCAAAGACTGTTTTAAATAATCAGTTCTGTTCCTTTCATTCAGAAACATTTAGGCATACGATTTACTAGCAATCGTGGAATATTAACTAAAAACATTTATGAAGTAAAAAAAATAACAGTGTAATTTGCAAAGAATGCACAAGAAATATGGAAAAATGAAATTCTTAGTATGTTAATCGTTCGGTTGATTTTATTAATGTAGAGAAGCGACGATGATTGTTGAAGATTTAAAGAAGATAATAGCGGAGTTAGAACAGGAAGAACAATTACCCCCTATCAGTGTAGAATTAATGGACAACGAACTAGCCATGGTCTATGAAAATACAAGTAAAGCTGCTGTAAGTAATAAAATTTATATCTCAAACAACCGACCGATATTTAAGAAGTCAATTCTCTATATGACATTGGAAGTAGAATATAAAAGACTAAAGTACATGAAGAAATATATACTATTCAAAAAAAGTAGGGGATATTTGATTTTGGGGGCATAATACTAAAATATGCAAATGACTACGAAAAAAGTCACTATAGAACCTAACAGAAGAAACATTTCCAGTTACATGTGACGCCCAAACGCACCAATAGCTACCGCATGGAATGCAGGTGTTCCTTGGGATCATCATGGGGGTCCAACCCAAGATTTGCACGACTCTGACTTTGAATGTTACAGTCATTGTGACATTGAATTCCAGGGTGGAAACATCAGTTTAATTGTTTTAGTGACCAGAAAACAAATTTTGATATGCGTCGGCTTACCCAAAATGAAAGGTTACGTGCCCTTGGCATGCTACAGATCGGCACAACACAGGCGGTTGTGGCGCGGACGATGAATGTTTCTCAGTCTGTCATAAGCAGGCTATGGTCCAGATACCGTGATACACAATCTGTACAGGACAGACCACGCTCAGGTCGACCAAGGGCGACAACTCAAGCCCAGGATCGATTTATCCGTACCTTGGCCTTGAGAAATCGTGTCATCACAGCAAATCAGATCAGCGCTCGTCTTCAAACAGACACTGGTGTGAGAGTGAGTGGCCAGACGATTCGGAATCGACTGCATAGGGGTCACCTTCGCGCCCGACGTCCTCGCGTGATCCCTTGTTTGAGAGATCATCACATTCAGGCAAGACGTCGTTGGTGTAGGGATCGTCAACACTGGGATAATCGACGCTGGAGCAATGTGATGTTTTCAGATGAGTCAAGGTTCACTGTTGATTTTTTGGACAGACGTAGGAGGGTGTGGCGTCGTCGAAACGAGCGCTTCCAAGACGTTAACGTCATCAGACATGATCGATTTGGGGGTGGTTCTGTTATGGTGTGGGGAGGCATCACTGTTGCTGGAAGAACGGCTTTACATGTTGTTGCAGGGCGTGTTACAGGCCAGTACTACCGGGACAACATCTTGGCAGTCCATGTTGTGCCGTTCGCACGACGGCATGGCCGCCGTTTCATCTTCCAGGATGACAACGCAAGATGTCACAGGGCCAGGATCGTTACAGGTTACCTCCAACAACAGAACATCACCACATTACCTTGGCCAGCACTGAGTCCCGACCTCTCCCCCATCGAGCATGTCTGGGACATGCTTGGACAGAGGTTACGTCAACGTCAACAACGTCCTGCCAATGTCCAAGAACTTGCTGCTGCGTTGCAACAGGAATGGGACAATCTGGACCAAAATGACCTTAGACGTCTCATTAGGAGTATGCCACGTCGGATCAATGCTTGTTTGGCAAACAGAGGAGGATTTACCCGTTACTGACTTGGTTGTGATGCTGTGGTAACTTTGCTGTTTGACCCCGGGTATCATTTTACCCTTATAATGGTCAGTCTGTGCCTTACTTAGTCTAACGATCATTTGGAATAAATCGATGAATGTGAACTTCATTTCATTTTGTCATTTGTTTCTTCGTCAGTTTCATTAGATGACTTTAATAACACTTAAAAATCAAATATCCCCTACTTTTTTTGAATAGTATATATATATAATACTACTTTAATTGCTGCACAATTGAATCCATTAAAGAACATAATTGGTGATGGATTGGACATACCTTGCTCCACTGGCATTCAACCATTACAAGTCAGACATATAAGGGAACCCATGAGGGTTGGTCTAAGTGCCAAAAGATTAAATTCATGATACAGTTAAATTTAAAAGATTGTTAAGGATAGTTAGAAGTAAATTTAACATATTTTATTTTTCTTGTAGAATGATTTCCGTGAATATCCCCCTGTACTACGCCATGCTATATCTATAGCCAGACGTCTACAGGATCCATTAATAGAGTTTGCTCAGATGTGTAATCCTGATGATGATATCATGTGCCTTAAATATCATACTCTACAGGTAATGTTAAATATCACACTCTACAGGTAATGTTAAAAATCACACTCTACAGGTAATGTTAAATTAAAACAACCATCTTCATTTAAACATCACACTACAGGTAATGTTAAATTAAAACAACCATCTTCATTTAAACATCACACTACAGGTAATGTTAAATTAAAACAACCATCTTCATTTAGATATAACACTCTACAAGTAATGTTAAATTAAAACAACCATCTTCATTTAGATATCACACTACAGGTAATGTTAAATTAAAACAAACCTCTTCATTTAGATATAACACTCTATAGGTAATGTTAATTTAAAACAAACCTCTGTATTTATAAAGATCACACTCTGCAGGTAATGTTGAATTAAAACAACCATCTTCATTTAAAACCTTAAAAAGATATAATAAAAGTAACTGCTGACCCCTTCCCTTCTGTCATAGAAACAATGTTCACATGTTCACAAGCCGAGTAATTGAATATGTGTTTTGATTGCTTAGTGAATCGTAAGGGTTGCGGTACCATCAACCAAAAACTGGTAAGACATGTTTATTAATGACAAATTCTTCTGGTGAAGAAGCTTTTTTATTGTGCAGGTGGTTGTGTGTTACCCTGCGTTGGAGTTGCTGTTGCTTAGTGAGCAGGATGCTGGCTTGCTAACTAGGAGGCCTCAGGTTCTGGCCAAGTAAACTTTCTCCCCCTTCTAAATGGTTCAGGACGGAGGGCCGGACAAGGAACACTGTCTACTCATTCGTATGGGACATGCACATAAAAGAACCCTTGATTGTTGGAATTTGAAATAAGAATAGGCAAAATATCCTTCATAGCACACTATGGCACGTCTTCATTAGCCCAGTCAGTGCAGAAACGTAGGATGTTAAGCTACAATTAATATCAGTTACCCTGTCTGGCAAGCTATGTTTAATATGTTTTTGTGTTTATTACAGAATGAGTTAAATAAAGATGAATTAAAAGAAGCATTATATTTAGAGTTTATAAATCGTGTTAATGAAGTTGGTGTTGATGTTAATAGAGCTTTAGCTCATCCACATACCGCCTGTTTAACACAATTTATCTGTGGTCTTGGACCTAGAAAAGGTTCACAGCTATTAAAGGTAAGCTGTTAACATGTTTACAGTAAAATCAACTCAATTTACACAAATAGAATAAAGTCTTATTTCGAGTTTTGTTTGAAAATATTTTAAAATCAGCACATGGAAATATGGTGCCAATGAGAAAAGTTTCTGATCTTTTTCAGTTATTTTGATAAGTAGATTTATATTATGAAGAACTGGTCATTTGTGGGGGGTTGGATGGTCGAATGGTTAGCACGTGCGTGCTGTATCATAAGGCCTGTCATTGAGTCAACTGGCGTGGTTTCGAATCCCGGGTTGTACGTGATAAGGAGTAGGGTCGCCTTTCCAATCTCGTGGGTTTCCTCCAGGTCCCCCGGTTTCCTCCCAAAATGACCTAGTTTGTGTTGAGTGGACGTTAAACCCCATTTCTCTCTCTTTCTCTCTCTTCATTTGTTGAAAGATTTCAAGTTTCAAACTAACATTATTATATCTATCTATACTAATATTTGTGACTGTCGTTTGTCTGTCTGTTCGGGGTTGGCGGCTACACTAGGTCTGCCCCGAATCTGAAATTTGGGGTATAGGGGTAGCTCGGACCGGGGAGTAATATAGGCAAGGTGGCGTTAGTCTACCACTTCCGGTTTCGGAGTTATGACCCCCGAGCGAAGCGTGCTTGGCGGCTACACTAGGTCTGCCCCGAGTCTGAAATTTGGGGTATAGGGGTAGCTCCGACCGGGGAGTAACATAGGCCAGGTGGCGTTAGTCTACCACTTCCGGTTTCAGAGTTATGACCCCTGAGTGAAGCCGGGTATCCTGCTAGTGTATGATATTAAAATGATGATATTTTGTTGTAGATATTAAAACAGAACAATAGTAGACTAGAGAACAGAACACAACTTGTATCTTTATGTCATATGGGACCAAAAGTATTTATTAATTGTGCTGGTTTTATAAAGATAGACACCAACAGTCTAGGTCACAGGTAAATAAAATATTATTATATTAAAGCAGCTAAATCTCTAACTCAGTATTTTCCATAATAGTCGAAATTAAAACATGAATTAATTAGAATTCAATATTGGTTAATTTCAGTCAATATTGATGTGGTTATCTTGCCCTGAAAATATAGGATCCTAATATCTAATATTTAAGACACAACGTTTAATAATCAGTCCACAAGTAATGTATTCTATGGGTGTCAGGTACCATTTTGTAATGAACAAATACAAACATATTCTACAAGACAATACAGAAGTAATTAGTAAAGGCAGATTCGCAAACCACAAAATAGTAATGAAAAAAAACCCATGTAGAATGGACTAAGTAGGCTTAAGGGTTAACTGACTGCCCTTCAATTTTAACTGTTCAAGGGACAATGTATAGTCATTCAGATGGTACAGAAAAACAACGTCCTGTGTACACATTGACATGCACGTAAAAGATCCCTTGGCAGTTGGAATTAGATATAAGAGTAGACACTAGTGCCGATGTTTGGGCAAAATTTCCCTCATAGCTCACTGTATGGCGTATGCCCGTCTTCATTAGCCCAGTCAGAGCAGAACAGTAGGACACTAAACCTCATTTCATTTCATTTCTTTTCATTTCTTTTCATTTTGCTAATTGGTCGGATTTGATCATTTTTGTGTATTCATGAAAACAAATTTGACATTTTGGGGGTTTTTCACAGGATGCAGGATGATGAAGACTTAGTCATTGGATTATTGTTGGGTTTTTTTTTTCAGCACTGACACGTTTGTTGATGCATTAGATGGATCTCGAGTTCACCCTGAAGCTTATGAATGGGCCAGGAAAATGGCTGTTGATGCTTTAGAATATGACGATACTTCAGAAGATGCCAATCCAGCAGGAGCTCTAGAGGAGATTTTAGAGAGACCAGAAAGTTTAAAAGAATTGGATTTAAATGCGTTTGCTGTGGAGTTAGAGAGACAGGTACTTAACTTATTTAATTCATAAGAAATCAACACTGGAAACTCGTTTAAGAAACAAGAACCAAATGATATCAATACCCTGTCCTCCATTCCTAAGATATCTTTAGAACAACATTTAGCTACCATTCACAGAGGGGAGCCAAAGCGATACAGTGAGTAAGATGTGGTTTCACTAACCAGTAGAGTAGGAATTAATGTTGCTGCCTTGGCACAATTTCCCTCATAGCATACTGCATGGCATATTAGCCTGGTTGTTTAAAAAAAAAAGTCTGTCTTCATTAGCCCAATAGGACATTAAACTCCCATTTCATTTCATTTGGTTTATTTTTCCATACTTGTCCATTATGGAAATTGTATCTAGTGTTTGGGTAAGATCAAAAAAAGGAGGCCTAATGTCACTCTACTGGAATTTACCTCTAATCTGAAGAATCCTATCCATTAATTTTTCTAATGGAATAAATAATTTACTTTGATGAGTTGTATGAAATTTTATTTTCAGGGTTATGGAGATAAAAGAATTACGTTATATGATATAAGAGCTGAGTTAAATCACCGATATAAAGATTTACGTAGTCCATATAGACCACCTTCTGTAGAAGAACGTTTTAATATGATAACTAAAGAAACTCCTGAAACATTCTATGTTGGTGAGTTAAATAACAAATGGAGCTGAAATAATTTGGAAGTCAATTGTTTTTATTAAACCTTGAGACTGATAGGTTAGAGATGGCCAGTATTAAACCTTGAGACTGATAGGTTAGAGATGGCCAGTATTAAACCTTGGGACAGAAGTTTTGAGGGGGAGACCACAAACCAGGTTAAATGAGATGAACCTCATGGTACCATTGTGCATAATGGTCTCTAGCAGTTGTAGGAACTGTCGATCCTGGAACCTACTCCTCGTTAACATGCTGCTTGACCCCATTGCAGACTTTATGATCTAAAGCACACAGATCAAACCATTCCAGTCGGCCACCCAACCCTCCGTACATCATACAGTAACCAAGTGCATAGGTTCATTAATGACTGCTATGTAATTGTACAGTTAATTTAAGATAGTAGTTTATAATTATTAACCTACTTAATGAAAAGAACAAAGCAAACAAATCTATAATATATGTTTTATTTTTGTAGGTAAGTTAATAATGGTAAGAGTGACAGGTATAGCTCATAAGAAACCACAAGGTGATCAATTAGATCAAGCTAATCCTGTACGTGATGATGATACTGGTTTATGGTCCTGTCCATTCTGTAGACAAAATGATTTTGCTGAACTCAGTAATGTAAGTATATATACTTGCTCACTACACTTTGTTTGTTAATTTTTAGCATTTCCCTAAAATCAATCAGAATATCAACAGTTGATAATCTCACAGCTGGGTCCATTAAATTATTTGACCTAACTCTTACAGTTGAAGCTGGCTTGTTTGTATCGTCAGTAAAGAATTCAAATGTTGAGACGTTTTCATTTTATTGTTCTATTGAACCATTTTTTGGACTGATATTCTTTTTAGTGATTACTTATTGTACATTGCACTTGTACGTGATAAGGAGTAGATTCGCCTGTCCAACCTTGTGTGTTTTCAACAGGTTCTCTGGTTTCCCCCTACTGCTAAAGACCCCTGCGCGGAAGTGAATTAATGAAATAAAATTGAACCATATGTTAGTTTCGAAATGACCTAGTTTGTGTCGAGTGGATGTCAAACTCCATTTTTCTCTCTCTTATTGAAATAACTATTGCTGACTTTAATGAAAGTACAGATATACCTTTTTTTTTTACTAAATCAATATTTATGGTTTAATCAAAACTTGTTTTATTGCAAAATTTTCTTACAGGGATGTGACAGTTTTATAAAAGATTTAGTCATCTTTACTGTATTATTCGTATTTTTGTACAGGTTTGGAGTCATTTTGATGCTGGTAATTGTCCTGGAGCTGCTATGGGTGTTAAATGTCGATTAGATAATACAGTTACTGGTTTTATACCAACTAAAATGATCAGTGATAAAAAAGTTACAAATCCTGAAGAAAGAGTTCAGGTTTGTTTATTATTTATCTATAGATCAAGACAACAATTGATAAGTGCTTGTTAATAAACTTGTAGATTTTTGTGAAAAGTCATTTTGCAACATGATGGTGTGACAATTTGTATAATCTAATCATGATGAACTAGAATAATTTTGTTGTATTGTCCTCAGTGGCCATTGATCATCCCTTGCCTTGTCATTGTATATTTTAATCTCTTGTATCCCCAGCCTTTGATCTTGTTGTTGTCATGTAGGGTTTGCGTTATGTTGTTATAATTTGTCTATATATTTGTATTACTGTATTACATGTAGCTTGATAACTTTGAGAGAATAATCATGATGAAATTTGTTTATTTTAGGTTGGAATGACGATACATTGTAGAATAATTAAAATAGATATAGAACGTTTTCAAGTAGACTTAACATCGAAATCGTCTGATTTATCAGACAAAGATGGTCAGTGGAAGTAAGTGGAATTGTTATAAACAAAAATTTAATACATTTTCAGTAGATTGTGTTTACATGTCTATATTTTTATGGCTGACACAGTGACTCAATGGGTAAGATGCTGCTCACTAACCAGGAGGTCTAGGGTTTTCTCTTGGTATTGGTAGAGAAAGTTCCTCAAGATTTTCTAGCGACAATTTCCCTTTGTCAGTGGTGCAGGATGAAGGGAGGGCATGGCGAGGACAGTATCAAGTCTTTTGTATGTTCCAAGAAACAAGGTCCTGTGTGCACATGATAGAATCCTTGACACTTGGAATTCGAAATTAGAGTAGGCGTTTTTGCCGGTGTCCAGGCAAATTTCCTTTATATAGAACACTGTACAGCATACGCTTGTCTTCATTAACCCAGTCAGTGCAGTAAAGCAGGATGTTATTGTCATTGTGCTTGATAACGATAAGAGGAATTGTCGTGCCTTTAGAATAAAACTAGTGATTGTATCCCATCAAAACTGTGTTCTGTTAATATGTTTACCGATCGCTAAATGTCACTTAAAGATTAGGATGTTAAACCCTATTTTATTTCATGTCTATTTTTGATGAAAATTATTGAGAACTAAACTAATTACTGACCTGCTTGTTTGATCTGGACTGATACTGTTCAATTGTTTATGAATTATATTGAAGACTGTAACCCTCTCGTTTTTGAATATTTATGTATTTGTTTTTTTAGACCTCAGAAAGATCTATATTATGATTTTGATAAAGAAAAAGAAGAAACGGAAAAAGAAGAAGATAAGAAAAAACAAAAGGCCAGACAGAGTAAGTTTGAAAGGAAAATAATCAAACAGTAAACAATTTAATCTCTTTTTTATTAATCATATTTTTGACCAAGAAAAAAAAACAAATATATTTATGGTTACTTGGTCGTCCAAACTTGGGTCAGTCGGAAAAAATTTTAATTTCTGTATTATTTTACTTTTTTGTGGCATTTGTGTTATATATTTCTTAGCATATCTAGCTTAATTACTGAGTAAGGTTCTTCAAAATAATACCAAAATCGCAGTGTTGGAATTTGTGTAGGGAAAGACACATCAAGACTGAGTTATGGGGTCTGAGAAATCAGATAAAGTTTTGGGGTTGGCTATTTTGCCATAAACACAGGTATTTTTTATTTTGACCGTATGTAAAACATATATTATATGTATGTTATATTGAGGGCTTGCTATAAGCAAACTGACTACTCTCCCAAATATACTTCTACACTATTAACATACACATCTCTATAGATGTCAATGTTTGTATCCTACTAATTACTTGATATTAACTGTTTATCTTTCAGCTTATATTAAACGGGTTATTGTACATCCATCTTTCCATAATATCAGTTATTCTGAATGTGAGAAGTTAATGGCTAACATGGACCAAGGAGATGTTATTATTCGACCCAGCAGTAAGGTAATAAGCATTTGATATTAATCAAAAATAATATTTCAATACTTGGAGAGTTTTATATTTGCCCCAAATTAAAGACTGAAAATTTGTTGACATAATTGACATTTTAAAGATGAATAAATTTAACATCGTTGTGACTCAGTTTTTTCACGAATATAAGAGATATGAGTGGCTAGTAAGATTTGGTTATCCTGGATGTTAGTGACTAGTGTCATCCGTATTGACCTCTTCAGACTCGCGTGGTAGGCTTTCATTTATACTATTCTGAAACCCCAGTCGGGTTACCTGGGTTTTTGCCTCTTAGTGTGGTTTGCAAATTTATTACCAGGGTCGGTAGCTCACTTACCAGGATTGTGGCATTGTTACTTGTCATAACAATAAAGGGATAGTATATAGGGTGTTGAGGTAACAACTGTAAGAGGGTTATCATGGTTAATGTATAAATAGAGGATTTTAAAATTGGTTCCAAATTAAAGATTGAGAATTTACAGTATTGAAATCTTTGATTGCAATTTTTAATGTTTTAACATAGTTTTTGCATGGTCATAATGATGTTAGAACTATATGGAAGTAAATTATAAGTATGTTGTCAATAGTAATTGTTATAGTTTAGAATTTATTAATGTTTGTGTGTGGTTCTTGTATTCAGTATAGATAAAATAATGTTTTGTTTAACCAGGGAGCCGATCATTTAACAGTAACATGGAAAGTAACAGATGGTATTTTACAACATATAGATGTTAGAGAAGAAGGAAAAGAAAATGCCTTCAGTTTAGGGAGATCTTTAGTTATTGGAAATGAGGTGAGCTATCAGGGTCACTTTCAGGAATATGTGCAGGAGAGGGTTAGGGCTGGAGACAACGTCAACTTTGGCGTGTAGTCTGTGTGATTATCCTAGAATTTTATCAAATCAGAAGCTTTAAGATAATATTTCAGATCATTTAGGTGCATACGTGGATAGGATAGGATAGAATGGAATGGAATGAGGTCAAAATGTCAGCATTGAATCGCATGTTTGATTTTTAAATATTATTTTCGATGAATGTAGGAGCGAAAAAGTATGCTCTGTGCGATCAGGGTAGGGTTTTGACTCTACAGAACCCCTCAACACCCCACCACTGCCAAACACTTCACTCTGAACACACACCAGGCTATTTTTGTGACTGATCCAAAGATAACCATCTGAATATGTATGGAAAGGAAAGAGAATAGGGTCCACCCTTTCCCCCTTTAAGTGTTACTTTCATCACATGATTTTAAACTGGTTTCTGATCACACGATTTTAAACTTGTTTCTGATCACACGATTTTAAACTTGTTTCTGATCACACAATATTTAACTCATTTCTGATCACACAATGTTAGACTCATTTCTGATCAAATGATGTCAGACTCATTTCTGATCAAATGATGTCAAAAGTTCATTTCTGATCAAATAATGTTAAACTCATTTTCTGATCAAATGATATCAAACTCATTTCTGATCAGACAAGGTTAAGCCTATTTCATTGCAGGACATCAATATCAATGATACAGGAAAAGGATTGAAAATGAGTTAAATTTTATCTTGTAGGAATTTGAAGATTTAGATGAAATTATAGCTCGACATGTCCAGCCAATGGCAGCCTTAGCTAGAGACATAATAGGTTTTAGATATTATCGGGATTCGGAAGGTGGTAAACGTGATATCCTGGAAAAAACTTTAATGGTTGAAAAGAGGAAAGCTCCGTCAAGGTAATAATCTGACTTGATTGTCCTCTCATTGCACTCCTTAGTAACAAGGAGGTCCTGGGTTCTGTCCTGATGTGAAGGTTTCTTAGGATTTTCCGCTTTGTTTTGCCCTTGTCAGTGGTGCAGGGTCTGTCAAGAAACACCATCTAGTAATTACTATCGGACGAAAATTCAAGGTCCCACCGTTTTGCACATAAAAGAACCCTTGGCAGTTGGAATTCAACATAAAGTAGGCAGAAACATTACTTTCCTGGTAAAATTTCCTCATAGCACATTGCTTAGCATTTGCTCACCCGTCTTATTTGATTTGGTAGGTGCAGAGAAGTAGGACGTTGGACTCTATTTCATTTCAATGGATGAGTTTCTAGGTTTCCTCTACTAGAAATTTTATAATTTTCAAGTCTTATAAATAATTTTTTATTTTTTAGGATCCCATATTTCCTGAGTTCTTCCAAACAGTTTCCTGGTAAATTCCTCCTGTCTTACATGCCAAGAAACAAACCACGACATGAATATATCTCCATTAATCCAGATGGTTTAAAATACCGCATGACAAACTTTCATTCCTTAAATTCAGTGGTCAGATGGTTTAAGGAGCACTTCCGTGATCCAATTCCAGGTATAGTTTGAACTTTCCATGTTATTCAGAACCGACTGACAAAATAATTGTTGAAAAAATATTTTCATTATACTCCGGTTTTTTTTTTTAAAATTCAGATATAAATATAATTTCCCGCCTTAAACATAATGTAATTTGTTCTTTGGAAATTTTATCTAGGTACACCCATGAGTATGAGAACACCATCAAGAACACCTGCACGAACACCAGCACGAACACCATCTAATGTAAGAACACCAGCCACTGGTAGAACACCTGGTGCTAGAACACCCATGGCAGCCTACACACCTAGTATGAATATTCAAGGTATGTTTTATTACATCTGTATCTCTGTCTTGAAAACTGTGAAAATTGAACCCCATTCTATTCTCCTCCTTCCAGCAGAACACGAGACATTGAATTTTTTTCCTCAGTCCCCTAGAGATACTTTCTGGTACCAGATTACAACATTCTAGACGATATTCAGTTGATATAATATAAACAGACTGTCGTATTTCCATTCCCCGCTTATACATGGCAAGTCGTAGGGTTGCCCAGCCAACCTCATGGGTTTTCTCTGGGTCCTCTGGTTTCTTCCCACTGCTAAAGACCCCTATACCCAAACGACGTATTGAAATAAAATTGAGTCATACATTAGTTCCGAAATGACCCAGGCTGTGTCAATTAGATCCCATTTCTCTCCCTCTTATTGTTGTCAAAATCAATTGTTTCTTTAAGGTGTTGATCCAGCTACCATACAGAGAGCAGCTGCAGGATTATCATCTAATATATATAATACTCTAGCTCAGGTAGCTAGTGCTACACCACAACAAGTTGGTTCCAATAGAAACTTTACATCAGGCTTTTCTGCTGGTAACTTTAATTATCAGGTGAGTTAAAAATAAATATATATATATCTTGTATTGTCCTATGGAGCTGTAGTGGCTCAGTGAGTAAGATGTGTCTCAGGTTCACTTCCTGTGTTTCCAGATCAGGATTTTCCAGCACAGTTCCCCTTGTCAGTAGTGCAGGGCAGAGTGCCTGGCAAAGGACAATAAATCGTTGTTCGGATGTGATGGAAAAATGAGGACCCATGACCCGTGCAAACAAACCCTAACAGTTGGAATTTGATTAAGAGTAGGCTGTACTGCTGTTGTCTGACCAAAAGTTCCCTCTGCACACTGTATTGCGTAGTACCAGTTGGTGCAGAAAATTTCACATTGAAATGAGGTGACATCTCTTAGACTGCACCAGTTTTAACATCAGGATATTATCTAACCTGTATTTCTGCAGTTACTAATTTTTATGAGGTTTTTTTTTTTTGTAGCCTGCAGTGACGCCTATGATGACACCAATGATGACGCCAAGTTACCATGGCAATCAAATCTCTCAACAAACACCTAGTCAACAACCAGTAACACCAGCACAACAATCTCAACAGCCATCACAACAACAGCCTTTTACACCTTCTTATAATCCTACACCGCGTTCTAACGCCTGGCCTGGCATGACCACCCCTAGAACACCAGCACAAAGTCAGCCCACACCATCAGCCCAGCAACGACCCCTACCTGGTACCAGTAAGGCTGGAACTGATTGGGCCAAGGCAGCAGAGATGTGGGCCAAGAGAAAACCAACGACGCCTAGAGCTCAAAGTTCGCGAGTTCAAGGTTCACCTCAATCTGACGGTAGCTCTCCCCGTGGTGATGGTACACCTTTAATTGATGAAAGGTGAAGTGTGAGATGAAGCAGTGCTACGCTTAATTTATTAAAATAATTACTAGTAGTCAGTGTGTACAATTGGCTACGTCATGGAAAAGTTGTGCTGTTACGGAACTTTGAGGATAAAAACAATACCCAGTTGTATGTAAAGCTTGATCTTGGATCACGGTATCTTGTTATGGTTTCAGAGGATCTGTACCTGTGGTATTATATTAACTGTGTCAAGCCAGTTGAAGAGCCAAAGTTTAAAACTTAACGATATCAAAGTTATTTTATAAAAAAATTATGTAAATGTTATTTTTGTTATTTAATGACTGACGGATAATGATTATACTTAATGTTTTGTATCCGAAAATTTTGTTTGGATTGCATATTATTGTGTATAATAATGACACGCATAGTTTATTGTGAAATATTTTGCTAAAGGCGATATTCTACCTGTTTTTATATATAAACTATATATAGATAATGATTACAGGTACTTTTATGAACTGTTGAAAATTTTTGGGAATCCCTCATTTAAACATTCATTTATGTAATTGCTAAATCTGCCTATTGCAGGTCTTTATTTTGGCTTCAAATGTTATATAATTTAGTGTATTATAAATTATTATTTAGACTATTTATTCACGTCAAGCCTATAATCAACTCTCTACACCATTGGGCAGCAGAGATTCAAGCGGATTAAAACATGATTCCAAAATCGAGGCTGAGTTGCTATGATAGTACACAATCTAATTCACAGTGTTAAATTCACTCAAGAGTAAAGCATTTTTAATGAAATTTTCAGTCTATTCATTTTGCATTATCTATTTTGGAACTTTTATAGCAAGAACTGTCAGGTCTTTATCTAAATCTTACATAATGCATCTTTAAGCACCACACTCAGTTACAGACAGCAGCCATCACCATCTCTAGCAACTATTCATTGAAAACACTAAATATTAGTTTAACATTATTGTCGCAAAATATTGCAATATTTTTTTTAAGACATAAGGAAAAGCCAGGTGGTTTGGGGAAGATTGGGGTTGGGGATAGAGAAAGGAGACACCTTAGTAATTATTTGAATCTTAAGTGAAGTAACAACAATGAACAGAGGTTGACCATGTATAATATAAAGCTATATTTTTTTATACTGTTTATTTTCTGTCATGTTCAAACAGCTCAACTTTCAAGCCTTAGTTGTGTCCCTGAGCATGTTATTAAAATGTGATTTTAATACAAATATCTTGTCAAACATGATTGAAAGAAGTATTACTGTTTTGTTTGTTTTGCAATCAGGTAGTAAAACATTTATGATTGCATAAAAAAAGGTAAAAATTTAACCATTAACCCTTCATGAATTCTGAAAAAACGATAAAATAAATTGTACTTAAAATATATTTTCACAGCTATATTATAATTTCGATTGTGAAAGAGAATATATGTACTTTATTATTTATATATTGTTCAAGTATTACCTTAACTCTATTATTATTTTGTCTTGGTTAATTATGATTCGATATCCTCACTATCCGTGACTCAGTCAAGTTGGTGCTTGTATTATGGTCTTTGCATTTGGAAATGATTTTCCAAGTCATTTGAGTCATTTAGAAATGATGTTTAGGGTCATTTAGAAATGAATTTAGCATCATTTATAAATAATGTTTAGGGTCATTGAGAAATGAATCTAGAATCATTTAGAAATGATGATTAGGGTCATTTAGAAATGATATTTAGCGTTATTTAGAAGTGATGTTTAGCATTATTTAGCAGTTATTTTATCATCATTTAGGAATGATGTTAGATTCATTTGGAAATGATGTTAGAGTCATTTGGAAATGATGTTAGAGTCATTTGGAAATGATTTTAGGATCATTTGGCATTGTTGTTATGAAGCTAATCAGAAAATAGTACCATAGTTTGTATAATTTGTTTGAGTAATCATGATTTCTACCATTATGTAAATAAATCATACATTTTCATCATGTCATAAATCTAACCTTTATGTGTAAATAACACATACTGTCAATAAATTTGTTTAAAAAAAATAAATATTTACTTTTAAACCTTTTACTTACAATATGTTTAAGATGCCTCTAGCCTGCTCCTTTAGAGCCAACCAACTTTATTTTAACAAATCTGGACTGGCACATCCAATCAACAAAGCCTACCGTACCAAACCATTTATAATCAGTGTGCCCCTCGAGTCAAGCAATTTTGAAGAAATGGAAAAGGATAATTTCTTTAGCAATGATTGTGAAAAAAGTTTGGGAGGAAAAGTAAAACAAATTTTTTTTGTCCAATTAAAGTGCAGTGCCTTGCTCCATCCCTTTCTGGACAAGCAATTTTGAGTAAGCAGCACCTTCACGTAGCCTCATTTCTATGAATTTTGGTTGTGATCCGCCAATGTCTAAATTTGTACTGGATCAATAATTATAAGAAAATAATTGCATTACTGTTGTTTGATAGAAAGCAGCTATCATAAATGATCCCTTTGCACCGCACCTGTGGGACCATCAATATCATTTGAACAATACCAAATGAGCACTACCCAATTGATACAATTTCTACATTGGTTGAAAAAATTAAGCTTAATTTGTCTCAGAATAAATAAGCACTATTCAAGCTGCATTTGGTTAAAATCCATTAATACTTCACGGAGATTGCACGATATACAATCTGTGTAACTCGGAACTATGGTGATTTTGGGAAAATATCCAGGACCATGATGGCAGGTTTTTAACTTCAAAAACAGTCTCTGTTTTAACTTTGGTCATAAAAGTTATTGACAACAGTGATTATAAATATAAAAAAAATAAATATTGAATTTTTTATTATCATTTTATGATAACACAGCAATAAAGAAAAGCACAAATAGTAATAGAAACTCTCTTATTTCATAATGAATTATTCTGTTCTCTAAATACAATAAATTAAATAAAAATCAACAATCCCCAGATGTAAGTTTATCAATGTGATAAAGACCTCAGATTCTGTCCATAAATATACCAATTACAAATCCTACTCAACACATCACATAACATTGTACGTGAATAAACAACAGATCAGTCAGTTAATTACTGAATTGGAAAATGAAATTAATATATCTCCTTTACTCATACCAAGAGGTCTCTGAAATTGGGTTTGACACATTTGTTAATGTAGGTCCTATAGATTTTCCTCAAAATGGAATTCTTCATTCTGCTGTATTGTAGCCTTATTTATCATCAGGCCTGGAAATTATGAACTAGTTCCTGTTATTTTGCCGGATATGTATGAATGATAGCAATAAAAACACAAAAGAAAGACAAATCAGTGTCCGACAAATTGAGACCTATCAGAGGGATAGAGCCTGACTTGAATTTGTGCCTGACAATGACTGTCAGACTTGTAAATACATGTATGGTCTATAATAGATCCACAGTACTGTTTCACTCTGTGCGTGTTTTGATTGAACAGTCTGCAATTATTATTAACCAATGTATCTCATGACATACAAATGTATGTTGAAGGTCACAGAAACTAGTCTAGGAATTATTGGTACATTGACAAAATTGATAAAACAATACCTGACATTATGAAAGTATTAACAATATCAATAAAAACACAGACAAAATAACAGGCACCTGAGGAATGCTTCCTGACAAAGCCTGAATTTGTGTCCAGAAAATATCTGTGACAGGTACCTTATTTCCAGGCTTGATGATTGCAGTGCAAGAATACATTTAATAATTTCATTTATAATAATGTGGTTAATACAACCAAATGGAAGTACGGTAGATATTATATTTTGTCAATCAAAAAAAACAACAATCGGATAAGAACTTTTAAACATCATCCTATGGTTTATTATCATAAAATGATGCAAGTGGTAGATTGAGGAAGAAAATGGTTTGACTTTTATCACCAATCTAAATTAGATGTCTCCCCTTCACTATGAACCATATCAGATTGTACATGAATATCAGTCTGAACACCTTCAGAAGGAAGACCTGAGTCGGTCACAGTCTGAGTCATGATCTCATATTTAACTTCGCTGTTACTAGTTATTTCACACTGATCATCCAAATCTCGGTTCTCCGATAATGAATTTAAATCTTGTTCTACTTTTAAGCCTGTGTGTAATTCTATGGAGGATGATGAGATTATAGTATTAGATAATCCTCCTCCCATACTCTCCTCATCTGTAGAATCGGTAACAATAATCTGTGGATTGACCTGAACCGTCACATTTTCATTGTTATTATCTTCCACGTGGACCGGAAGAGTTTGAACGATTATATGATCACTGGGTAAAGCTGACCCTGAAAATGTTATTGATCCTGATGTGGTGTTTGGTTGAGCTATAACTAATGCACCAGAACAGTCTGATGGCCATTGTTGTAGAACCTCGATTGCTGTATGAACATCATCTGCGCTAGTAGCTGACTGTAGACTTATCGGAACACTAAATGTCACTTTACAATTCTCCACAGTAAGATCATCTCTACCCACCATATCCTTTATATTTTTTATATGTTGTAGATGACTTGTCTTAAGGTAATTGACAATATAAGAAAATGGTTGGTTTTGATAATCATGAACATGTCTCTTCAACGACCACCACTTTCCTCGAAGCCACTGAGGGGACCGAGCACTGGGCCATCCTTGGGCAAGTTCAGGCCAATTAATTTGGGACTCATTTTCAACATTCAGTTCACACATTCTTAAAATCAGATTCAAGTCATCTTCTCTTGTCCATTCGGTTCCACCAAGTTCCTTCCAATTCAAATAATTCAACCATTTTGTTCGGCACTGTTTCTCTGATCGTGATGCCACTTTTTCTGCGACTAAAGCCCAGGATAACCCATGTGTGACTGTGATACTGTCTCCTGGTTTTACTTGTGCCAATTCATAAACTGCTGCTGTCAGTCTTTTCTCTTCTTCTGCCAACCATTTTCCAGAATTGCATTTATCCTTCATCAGACGACATTTGTCCTTTACTGATGAAGCACTTCGTCCAAGGGCTGTACCAATTGTTGTCCAGTCGTTACCATGCGTTGCTCTTAAATCTCTTAGTTTTACCATTTCCTCTGGGGTATATTTTCCAACATGGTTCTTCTGGTCATACATTCTTGTCACCCTTCTATACACAGAGAATAATGGCCTCTCCAGTCCTCTGGCAACTGTTCTATAAAAATCTTTCCTTTCATCTTTACTCATCTGGAAAATGATCTTCGTTGCATCTGGGATATTACGATCCTTGCAATATTTCTCGATATTCTTCTTCAAAATGTCAACTTCCTCTTTTGTCCATTGACCCTGCTTCCAGGTATGACCTTTATTATGAAGGGAATTTTTATCATCACGGGTTGTAAACCATGCCTGAGTGATGTCATCAGCAGAGCTTGATTTACCTGCCTTTCCTTGTTTGAGCTCTGAACCATCACTTTTAAGAATTTTAACTTGAGAAAGTAAATTGGACGAATCATCAGCAACAGCTAGCATTAACGTTTGTCCGTTGTCACCCTGTATTCTTATATATTTTGTTGGTTGTTCTATTACACCCTCACTTCCATCCTCAGCAACACTCACTGCATTTATAATTTTATGATCTTGTAGGACAGTTGAACTATCTGATGAAACAATTACATACTGTTGGTTGCTGTCACTGGACAATTTGAAGGTTTCTGTGTCAGTGGTTTCATTTAATTCTGTGTTTTCTTCATTAGATTCCTGTTTGTTATCGACAGAATGCATGGACTCTATAAAAAGGGTAGCGCTGCCATCGCTATCTTCTGTTTTTATTTTTGGCAGATCCTCCTGGAGTTCAACTTCCATTGATTGATTTCCGTTTACTGGTTTGGTTCGGACCAGCGGTTGGACAATTCCTTGTTAGGAAAAGTCTATGGCTTCGATCAATTGGGATTAGTTCGCATGAATTGCACTCGGTACCTGTTCTTCAACCCGTTCTTTGACAAATCCACTTTCTACTTAAAGTAAATAATTCACATAGTGGTTTGTAACTTTTGAATAGTGCAGGGTTTACAGTAAGCAGCTTCTGAAAATTTATAGAGCTGTCTATTTCCAGCTTCTCGCGAGATCTCACGCCCTTATCGCGTGATTAAATATGGCGACCGAAGAAGATGTTGACGGCTAGTGCGTTTACAAAAATGATGTTTCGGGCGTAATTGTACATTGGATATATATAAAAATGGGTGGAAAAGACTCTAAACTTGCATTCATCACATTTGATGATGCGGTAAAGCGAGGTACGTATTCAAAAAGCGAGAATGAACCAATGTTATTGTTGACAACGTCTAAAATATATTGCGACATGACACTGACAGGCCATATATGATTGACAGCAGATAGCGAATTGAATATGTCACTAAGACCCATGTCATGTCTCTCAATTGACCCCCAAAATAATGGCTTTTGGTTTTATAGTTGCCTGTATGTAATTTTAATTTTGAGTATAATCCATTCATACATTAATAAAATTATTATGAAAATGAAGTTATACGATTTATCATTCATGCAGCCCCATTCGGGCCATTGTACTTGTTGAAGGCTGTATTTGTATGATAAACGATAATGTTCAGATCAATGAATTTTGTTAGTGCTCTATCTATAGCTACTATATACATATATACACTAATGATGATGTAATACTAAGATAACAAAATTGTTAATAACCCGTGTTATATGTAGCTCGACCAGTTCCACATACATGTGACATGTATGTAAGACTGGCCGACTGACTGAATTCCAGGGTTTTCTTCGTTTACCATTCGAAGAAACTTTGAAAGGCATTAATTTCTTTGTTCTACCATTTGAGAACTATCTTTCTTGAGTAAGTTTAAAGGAGTTAAATCGCTATTCTTTGGCACACAGAAATGGACACAAATGGGTCGCAACATGTCACATAATAATTTAATATGAATGTATATAAACTTATTTACATTCAATTGTTTCTGTTTTTACTGTAATTTCTATGTTCGGCGATATACATGAAGAATCCGAATTGAATGACAGTATTTGACGTCTGGTTATTGCAGTCTATACCAGTAGTATTCTTCTGTTTGCAATATCGAAGACTGTGGATCATATTAAGTTAGCGCCTTTAAGCTTACCAGTGTTAATCAAAACAATATTTTGATGATCTATATGAAGATTAGAATTTTGAATTTTAATTACTGGTAAAGATATATTCAAGAAGAGCTATTATTTGTAGATGAAGAAATGAATAGTAAATAAGCGGAAAATTACTTTTGAAAATTAAAAAATCATGTCACATTTAAATCATGTAAAATTGTAAAAATTAATACACACACCACCACCAAAGTGTTCAGGTATAAAAAAAACTTAGTGCCAGAAAAATTAAAACTTCAAACTTTTGATATTGGATGTAACCAGTAGTACATGTACTGGTTGTTACCATGAAAATCTTGTCAGACAAGTTTAGAAAAAATATAGTCTACAGGTTTTTTCTATTTTTACCATGTATGGGTTTTTTCTATGTGAATGTTGGATTTTTTTTGGTTACTAAATTTTCAATATGGTCTACTTCATAAATCCATTACATTCTTTAACAAGAATGTTTGTTTTCAATTGCTTGTTAACAACATAAATGTACATGTAGTGACTAGAGTTTTTGATCATTGTTTTTTCAAAAATGGTGTTATAATTGCATACTGGCCGGATGATTCCAATCGATTTTCTATGACTTTTATGCCAGATGATCCATATTCATTGTCAGTTTTCTCTGATTTTCCATTTTCAGCATTTTGCAACACTCTGTTCTTGAGTTACATGTATATGTATGCCTCTCATTTCGAGAAATTTTTGAAGGCCATAGAAGCTACAGTTTTTGACAGATTTGTTCAATTTTGGTTTGAAGCATTAGGGTCCTTAGAGGACAAACTCGATCGGTTTTATCAGCATTTCATGACCTTACAAAGTTACAATCCAGAGTTATGTGCCCCATTGCCAAAATTACTTTGTGAATGCAATAGAAGCTTATTATTCAGACATTGCTATTTCTTGTAACACGATAGAGGCAACAGTTTTTAAAGGATATATTCAAAATTTGGTGTGAAGCATGGGAGTCATGAGAGGATGAATCCTATCTAATTTTGAGGGTTTGACCACTTTCAGTTACAGAGTTACAGCACTTTTACCAAATGAGATAGGGGCTACAGTTTTTTAATAAAATTTAAAAAAGACTTGTTCTGGACACTTTCCTCCACTTTTCTTAAAAAACCTTGTTAATCTGATTCTGATATTGACTACAGTTTTTAACAGAATTTTTTCTTATTTGGTGTGAAGCATTAGAAATGTGATAAGATAAACCCTATTGATTTTTAAATTTGGTGTAAATCAGTCGAAGCGGATAGAATAAATCCTGTTGATTTTTTGCTGTGTCGAAATTCCTGTTCCAGAGATGCATATTATTTGTCCAAAATAGCTTGTGAACGATATTTAGAGATTAGATCCTTATCCAATTTGGTCAACATCTTAGTTTTCCTTTACCTACAAGCTGCTCTTAAAACATAGCTGGGCTATTTTCACAGAAACCTACAAATAACAGTAAAGACAAATTTTAAGGAAATTTTCACTGTTTTCTATAGATTTATAATTCAAGAGGAAGTACATGTATATACAATGTAACAAAACCAAAATTTGTATGAATGTCTTTTCAGTTAGGATACCATGTAAACGACCATGTTAATAGTAACACATTACGGAAAAGACAAAAATACAAAGTCATTAATTTGACTCCAGTTGTCTAAATAAATGTTTGAATACCATTAAAAAGCATTTAAAAAAAGCGGTTATGCAATATGATTTTAACACATTACCTTTTGTTTTGTCTATCCCAATATGAGAAATCTTTTCAGTTATCATTATTTATAAAGGAAAAGACATACTTTGACTTTCTGAACTCATTCACATTGCATAGACATGCATGATATTAACAGAGTGATTTAAAAACCTTATTCCCTGGTTGTTTGAATGAAAACCTCTACATCAGTCACTGTTTCATATCTCTGAATTTGCTACCAAAACATTAACGGAAAAGACAAATTGTTCTCAAAATTTTGGCATAAACAATATTTGATATAGTTGATTTCTATTTCTTGTTTAAAGATACATTATGGGAGATAAGATAAAGAGATGGCAGTTCTCGCTATAATAGTTAAAAACTACATAGTGTAAAGGTAATTTGCTGAAAATTTCAGTCAAATTGATCCACTATGAGCCGAGAACGAAGCGGGTGAAATTTTCGCATAGTCTCGGTCATCATTACTAAAATCATTAATATAAGCAGCATAGTCTCGATTATCCACTGTTTTGATTTAATTATCAATGGCCGTTAAGCGGCATATAGGAATCTAATGGTCTGGATAAGTTAATTAATGTCTAATTGATAATTTAGATAACATTTCAGGCCTAAAGAAAGACTTGTAATAAGCAGATTTTGCTCTTGCATAATGCATGTTTAAATAGCTAATAGGACATTTTATTCAGCTGTAATGGTTAATTGAAAAGCACTGTAATCTTACTGCCCTTTCAATTGTAAAAGGACATTTTCAAGTTCAAAGTTGGGAATGAAAATTTTGACCACCTAATTTGATATACTAATTTTATTTTGAATAAAAACCCTGTCAAAATATTGGCCCAAAGAAAGTACTTCCATGCTGATGTACAATAAGCTTAGATATTTTAATTTTTTTTGATGGTTGCGAAAATTTTATAAACACTATTGGGTATACTATTTTTCTTTCCGTTATTTGTATATTTTTCTGAAAATAGCCCAGCTGCTGTTTGGACATATTTCCATGCTACCTTTTTGTATTCTAATGGAATATTTTTCAATAGACTCCAAAGTGAATATGGAAAATATATGATTTCAAAGGTTTGCATACATATACGTAACCTATATAAATATATTTAAGATAAAGTTACTTTGCCCCAAGAACTGGGGCCTGTTTCACAAAATTTTAACGAAGATAAAATCCAAATTTTAGTAATTTGATTGGATAATATAAGATTGATTTTAGTGCTTAGCCAATCAAAATTGAAGTATCTACTAAAATTTGGATTTTATCTTTAGTTAAAATTTCGTAAAACAGGCCCCAGGTAGATGTATTTTTCTTACAAATATTATTAATAAAGTGATGACCTAGACCAACTCATTGATTATTTCTGTTCAAGTCCAAGATTTTTGTTTGCCTACATGTACAAGTCATCTGTCTAGTTTTATGTTTCATTACAGTATCAGAAAATGAGGGTAAAAGGTTAAAAGAAGCCTTTAAAAGGGCTTCCACTTTGAGTGGCTGGATGACAGAAAATCTGTTTGTTAGAGAAGTTTTATGGGATGGAGTTCCAGCCAAAATGGCACAGGTAATGATTTTATAAATTCACTCCAAAGCGTAAATATCACTTTCAACAGAAAATTAAAAGTAATTAATTTTATAGAACATAAATCATTTAGAGTAAGCCTAGACCTATGGAAAATCCATGCTCTGGCTTGCTTAGAGCTCGCAAGCAAATTTTGTCTTTTGATCATTTGAGATATTTTTCACAAAATAAGGCTACATTTATAAACTTAAAAGTCCAGCAATCTAATTTGAACATCTCCTGCATATATCATGGCATGTCGAAAATCATCTGAGAATCCCCAATTTCTCTTTATAGTATGTAAAAATGAATCATAAGTGAATTTTTAGTGGTCCAAATAAATGCAGTATCATTTCATTATATGAATGATTGAATATAAGCTATAATTATATGTCTACTTCTATTTCAGCTTATATTTAAAGGATTTGGAGGCTCATCAAAAGGTTTAAGTTTTAAAGATCTACTGTGTGGATTAGTTGTTTTAACAAGAGGAACAAGAGAAGAAAAAATGAAATGTAAGTTGTGTATATGATAACACAATAATTGATTATTGCAATTACATTGTCTGGTCTGGAATAGTTGTCTTATGTGTTGACATCCAATATCACATTGAATAAGCAATATTCTTCTATTTCTATGCAGACAAATGCTTTGTAGTTGTGAATTATTCAATACATTTATCATTTGTGTGCTTGGGAATAGTTTTAATAGTTTAAATATATATGAATGTTATGCATGTATGACATTAAAGGGATTAGCTAGGAATTCAATTACTTTGTGTTTTTATATGCCCACATTTCACGGGGGAGTATACATGTATTGTCATCAATCATCCCCTGTCCGTTTATCAGTCCATCTACAACTCTTTGAGATATTTTTTTCTCCAAACTACCTTGGATTGTTCACAATCTGATTAAAACACAGATCCTATTTCTTTTCATTTTTTATAGTTCAAAATTTTGTTTTATTTGTCTGTACTACACTAGGATCTAAAAGAGTTGTTATATAAACTGCGTTCTGGATGGCATGAGGGATTAGCCAATGAAACCATCTGTTTATGGCGACTTATTGGTGTGCGATGCACGGAACTTCTGGGTAAACCACTAGAAACGTCAACGCTGATTGATTAATCAATGTCTCATGTCATAGGGTCAAAAGTTGCTAGTACGACCCCTGACATGACCTTTCAGTACAACTGGTCTAATCTTCATCTAGTGTACATGTAAGTCATCAAAAGTATAAAAAAAACGAAAAGAAATATAGATCTGTTTTTTATTTAATCAGATTGGATTGTTCAGAATTCAGATAGTACATAGGTAAAATTGAGAGTTGTGCATAAAGTTAACAGCCTCTTTCACCAAAACCTTGTGAAAGCTCAACAGGTTGGATAATTTTTATGTTTCCTTTCCAGACTTGCTGTGATTGTTTTGCTAGTGCTAGAGAAATACACAATTGCCCATCAATTTGTGTTCCTGGCTCCAAAGCCTTAATTGTGGTTCAGAGTTTTTGAGATATTTTTCACAAACTTGTATGGGACATTTTGCTACTTGTAGATTGAAGTTCATAGTCACCTATCAAATTTAGACATAGTCAATTGCCTCTGACCCCCATTTTCTCAAAAGGCTGCTAGTGCTAATGGACATATGTTCATTGCTTGCCAAAACTATTTGGACGTGATTATTAGTGTTTTGTCTGAAAAATAGCTAAAAAGAGGGAGATAAATCACTGAACAAACAAATTCTTGTAAAAATTGTTTGTGCCATACCCATGTTTTTGTCATAAGAAACAATCTCGAATGTCACAATGAGGTTTGTTCCATCAATTTTTCTTGCCCCTGTAGAGTTGTGTATTCGTTTGTTTAAAAATGCAGGGAGATGTCCTGACCCACCTTACCATTTGTATTTCCTAGAAAAATGATCACAGAGCTTCAGATTGTTGCACTGGACTTTAATAAGTATTTCTAAGAGTCTTACATAGCAATGTTTTATTCATGAAAGAGAAATATTTACTATGACTCCTTTAAAGATGCATTATTTAAGATTTAGATGAAAGAGCTGACAATTTTTGCTATAATAGTTTAAAAATAGATACATATTGGAATAATAAAGGAATATGTTGAAAATTTCAGTCGAATTACTTCATTCTTAGTGAAGTTATAAATGTTTGAAGAATTGCATAATCTCAATTTTCATTGCTACCATTGTTACCATAATGAACAATGTCTCATTTATCCATTTTGAAATTAAATTATTAAATGATAATTGTGTTTTAATCCATTCAAAATCACAACCATCTAAAGTTCTAGAGAGTTAATTATGGGCCCGTCGTGTAATTAGATATCTAATTAATAATTTATATAACATGTAAGGTCAAAAGAAAAATCTGCAAGAAGCAGATTTAGTGCTTACATAAATGCATCTATAAATTGTAATAAATCCCTTTTGTGGATATATGAAATGTAAGACAAATGCATTACGGTACATGTACATTGAATAAATATATTGTATACAATACAAATATTGATAAGCTTACACGATGCATTTATCAGATAGATACCACAACATATAGTACTAGTAGCATAGATCTATATTTCATTACCGATTTGTACATGTAATATGTGAGCCATGTCAAGTGATAATATTTTTAGAAAATTATTATCACATTGGGTCATATCCAGGTGGAGGTGCAGTGTGGTGGGAAACTTGAATTAAAATTACTAGGGTTAGGATTATGGTTAACTGCCCCTGGCTAACCATTTGGCCATCCAACCCCCCTTATAGTAGGACTTACTGTACAGTTACATGTACCCTCATTTAGTTGTATTGCATAGTCAATCAGGGACCGTGCTAATTTCTATGCATACATGTAGCCCCCTGTTGTATCAAATTTAAATAAAACTGTTGTTATGATTAGTTCTAGCCATACTATTATTTTATAACACATATGATTATGCTTAGGGTGAAAGAGGTTTCATATAGGTGGGTGATATTAGCAGGGGCTACTGAGTGCCCCTGTTTTAGCCAGTAGACTACTACAACCAGCTAGGGGTTTACATCTGCTTCCCCTATCAGATGATATGGCAGACAAGTTGGCCTGTTCTAGATTATGTGACATGTGTATAGTTATATATATTGTCATCTACCTGTTGGTTGGTTTGGCATCCGGTATAAAACCATTGTCTTTCGGTTTTTACACAGTGTCAATAGTCATGAGACGTCGAAGCCTATTGATTTCCAGTTATTTCCGATAATGAATCTAATGAGGCTAAAGTTATCATCTCATAGTCATTGACTTTAAATTTATAGAGTGTTTAAGGTTCGTGAGACAAAGAATCCTATTGATGTTCTAATGGTTAAAGTTTGAAATAATTACACAGTGTTTATGTGATGAAAACTATCAATTTTCAATGATTTACGATAACTCAAACAGTTAAATTCATCATTATCATTGGTACTGGTACATATTAGCATTTTGAAGAACTAGAAGCCATTCACATTGTATTTATTTATGTTTATTTTTTAGGTTTTTTTTTCAAAAGCGACAACCCTTGTGGAATGTGGACTTAGGTGTTGCGGGTGTGTGTTTCATAAAGTTTGATTGCCTTGCAGCCTATCTTTTAATTCAGCAATAGCAATGATTAATCTTTGTATTATGTCTTAATGATTTCCTGTTTTTTTATATTTCCAGTAATATTTGGAATATATGCTGATGATAGTTATAGTTTTGTACAAAAAGATGAAACAGATCGTAGAATACTGGAAACAGAAGGGCAAATTTCAACAGCAGTGTCTGATTTGTTTAGAGAGGTAAATAGATTTATTTATTTATTTTTGTAGAATGGTCAGTAAAGCAGGACAAGGCCATAAAAAAAAAAATTCTGTTTTTCAGACCATCCTTAACGAAAATCAGATACGGGAGGGAGGTTTTTTTTTATTTTGTCAAAGGATCACTACTGGTATACTGGGGTAAATGACTTCTCATAAGCATCACATTTCAAGGCACTACATTTATCTCATGTTGTTTGTAGCAATGTATGATTATCCAGTATCATTTACAAGTATGATTGTTACTAACATTTATTTTGTCAGAGTTGTATACTTGGTAAATGAGCCTGGATTCATATAATTTTTATATAGGGCTATTTCCTGTAAGTGAGTTAAAAAATTTATGTTCGATAATCGATTTGACTGTTTTTATTTTTTTTATATTTTGAATTAAAAACATGTCATTCAGCCCTTTTTAAATGATGCAGGATTATCTGAGAACTAGAATATTTCTTTTATATGGCCTAACTGTCAAATTTTTTGAAATTTTGGTTAATATTTGTTTGTTATCCTATTCCTACTACCAGTTGAGTGTGGATTGTTTATTAAAATCACTGCAACCATATTTGACATAGACATATAATATGTATGATATAGTTAGATTTTCTTTTTATGTTACCGTGTTAGTTGATTTAATTATTTAAGACTGTCAACAAAAGACAGACTGATATCTGATTGGTCATCTGCCAGTGATTTTCAGAGTATAGGCTGACTATGGACGGAACACTGTCATGTGGAATGATGTTGCATTGCAGCTCATCTTCTTAAAACAAAAGAATGCCTACAAAATATAAAATTCTTGGACCCTTAGGCAAGGTTTTGTGCTATTTTGTCTTATTCTTCAAATAGCCTTTCAAAGCAGAGTAATTATTGAATTGTAAGAAAGTAAAATAGTGTATTTGATGTTAAATATATTACAGTGTGATCAAGTGAACTATGATCAGTTCTGTTCCTGGTTAAGAAGCCATCCTGATGCTACAGTAATAACCAAATGGTTATTGATGGAACCTAGTGCTATATCTTTATCTAATGACATGGACACGCCCACATTCTATCAAACTTTAGCTGGTGTAACACATTGTAAGTAAAAATACTTTATACTTGTATCCCACTGTCAATTTCCTCTTACCTTTTGACCAAATATTTTTTTCTCTCCATGGAAATCATCAGTAAATAGAAATAATTAATGTATATATAAGACTAGTTATAGAAACAAAATTAATATATTTATGGGAGTAGTTATACTATAGAAACCATGTATTTATGGGACTAATTATAGAAATCATTAATATATACTATTCAAAAAAAGTAGGGGATATTTGATTTTTAAGTGTTATTAAAGTCACCTAATGAAACTGACGAAGAAACAAATGACAAAATGAAATGAAGTTCACATTCATCGATTTATTCCAAATGATCGTTAGACTAAGTTAGGCACAGACTGACCATTATAAGGGTAAAATGATACCCAGGGTCAAACAGCAAAGTTACCACAGCATCACAACCAAGTCAGTAACGGGTAAATCCTCCTCTGTTTGCCAAACAAGCATTGATCTGACGTGGCATACTCCTAATGAGACGTCTAAGGTCATTTTGGTCCAGATTGTCCCATTCCTGTTGCAACGCAGCAGCAAGTTCTTGGACATTGGCAGGACGTTGTTGACGTTGACGTAACCTCTGTCCAAGCATGTCCCAGACATGCTCGATGGGGGAGAGGTCGGGACTCAGTGCTGGCCAAGGTAATGTGGTGATGTTCTGTTGTTGGAGGTAACCTGTAACAACCTGGCCCTGTGACATCTTTCGTTGTCATCCTGGAAGATGAAACGGCGGCCATGACGTCGTGCGAACGGCACAACATGGACTGCCAAGATGTTGTCCCGGTAGTACTGGCCTGTAACACGCCCTGCAACAACATGTAAAGCCGTCCTTCCAGCAACAGTGATGCCTCCCCACACCATAACAGAACCACCCCCAAATCAATCATGTCTGATGACGTTAACGTCTTGGAAGCGCTCGTTTCGACGACGCCACACCCTCCTACGTCTGTCCAAAAAATCAACAGTGAACCTTGACTCATCTGAAAACATCACATTGCTCCAGCGTTGATTATCCCAGTGTTGACGATCCCTACACCAACGACGTCTTGCCTGAATGTGATGATCTCTCAAACAAGGGATCACTCGAGGATGTCGGGCGCGAAGGTGACCCCTATGCAGTCGATTCCGAATCGTCTAGCCACTCACTCTCACACCAGTGTCTGTTTGAAGACGAGCGCTGATCTGATTTGCTGTGATGACACGATTTCTCAAGGCCAAGGTACGGATAAATCGATCCTGGGCTTGAGTTGTCGCCCTTGGTCGACCTGAGCGTGGTCTGTCCTGTACAGATTGTGTATCACGGTATCTGGACCATAGCCTGCTTATGACAGACTGAGAAACATTCATCGTCCGCGCCAGAACCGCCTGTGTTGTGCCGATCTGTAGCATGCCAAGGGCACGTAACCTTTCATTTTGGGTAAGCCGACGCATATCAAAATTTGTTTTCTGGTCACTAAAACAATTAAACTGATGTTTCCACCCTGGAATTCAATGCCACAATGACTGTAACATTCAAAGTCAGAGTCGTGCAAATCTTGGGTTGGACCCCCATGATGATCCCAAGCATCACCTGCATTCCATGCGGTAGCTATTGGTGCGTTTGGGCGTCACATGTAACTGGAAATGTTTCTTCTGTTAGGTTCTATAGTGACTTTTTTCGTAGTCATTTGCATATTTTAGTATTATGCCCCCAAAATCAAATATCCCCTACTTTTTTTAAATAGTATATTTAAGGGACTGGTTATAGAAATAATATATGTATGGGACTACTAATAGAAACAATTAATGTTTTTATGGGGACTTATTATAAAAATAATTAATATATTTATGGGAGTATTTATAGAAAACATTAATATATTTATGGGAGTATTTATAGAAATTAATTTAATTTATTATTTCTTATACGCATTACATATACATCTCAATTATTAATATAGTTAAGGGACTAGTTATAGAAATCATTAATATATTTTAGGGACTAGTTTTACAAACAATTTATATATTTATGAGACGTACAGATTGAATGGTGATTAAGCATATCAGCCCCACAGGTTGTTTTTATAAGGAAGTTATTCAAAAGATTAATGTGTCATGTTTTAAAAAGGAATGAATAATCAGTGACACCGTGTATAATATTTGATCTATAAAAACCACGTCCTGTTTACAAATTACAGTGATTATTCGGTTCAACTTATGCAATACACAGGGCAATATAAAACACAACACACTTGTTCTATTTTTAGATTTTTTGGTTTAAATTAAAAATTGCTTTTGCCGTTTTCTAGGTCATGAGAGAAAAATGGCCCAATTTTATTACACCTACTTTAACATACATGTAATTGTATTGATCCTCCAGGAGTTCAATTGGTGTCTACAATGAATAGCATATCACTGTACTTAAATGTAGTTCAATTAAAGTTGTTATACTGCATTCCATTAGGCAACATTCTATAAATGATGTACAATTAGCTGAATGTATGAATGATGTTAACTGCCCATATAATCTCAGCATTTCCTATAAAAGTTAACAATTTAATATAAATAGAATAAATCTAAATTATGTCAACATCCCTTTAATCTCGGCATTTCCAAGAAAAGTTTAGTAAAATTCTAGAAATGTGAAACAAGTTACATGTAGATATAGATATTATAAATTTGAATGATGTCAACTGCCTTGTGAAATCATTATTTCTTAGAAAGGTATTGCAAAATACAAATGCATTTATTGCAAAACAGAGACATAGTTATCAAATTTAAATGTGTAAAAACATAAAACAAGTAGATAATGGGTAGCCTACATTGTTATACCCCCCACATTGAGTGTGTTATACAATAATAGATAGAATAGGGAGGGAGGGTTAATACTATGGCTGTTCCCAAATCTCTTTTCAGATACAAATCTGAATAAAAATACTGTGTATAAAAAAAATAAATAAATAGAATACAATATTAAAAAAAACCCAAAAAACATTGTTTTATCCCACGTTTCGATTGATTGGAAGCTTCTCACATTTAGGTGTGGGTGTATTATATCCTCTCCCATGTCCATCTGTGAACAATTGGCTAGTTAATGTGATAGAATAGGGAGAGGGGTTTAATACAATGCCTGTTCCCAAATCCCTTTTCAGATACAAATCTGAATAAAAATATTGTTTATATAAAAAAAAAATAGAATACAATATATAAAAAAACAAAACATTGTTTTATCCAACGTTTCGATTTATTGGAAGCTTCTCACATTTAAGGGTGTGTGTATTGTATCCTCTCCCATGTCCGTCTGTGAACAATTGGCTAGTTAATGTAATAGTTGTTAACAGATTTCTTTCAAATTTGGTTTTAATAGTTGTTGTTATAAGAGAATGAATTGATTTTCAGCTTTCCACAAGCTTCCATTCTTGAGCTACCCACCTTGTCAAAAAATCTTCTTAATGCAATAGAGACCACAATTTAAAACAGATTGTTTTCAAATTTGGTATTAAGTATTGCTGTCTATTCATCAGGAAATATGTTAGATATTAATATTATTGTTAATGTGTTGGGGTTTTTTGTTAAATTTTACAGTGGAAGAGACAGATATCAGTGAATTAGAAAAAAGATACTGGACGTTGAAAGCCCAATCACGTTCTGGACGATTTGATTTAGAAACTTTCAGGAGTTTTGTTATTCCACCTTTGCCTGAAAAAATATGTGAAGGTATACAATGCTTTTCTGATTTAATTACTTCAATTTGTTTACTTCATGAGGGTTAGCAAATAAAGATTGATGAAAATCCATTTAGAACAAATTTTTATTTTGTTTGCTAATTAAGTGAAGCAGTTTCTAATCAGTTTTTAGTTGCATTTTGTTAACCGAACAGTAATAAACTATAACATATACTTATGGAAAACAGCTTCTTGTATATTAGACGATGTTTTGAAGAATATTCTCTCAACGTTATACAGCAATACAAATGTGAAGCTTGCTGTATGCATTAAGAGATAGATTATCATACACAATAATTACACCTTTGGATACACAGCTTGCTATAAACATTACGAGATAGATTATCATAATTCATACACAATGATATTACCTTTGGATACACAGTTTACTATATACATTAAGAGATAGGGTATCATACACAATAATTACACCTTTGGATACACAGTTTGCTATATGCATAAAGAGATAGATTATCACACACAATAATCATACCTTTGGATACACAGTTTACTATAAACATTACGAGATAGATTATCATACACAATAATCACACCTTTAGATGCACAGTTTGCTATAAACATTACGAGATAGATTATCATACACAATAATTGCACATTTGGATACACAGTTACTATACATTACGAGATAGATTATCATACACAATAATTGCACATTTGGATACACAGTTACTATACATTAAGAGATAGAGTATCATACACAATAATTGCACATTTGGATACACAGTTGACAATACACTAAGAGAATATACATGAATTGTATTGTCTATATCTGCTTAAAATACACATTAATTACACAGGTTTACATAAGAGTTGTGAGTTAAAGATTAAGATATACATAAATGTAAATAAACATTATTTAACTAACACCAATTTAATTGATACAGCACCTTGTCTAAATGGTTTATACTCATGTGATGAGTTAGAGTCTGCTGATAAACATAGTTGAATACACAAATTTAATCAGTTAAAGTAAGAATGTTAGAAGACAAGTGTATTACTGCTTACAAATATGAAAGATGTCACTTGAACTTAGCCAATGTCATGTATTAATTTAATATGTATGCATATTCATCTTTTATTTATCTATGCAATCTGAATAAGCTTATTTGTTATTAAATATTATACATGTCAACTACACAATACACAGTACAAAAATTACGAAAGGCACGCTACAGTGGCAACATTTAATCCAAATGTCAAAGTTATTTCAAAAGCTGTGATGTACATGAATTTTGTCGGTCTTTTCATAGATTTTCTGATTCGTAAATTCCATTTATTTCAGGATTATTTTTAGCATTTGATGAAAATCGAGATAATCATATAGATTTTAAAGAGATGGCTTGTGGGATCTCTGCTTGTTGTCGTGGTCCTTCTACAGAGAGACAGAAATGTAAGTATGACAGGCAGACACACTGAGCTTCTTTGGGCTATCAATGACTTTTGTGACCGTGTGTTGATATTCTTTCAGAAGTCAAAGCTCTGCAGCAGGTTTTTTTTCTTCTTAAGAATTTTCATATTTGTTTTACCTTAGATTATACAACAAACACCCAATGACCTCGAATACACAGATATTCGAGGACACAAGACTTTGACACCCAGTGACACACCTGTCATTTGTATACCGAAGATGTTTAGTTATAAAAATAATTACAACCTCTGCAATAATATGCTAGTGTTTTTTTTTGCTATTGGTTATTAATTAATAAAAAAGTTCCCTCAAGTATGTAATTTGTTAAAATAAAAACGATAGTAAACTGTATAATAAATTTTTATCTTTTCAAAATAAACTGCATTACTTAATTGTACTTATGACTGCAGCACCTAAGCAAATAACTGAACTCAATAATTTACAACAATTGATAGCTACATCAAGACACAGACCATAACATGCCTAGTTAGAGTGGCCGTTGCAGAACTCTTACTGATTCACAGCTGGGCGAGCATTGAACCATTATGTTTGCAATTCTCAAGTTCTAATTTTAGTGTATTCCCAAGGTTAAAATGTGCCATTAACTTCTCAAATACTATAGAATTGATGATACTACAATTATTAATATTCTTGTTATATATGCGTATATATAGTTTGTGTAATCATTATTTAACGTGGGTCTCTGTTTGGTTTGCACTGTCACTGTTACTTGCCAATTAATAATTTACTGATAGTAACATACTTACAGTCTAAATTCTCCGAAGAAGATATCTTTAAATAAGATTACTAATTGTGTTTCTATATTTTATATTTCAGTTTGTTTTAAAGTATTTGATACAGATCATGATGGTAAACTGAGTAAAGATGATGTAAGATTAATGTTAGAAGCTCTAGAGAAAGTCAAAAAGGAATATAAATCACAGGCTGCCTTGGTATGTTTGATATCTCAATTTAAACCTGTATTGGGGTGTATTTCCATAGGATTGTCCTAGATTAATTTAGTGATCAGCAGTCCATCAAAAACAAGCATCCATCTTTAAGTTCACACAATCCCAGAATCCTCCAGGACTAAGGCCTTTTATTATCAAGGGAAACAACCCAATACAGCATTTTAAGCAGGCTTAAGACCACATTTAACTAATTAGTACTGAACTTATTTTTAAAATCAGAATAGCGAGCAAGTAATAGGGTCTATAGATAACATGTGTTTTAATGAAGTAAAGAAATTAATCCTCCAGGACTAAGGCCTTTTATTATCAAGGGAAACAATACCATGATACATAGTTTTAATTAGTATTTAATTGTAAAAGCAGAATAGAGAGCAAGTTAAAGAAGCTATATTTGACACTGTGTTAATGGAGTAAAGATATAAATCTGTCTGAATCCCATATCTCATATTCAATCAGCACACCATTCAGTAGTATTCTTATTCAGCACATTGTCACAAGAACCTTGACTTACTAGGGGATTCAATTTATCAGAATATATTAACATGTTTATGTTTTATTTTTGTATAGGATGCAGAAGATTTTCCACCATTAGACCCTGATACTGTTACTAGAGAAATTATGTCTTGTCATGATAATGATAAGGTTTGTCATATGTGATTTCATTAATGATCTGTTTCTTTAAACTTGTAATCCCAACACTGATGGTTTAATTTTACTTGTAAAACAGTGAGTGCAGGAGGACCGCACAACACACAAACAAAATCAATGACAAACTTGCGGACAAGACAAACATAGATACACATAAATTGCAAGAAATAAATAACAAACATCAAATCACGCAAGTGAACCATATTAAAGCAAATTATGTTTTTAACAAGTATTTAATTCTATAGAGTCGATCTACAATCATTTATGATGGATTGGACAATTTTCACAGTTCTTTCTCAATACTATCAAATGCCACCACATTTTTACCTCACAATTGTGAAAAATACTTGAATTATATCAATAACATTGAGTTAATATGCTGAAAACTTGAAAAAAAGATACTGGTACAGAATGTGATGGTGGATGTCTCACCATTCTAGTTATCTCCCTTGATAATCGTGTCCTTATGTATTGTTTGAAAGTAAATTTTTGTTTTCTTTGACAGGATGGTTATATAACAATGGAAGAATATTTAGTATGGAGTGTTAATAATACTTTAACAGATGATTTTCTGGGTTTATTAAGTCAGGTAAATGAAAAAAATATATTTTTGTTTAAGATAAAAATTGTAATTGTTCCAGTTTACCTCCCCTTCTTCATTATCCCTGTCGGTGCAGAAAGGTAGGAAGTTATATCCCATTTCATTTCATTTCATTTTTGGGAAAAACGATTTAAAAATCTGATTTCAAACAACTATGGGTGTGAAAACTGTTGTTCCAATATTTATTCTGAACGTAATTTAAATTGCAAGTTAAGATTAAAAAGGGAATATAGTATTATCCTCTATCTGTATGCTGAAGTAGAAATGAAATGAAATGGGGTTTAACGTCCTACTGTTCTGCTCCGAACTTGGCTAATGAAGACGGGCATACGCCATACAGTGTGCTATGAGGGAAATTTTGCCTGGACAGCGGCGCTACGGCCTGCTCTTATATCGACTTCCAACCGCCAAGGTGTCTTTTATGTGCACGCCAATGTATACACGGGACCTTGGTTTTTTATCACTGACTTGAAGTAGATTTCTCATGAATATTAGTAAAGTGGTTGAAGTCCTACTTTTCTACACAATGCCATGCAGCATGCTATGAGACAAATGTGTACACAGGACCTCTGGTTCCATACCTTCCAAACAATATACACTGTTCCTTGCCAGGCCTCAGGGAGGATGACCAAATGTGTAGGTTCATAAGGTCTGTATGTGACAAGGAATAGAGTCGAATCTTAGTCTCAAAATGATCAAGTTTGTGTCAAGTAGACTTTAAAACCACTCTCACCACTGACATGGGAGAAACCATACAGAAAAATCCTCAGAAACTTTAGCAGTTAACACTATTACTTTTCTCAGGTAGACTTTTGTACTTTATATTGCCAGCTGAGATATACAACTTCTCTTTTCAGATATCTCATATTGTATTGGGTTTAAAACCACAGACAAAAGAAGAAGAAGGAAAAATTGTTCAGTAAGTTTGATTAAAAATAGAAAAAAAAACATTTAAATCTCAGTGTGTTCACTAATTAATTTTCTTTTTTATGGATATAATCATCTTCTCATAACTTAACAGCTGACAACATTATGTTAAATTATCTAGAAGCTGGTTAGAACGTGAATCCCAGAAGCCATTAAAGATTGGTCAGATTTGGTACCTTATCAGCATGCAATGGTGGAATACTTGGTTAGAATATGTCAATAGTGATGTAAGTAGAAAGATGAAATTTACATGATGTAAATATGAAAACGTAAATGTAATGTTTAACTTGGAATTGTATACATAGACTGATAATTATTTTGTCAGGAATCCAGAATATTTGCCTATATTTATTGTACCTTGCCTTTTGGAGGCGGTGGAGGACTATTAAAATTGTTTCGTCCGTATTTGCTTCACTCTTTTTGGAACACAGTAATTTTGATTCTAATGGAGATAGAATGTTCAAACTTGGTGTAAATTTTCATATGTTAAATATCTTGACTAAGTTTAGAGAGTATTTTGCTTGGTCAATGCTTTGCAACGTGATAACTCTGATTCTAATTGAATGAGAGTGATGAGACTTGGTGTATACGGTAGTCATTACACCAATACTTTGACTAAGTTATATAATGAGCATTTTCTGATCATGTTAAGCAGAGTTTTAGATACTTTATAAAAAGATGAATGTGCTAGTTATTTATTTTGATATTGAGTTCAATGTCATCAGCTTCACTTTTGGTTCTTGTTTTTGATAAACAGTAGCATGATACAGTCTTACAAATATGTAATGTTTTATTTTTAATATTTGTGTATATATTTTTAATGTTTGTGTATTATTTTTTAATTTTATAAATAGCTTATACATGCATGTGAGTACCCAATCGCTGAAGGAAATGTGACACCAAAGCATAAAATAGTCAAAGGTCGACCGTCTACTGGACTTCTGGCGTGGGAAGATGATTCTGTAATAATGATAAATGCTTCTAAAATGTCTGGATCTGGAGATCGTGAATTACCATTAGTTAACAGTCTTTCAAATATAAATACCACCAATGGATCATACAACAGTTTACCAAGAATGGGTTCAGCCAATAGAAGTCCTAGAAAAAACAGCTTAAATCCAATAGATAATACCTCCGTAAACAGAAGTCCAAGTCCATCTCCTAAAACCAGACGAAAAAATATGGTGTCTTTTGGTCCACCTCAAAGACCAACTGCTATTGATAATAATTCATTAATCATCAATTCAACTCATAATAAGGTTGGTCTAAATTAGTTTTGTTTATTTTTGCACCTTTCTTGAATTGATGATACTTTTATGTCTGAACTAAGGATGATTTTTGTTATGGTCCATCATAAAGGTGTTATCTGGAATAACTATTACTTGACTTCCCAATTCTCTTTGTTATTAATTCTTGCTGTTACTTTAAGTAGTGAGTAAATGAAGTGTTTATCTTTTCTTTCTGGTATTTTAAACATAACTTAGTGAGTTAATGAAGGATATTTACCTGGAATGAAGTGTTTTTCACTGGCAGTATCAGTCTCAAATACAGGCTTTCAACTCTGCTGCCCTTTTTTCTGACAGACACAAATTTTTCTCATTTCAGTGCTTTTACTGAAATTTCTGATACACATCCTGCACAAAGTGAAGTCATTTCAACTAAAATCGTTACCTCATTGGGGGAGGTGGAGTAGCTTCCTAAGACCTTGAGCTGGCTTTCTCACTACCTTCAGTATGCCATTACCCGAGTAATGATAATCTCTGCCCACCCCCCCACCCACCCTTCACAATTTAATTTTGTTTCCTACAGTTCTGTATCAGCAGCCATGTTTTTGTGTGTGTATTTTTTAGGTGATGACATTAACTAATGAAGGTGGTAGATTAAAGAGAGATACTGTATTAGTTAGAGGAAAAGATTTTGAACTTGTACCAGAACCAATTTGGAGGGCTTTATCTAGTTGGTATGGAGGGGCACCAGCTTTACCTAGAACTGTAAGTCTTCATCTCTTACCTGGATATTACCTATGCATCGTCATGAGTTCAATTCCATATTTGTACTTGACAAGGAGTTGAGCTACTCTTCATCATCTTTAGGTTTACTTTCACTTCGAAATGTTTGTATGCACAAGTGGATTTAAGAAATATAAAAATACAATATTATTATATATGTTAGTTAAAGATACATTATAGGAGATTAGATAAAGAGCTGGCAGTTCTCACTATAATAGTTAAAAACTATATAATTTAAAGGTATTTTGCTGAAAATTTTTGTCAAATTGATCCACTCTGAACCAAGATTTTAGTGATTGCATTTTTGGCCTAGCCTCGATCATCATTACTAAAGTCAGTACGATAAAAAGCATAGTCTCGATTATCCATTTCATGATTAAATTATGAATGGAAGTCGAACAGCAAATCGGAACCTAATGCAATAAACATAGCAGGCTAGCGATGACATCGAGAGTTGATTATAGTCTGGATACGTTAATTAATGTCTAATTAATAATTTAGATAACTTTTCAGGCCTAAAGTAAGACCTGCAATAGGCAGATTTAGCTCTTGCATAATGTATGTTTAAATTTTAAAAAGTATTATCAGTATTTTGAAAAATAGTAATTTGAACAGTAATCCCAGTGTGATTCATTTAACTATTCAATACAATATATTGAATATTATATTTTGTTACTTTTATTTGTAGGTGATATCAAATGGCTGTGATTCTCAGCCTGAGTTAGAATTATATCCAATCTCTGTGAGATTATTACGACATCAGGTACCGAGTCAAAGACCTCCCCCACCTACAACATTTACCGGTATGATGGCAGGTATTGGTGGAATGGCTTGGAGTAAGTTGATTTAAAAACAGAGAGTACATAATTAATCATTTACTCGCTACAACAGTTTTATTATATTGGGGAGTATGGCACTGGCTCACTAACCTTGCGGTCCTGGGCTTGATCTGAGTGTTGATCCAGAAAGTTCCCTGGAAATTTCCAGCATGGTTTTCTCCTGTTCATGTTTTCTTAGGGAAATTACTATGTAATTATCTATTATGTCCCAAAGGAAATTATACCTCTTTCTATAAAGGAGCCATGGTGGCTAAGTGAGTAAGATGCTAGCCTGGAGGTCACGGATTCGCTTCCGGTGTTGGCCGAGAAAGTTCATTGGGATTTTCCGGCATGGTTTCCCCTTGTCAAGGACAGCTGTCTAGTTGTTTAGATGGGATGAAAAACCGAGGTCCCATGTACACATTGGTGTGCATGTAAAAGATCTCTTGGCAGTGGGCACTTGATATAAGAGTTGGTTGTAGCATTACTGTCTGGGCAAAATTTCCTCATAGCACACTGAATGGTGCATGCCCATCTTCATTAGCAGAACAGTAGGACATTCAACCCCATTTCATTTCATTTCCTCTTTCCTATAAATCATGTGCATGTACAGTATCGTAAATTTATTTTTATTTTTTTTATTTCTTCAGATTTTGCAGCTAATCCAAGCGCTCCAAGGAGATATTTAGCTTACACAGCAGCATTCAGTCGGAAACATACGTTATTACAAATTTATGAATTTCTATGTACTAAATTACGATTTACTAGAGAAGATATACGACTGTGGAAAGTCAGTCAAAAAGATGAGGTAAGTTTACTGAATTTTCTTTGGGGACAAATCAACCATGATGATATGAAATACGTGTTTACATTGCCTTGCAATATTTAGATATAACAGACAGCTTTATGGATAACATTCACTAGGTTTATTAACTGCAACGTTTCATTAGGGATACTCGCACAGTTATCAAGCATAGTGCATACATATCATATATAAATTTAGCGAGAGAAGAAACAAAAGTACTTGTAAAGTACTTCAAATTATTAATAAGATCTATAATGTCTGTTAGAAATTGCCAAATTATGAACAGCTATTGTCCATGATAGCTTTCTAGTATTTATATATTAAATAATTCTGTGTGTCTGTCATTTCAGCAAAACATGACATTATTAGAAGATGATAATATGACTGTAGAAGAAGCAACTATTGAGGAAAACCAACAAATATTAATAGAAGGTACTCAATCTGTCTTGTTAATGAAATGAAATTTAATTTTGGTTCAGTAGAAATATCTCAGATTTTTGACAAGTTTCTTGAGTATACCTGTTTTAAATTTACTTTTATTAGAGTTAACAACCCCAATCATAACTATTTCAGACAATATTGAATCTTTCATGGCTTTTAAAGGAGTTAAATCTCTATTTTTGGAACCTAAAAAGGACGAAAATTAGTCAAAAAGCACATATTGATGTAAGCATAGAGTACACGCAGTGTGTACTGGTTTTAGAATTGTTCAGTGTCTTAAATATTGCATCAGGAGCCCATATTTTCACGGTAAAATAACAACATCCAATTGATTGGAATGGACCAATAATAATATTGGATAATATTGTGTTAGAGCTTTACGTCCTTTAATCCATGACGAGTAACTTTTTGTTTTTGATATTTTGAGACTTGTCTCCTATTGTCAGCTTTGAGGCCCATATTCATTAATGTCTTTTAATGGCAGCCGAACCTCTTTCTACTGTAATGTGTTTCAAGATCTAAGCCTACAAAGTGAGAAATAATTGAACCCCTAGGTAAGGCAAGGTTATCTAGAAAGAGCCAGAGCACTGTAACAATTCCTCAGTGAAATTTGAATTTTATTATACATGATTTTATTGTTATATTTATGATGTGTTAAATACTTTTATTTATACAGTGAGAAATAAAGATTTAACATGGCCTGAAGAAATGTCTCAACTAGCTAAAAATAGATCTCTAAAAAAAGACGATGGTAGGTCATTCTTGATATTAATACTGAATGTATTATTATTGGTATTATAATAGATACTTTAATGGGGCTTATCATCCACTCAACACAAACTAGGTCACTTTGGGATTGACATAGGCCTACAGTTCAATTCATTTCAATAATTCGCTTGAATTTGGAGGAAACTGGGGAACCCACAAAATTATACGGTCGACCCAATTACTTGACACACAAGCTGGGAATCGAAACCACTCCACATGACTCAATGACTTACCTTATGATCCATCACATACCAGAAGATTGACATACAGTGGTTGCCTTTTTATAGAGTGTGATATGTTATCAAATTTGTACAGAACACATAATTAACACCAAAACAACTAGTACTCATATTTCAACATTTTTCTGCTTCCTTCCTATATTTACACAGGCAATAATTGTGCTGTTTTGATCTGCAGTTATCCTTCATTTTCTATTTTTCCATATTTTCAGTGCCAACTGAAAGAGGAGCTACAGGATTAAATAATCTTGGTAATACATGTTTTATGAATGCTGCTGTACAATGTGTATCTAATACATGGCCCTTAACACAGTATTTTAATACAGCTCTACATCTGTTTGAATTAAACAGGTAAGAAATGAAATGAGATGAAATGGGATTCAACCTCCCATTTTTCTACACCGACTGGACTAATAAAGATGGGCATACACCATGCAGTGTGCTATGAGGGAAATTGGGTTGGACAGCTTCGCTACAGCCTACTCTGATATTGAATTCCAACTGCGCACGCCAATATGTACAACAAGACCTCAGTTTCTCATTCCATCCAACTGACTACACACTTTCCATTGTCAGGCTCTCCATCCAGCACCACTGACAAGAGGAACCCACACCTAAAAATCCAGAGGAAATTTCTCGGCCAACACTTGGAGCAAACCTCCTGGCGTCTTTCTCACCTAACCACCACGAATACCAAGAAGTTTAACAAATCCTCCATGTTAATTTTAAAGCTGCTAAATTGTACTCAAATTGATAATTTGATATTAAGAAAAGAAAACTAAAATATCCACTTTAACTAATCTTCCAGCTTGGATTCAGTCAGATTAAAAAGAGACCATATCAAAACATTTTTGTTTTGTCTTCGGTAGAAGATTTTGCTAAATATCCAATTGATATTGTAAATACTGAAAGGAATTAAACCCTTTCTAGTCTGATATTTCAATTAGAGATTGCTCTTTAACAGTAGAATGATTTGATTTGTTTGTTTTTAGGAACAATCCTATTGGTATGAAAGGTCACATAGCTCAGAGATATGGTGATTTAGTTAAAGATATATGGAGTGGTACATCACGTACTATAGCTCCTCTTAAACTCAGGGTAATTACTTTAAGATATCTTTGGAAATGAATCAATCCATTTGACATCAAACTAAATAATTCAGAATTGGTTCTGTATATTAGAACTGCACTAATACACAATGATATTAACTGGTTGTTTTTACGTAACTTCTTTGTTATATCATCTTCTGATTACAGAATGTACATATGTTGTCATTAGAAAAACGTCTTTCTCTTACTGGAAAAGCAAACTACTAAAAAAGAACAAATGGTTTGATAAAAGGAAAAAAAATAGTAATGATGCTTTGTTTTGTTATATTTTTGCAAGGGGAAACAACTCTTCTGAAACCTCTATTATCTCCCCTTACACCACAGAACTCCTTTAACCCATTTAACCCTGAGCCAATTAAAAGATTAGCTACCCTACCCCTAAGCTAATTAAATCAGCAGGGCCCATTTCCTAAGCCAATTAGTGGATTATTGTTAATCCTAATACCCTCTACAAAATTGCAAATAACTAAAAAAATTATGACTTTTCTCTGTCTTAATGGTAAAATAACGTGAACAAGTATCCCCTAATAATTTTTTTTTAAAAATAGAACACAAATATAGTCCCTCACGTTGGCAGCAGTGTTCAAAGTAAATGTAAATATAACTTTTAAAAAGAAATATCACCCAAAGTGACGGTCACTTCATCGCTATCGGCATTTTAACATTTCTGCCTTTGTTTGGATATATGGTCGTCTTCTTTGCTTTATTGCGTCGAAAATAAAAATATATAGTTGAAATCTTCGACAATGTAATATTCCTCTATGTAGCTTGCATTAAATCCCAAAAGTTTTGATTCAATTTAGTTTTCCAAAGTCTAGAATTATTAGCCGTAAGTTTTGTGTTATCGTCTGTTTGAAAGCTCACCATATCCATTATGGCGGCGACACGCTTGATCTCGGCTCGAGTATCCGTATTCTTCGCATTGTAACGTCAAAAAAAAAATAACAAATAGTTGATTTCTTCGACATTATCATATTCTACGATATGCCTGGCAGTAAATCATAAAAAATCTGATTCCATTTCACTCTTCATATCATAAAATTATTAGCCGTAAGTGACAACGTGAAAATATTGGAATACTGCCAAAGTCATTGACACGGTGTGAATTTTCACCTCTGACCTATTACGTAAATACTGGAAGATCCTTTGTTGAAACGTATGTTTTTTATTCGATAATTGGCTAATATAACATTCCTTGCCATTGAGTGCTTTATTTTTATTACTCAATCACCATTAATTTATGAAATAAACACAATAGAAATCTGTTGATTGATCTGGCGCTTTTGTGTCGCTAATTAACTTAGATCGAGATATTTTGCACAAGTTCCCCCTTATGAACGTCTACAAAATCTGAGGCAGATATGTCACAAAATGTTCACACAGTCTAATTTAAACATGAATGATTTAACATATTGTCATCTCTGAAATTAGTTTTATACCAGTAAAGGAACAGTACCGCTATAATTCTAAAATTTTGTGTTATTTAAGTAAATCAATAAGGTATTATTGTATAATTGTATTTTTAGTGGACGATAGGAAAATATGCTCCTCGTTTTAATGGTTTTCAACAGCATGATTCTCAAGAACTACTTAGTTTTCTTCTGGATGGTCTTCATGAAGACTTGAACAGGTAATCATTGGGAAATATTTTTGTTGACTGTCAAGGACGAACTTGAATGAAATATTAAACATATCTGACATTGTTACTCTTTTATGTCAACTCATCTATACTTATCATTTGTAGATTCCATTTGCATAACCAATTAACGGTTAGTAGTTGAAAGTTGTCTTGGCAGACATTTTACATACTTGAATAGTTTGGTTAATAACAAATAAGTTTTAGTAGTACAGATGTAGAATAAGTGGAATATGTAAATGACCAATTTCAAGCCTTTTATTTGTGATTTTGTATGTTTTGTTCACTCTACTATTTGATTGAGTTTTGAAGAGACATTTAATTATAATATACATATGGATTGTTTCAGGGTTCATAATAAACCATATGTGGAATTGAAAGACAGTGATGGTAGACCAGATTTAGTTGTAGCTAGAGAGGTGAATATTTCCTTTCTATGGGAGTAATGGAATAATTTTTAGATCTTGTCATTAAAGTGAAAGCTAACTGTCTTTTATCAATTTTATATCTTTATTAAAATTGGCAGCATTAAACAAACAAAAAAATTTTTTTTCATGATCATGATTTAGATAAGATTTACATAGTAAGAGTGTAACATATTTTACATAGTAAGAGTGTAACATATTTTACATTATAAGATTGTAACATATTTTACATAGTAACATTGTAACATATTTTACATAGTAACATATTGTACATAGTAAGATTGTAACATATTTTACATAATAAGATTGTAACATATTTTACATAATAAGATTGTAACATATTTTACATAATAAGATTGTAACATATTTTACATAATAAGATTGTAACATATTTTACATAGTAAGACTGTAACATATTTTACATAGTGAGATTGTAACATATTTTACATAGTGAGATTGTAAAATATTTTACATAAGTGGGATTGTAATATATTTTACATAGTAAGATTGTAACATATTTTACATAGTAAGATTGTAACATATTTTAAGATTGTAACATATTTTACATAGTAAGATTGTAACATATTTTACATAGTAAGATTGTAACATATTTTCATAGTGAGATTGTAACATATTTTCATAGTAAGATTGTAACATATTTTACATAGTGAGATTGTCACATATTTTACATAATAAGATCGTAACATATTTTACATAATAAGATTGTAACATATTTTCTCTTATATTTCTATTATAACAGGCATGGGAGAATCATGTGTTACGCAACCAGTCTATCATTGTCGATTTATTTCATGGACAGTTAAAATCACAGGTTCGATGTCAGGAATGTAGTCATATTAGTGTCCGCTTTGATCCATTTACAACTCTCTCACTACCTCTTCCTATGGATTCGTGTATTCATTGTGAAATCATAGGTAAGTATTACACATCTTTCACTTTCACTTTAAGGTCACATGTCATGGTCCTCCAGTTTTCTCCCACTGCCAAATATTGAAAATAACCTAGGTTGTGTTGAGTGGCAGTCAAACCCCATTTCTGTAGGGGTGGGTGGTTACCTGAAAATTTTCACAAGTTATTGAATTGAAATAGGTATAAGTAGTTGGGAAATGTATTGTTATTGTCATGGTAAAATACTTTTTGGAAAATCTATACTAATATTTGTGGCTGTCGTTTGTCTGTCTGTTTGTCTGTCTGTTCGGGGTTGGTGGCTATACTAGGTCTGCCCCGAGTCTGAAATTTGGGGTATAGGGGTAGCTCGGACCGGGGATAACATAGGCCAGGTTGCGTTAGTCTACCACTTCTGGTTTCGGGGTTATGACCTCCGAGCGAAGCCGGGCATTCTTCTAGTAGTGTGATAAATGTAGGTACTAATGGTTCTTTATTATGACATCAGGCTACATAACCTCTAAGCTGTTACATATCAAACACAATCTGATTAAAACACAGATCCTATTTCATTTCGTTTTTATATACTATTCAAAAAAAGTAGGGGATATTTGATTTTGGGGGCATAATACTAAAATATGCAAATGACTACGAAAAAAGTCACTATAGAACCTAACAGAAGAAACATTTCCAGTTACATGTGACGCCCAAACGCACCAATAGCTACCGCATGGAATGCAGGTGATGCTTGGGATCATCATGGGGGTCCAACCCAAGATTTGCACGACTCTGACTTTGAATGTTACAGTCATTGTGGCATTGAATTCCAGGGTGGAAACATCAGTTTAATTGTTTTAGTGACCAGAAAACAAATTTTGATATGCGTCGGCTTACCCAAAATGAAAGGTTACGTGCCCTTGGCATGCTACAGATCGGCACAACACAGGCGGTTGTGGCGCGGACGATGAATGTTTCTCAGTCTGTCATAAGCAGGCTATGGTCCAGATACCGTGATACACAATCTGTACAGGACAGACCACGCTCAGGTCGACCAAGGGCGACAACTCAAGCCCAGGATCTATTTATCCGTACCTTGGCCTTGAGAAATCGTGTCATCACAGCAAATCAGATCAGCGCTCGTCTTCAAACAGACACTGGTGCGAGAGTGAGTGGCCAGACGATTCGGAATCGACTGCATAGGGGTCACCTTCGCGCCCGACGTCCTCGCGTGATCCCTTGTTTGAGAGATCATCACATTCAGGCAAGACGTCGTTGGTGTAGGGATCGTCAACACTGGGATAATCGACGCTGGAGCAATGTGATGTTTTCAGATGAGTCAAGGTTCACTGTTGATTTTTTTGGACAGACGTAGGAGGGTGTGGCGTCGTCGAAACGAGCGCTTCCAAGACGTTCACGTCATCAGACATGATCGATTTGGGGGTGGTTCTGTTATGGTGTGGGGAGGCATCACTGTTGCTGGAAGAACGGCTTTACATGTTGTTGCAGGGCGTGTTACAGGCCAGTACTACCGGGACAACATCTTGGCAGTCCATGTTGTGCCGTTCGCACGACGTCATGGCCGCCGTTTCATCTTCCAGGATGACAACGCAAGATGTCACAGGGCCAGGATCGTTACAGGTTACCTCCAACAACAGAACATCACCACATTACCTTGGCCAGCACTGAGTCCCGACCTCTCCCCCATCGAGCATGTCTGGGACATGTTTGGACAGAGGTTACGTCAACGTCAACAACGTCCTGCCAATGTCCAAGAACTTGCTGCTGCGTTGCAACAGGAATGGGACAATCTGGACCAAAATGACCTTAGACGTCTCATTAGGAGTATGCCACGTCGGATCAATGCTTGTTTGGCAAACAGAGGAGGATTTACCCGTTACTGACTTGGTTGTGATGCTGTGGTAACTTTGCTGTTTGACCCCGGGTATCATATTACCCTTATAATGGTCAGTCTGTGCCTTACTTAGTCTAACGATCATTTGGAATAAATCGATGAATGTGAACTTCATTTCATTTTGTCATTTGTTTCTTCGTCAGTTTAATTAGGTGACTTTAATAACACTTAAAAATCAAATATCCCCTACTTTTTTTGAATAGTATAGTTCAAAATTTTGTTTTACTTGTCTTTACTACACTAGGATCTGGAAAAGTTGTTATCATTGACGTGTTCTGGATGGTGTGAGGGATTAGCCAATGGAACGGTCTGTTACGGCGAGTCCTCGGATTCTTGGCCTTTTTACGCACGGAACTGTTTGTAAACCACTAGAAACGTCAACGCTGATTGATTAATGATTGTCTGATGTCATAGGGTCAAAAGCCGCTCGTTTGACCCCTGATGTGAACTCCCACTATAACTGTTCAGATCTTCATGTAGTGTAGGCCATCGAAAGTATAAAAAAACGAAACAAAATATAGATCTGTATTTTAATACTTCCATTCATGATTTAATCATTAAATGGATATTTATTTTGTAGAAAACTGAAAGGGCTTTTACATGATCTAATATGTTTCTGTTAAGTAAAAAGAATAAGATTATGGCGACATTATGCTGCATATTTTAGAATTGTTATTCACAATCAAAGTTTGATGTAAATTTTTCGGCTAAACTTGAAATAACAATGATATGAAAAGTGGAAACAAAAAAATGTAATTAGAAATTTCATTCTAATAATTTTTTTCTAACATTATACATTTTTGGGTAATTTATATTTTAGATATATTGTCTAATGTCTAAGGGGGGGGGGGGGCTTCCTGAGGGGCCCACTTGCCATTGGGCAAGCTGACAACCTGGCCAGTAAGCGACTTCTCTCAATATTAACTTTTTTTTACTTTTGCAAAATAAATTCCAAGACATCTTCATTAATGGGACTCACAATTTATGGAGATATTTGTGAGTCTGGTTCCGTGACACTATGCTTTGTGTAGCGAACACAGATATAAATGGTTTATACAACTTATCATTGGATGTAGTGAACATATTCTAAATTGATACAGTTCATGCAATTAGTTCTGTAAAAAGAGTTGTTGATAACAAAACCTTTTAAAAATCCTTGTCATAATATGATTTATTGTGTAAAATATTCTAAAGGGCAATCATAATTCAAAAGTCTGTAAATATGATGACCAAATCAGTGTAATAGTATGTGTCTTGTTAACGGACATTCCAAAATGTTTTCCAGAAAGGATAAGCGTTTCTAGCCTCAGAACTTAGGGTTGAATAGATCTTCTGTGATGATCAGTATATGCATGTTCATCCATTCTATCAAATTTGAATGTCAAGTGAAATAATCATTGATAAGTTATTTGTAGAAAAATATTAGCAGTTTCTCCTTAGGGTAATAACTAATAATAGGATAGTAATTCTCTATCTTCTATTTCTTTGTCATAGATATATTTTTAGAATGCTAATGTTACTCAATATAATAATGATATTTATGTTTTGTCTCCAGTGTATACATTAGATGGATCAGTACCTATCAAATATGGCTTGCGTTTAAATATGGATGAGAAATATAAAACATTAAAGAAAGAATTAAGTGGATTAACTAATATTCCACCTGAATGTTTATTATTGGTGGAAGTAATGGGGCCTATAGTAAAGGTAAGACATCCTATACTTTATTTCTAGAAGGGCTTTTATTTCAATTAAATTAAACTTGAGCTGTGAAATTCTATTTTAAAAACTCAAATTACTTTTAGATATATCTTTCAAAAGAAGACCTAGAAATACTTTATATTTAAGAATGGTAAAAAGGGCATTATTTTAAACTTCTGCAAAAAAATGGGGGTGTAAGGAAGTAGTTAGCAATCAAATTTTTGAAGTTAGGGCCCTTCTAGGCATATAATATATGATATACATATATTAAATGCAATACTACAGAGCAGTACAATACATGCAGTTATGTTCAACATAATACAGTTAATTCCTCCATGTTCAATACATTTAATTAATGCATTCAGTACAGTCCTGTAGATGTACACTTCAATAATGCAGCCCTATTTAATTTAATGCATACAACCATGTTCAGTATATAGAGTAGTATTCAGGCTATACAGTCACATTTCAGTATCTATACATTGTACAGTCATATTGAGTATACATTGTACAGTCATTTATTATAGACAATCATATTCAAAACATACCAGTATAATCAGTCATCTTCAGTGTATACAGTCACATTCAAAACATACAAACTTATTCGGTATATACAATTGTATTTAGGTTATACAGTCACATTCAAAACATGCAAGCATATTCAGTATAGTCATATTCAGTAAATAATCACATTCAAAATGCAGTCACATTCATTATACAAAATCATATTCAGTATATATACAGTAACATTCAGAACATACAGCAATATCCAGGTATGTTCAGTAAATCATATCCAGTACATGTAACCATACTTTAATATATAAAGCCACATTCAATGCATACAGCCATATGATATACAGTTTATATATACAATGTTATACAATTTGATAATATACAATTCAATATTATAGCACAATGAATCATTTCAAGTTTTGAGATGAGCGAAGTTGATTTCATGCCATAATGCCTTAGCCTTCAGTTTGTGTAGAGTTAATTCCGAATTAGTTTTGAATTATTAAACCTATATAATCTGTACTTCACCGGTGCAACACTTGTATTACTCAACAGCAACTCAAACCAAAACTTGAAACTACCCAGTTTATATACATGCGGGGTATCAACATTTGGCAAAATTTACTGGATAATCAACCACATAAACCAAACTCCTGGTTACGCCTGGACAATGAAATTTTTTTGCTTAAGTCAAGTAATAGTTATGCACCTTCCCAAAATAAATCCCATAAATCAGGCATTATTATAAACAAACATCAATCATGACGACAAATTGAAGAGAGAATTTATACTATATAAAAATTAAGAGTGTTGGATATTGAACAGGCGATGCAAATAGATTTTTTTTTTTGGAAGTGCATCGATATCTTGTTTCAGGGCTAATTACCTCCCTTAGATTTTGTTCACGATAATGTAAAATACCGGATAATCTAGTCAATGCCATAGTTATTCTCAAATGTTGATAACCCATCCAGACTAATATTCATAGAATATTTGTCTGGATGATAGAGACTATGTACAATACAGATTTGTGAATTATGTTAACAATATGGTCTTATACCATAGTCATAAATCAATGTACATTGTACAGTAATAGATTTGTACAATGTAACCCACCAAAAATATTATGGTATTTACAAGTATTATTACACACTGGATGAAATGAAATATTATGTGCATTAGTAATGCAATACATAATAATAATATATTTAAGCTGTGTACAATACAGTAAATCATAATATGATGCTGTTTAAATACAAAGAAATATTTTATACTAAAAGCATTGTTATTTCAATGAATTTAACCCTGTATTTAAACTCCCCAATGGGGAATTTTAGTGTACAAAGTAGAAAAGTCAAACGTTTGAATAGATGAGACTGAAGCAAGGGATCTAGATTGCAAACCATCAAGTAATTCTTTGGAATTTTTCAATATCCACATTTGATTTATACCACTACAAGAGTATATTTTGTCACAGTATTTTTGAATACCCTCTTTAACAGCCATTAGTATAGATGTCAATACTTTTGAAAGTGGTTTTGTGGAACAACAGGATGAACCTGCTATAAAACGTTGCTTGTAGGGATTTTTATGTAGTTTAGGTATCCAAGGGCAGATCTGTATAGGTATCTCCACATGGAGTACCAAATGAAGTGAGTATAGATTTGTGATTGGATATAATTTCATCCTTACTAAGAGTAGATCGTTTATATGTAGCACTGTTGATTGGTTTCCCAAAAATTAAGTTCTTTGAACAGACAGTTTTATATATTTATTTTCTTAAATAATTAACATTAAATCTGCTAAAATGCAGACATTTAACTCGACAATAGTTAAATTTCTGCGTATCAAATTCATCACAAGAGTTTCCTCCCTTGCATAAAATTCATTAACTGTGAATCATTTAATTATTGTACATCTAATATACTATTCAAAAAAAGTAGGGGATATTTGATTTTTAAGTGTTATTAAAGTCACCTAATGAAACTGACGAAGAAACAAATGACAAAATGAAATGAAGTTCACATTCATCGATTTATTCCAAATGATCGTTAGACTAAGTAAGGCACAGACTGACCATTATAAGGGAAAAATGATACCCGGGGTCAAACAGCAAAGTTACCACAGCATCACAACCAAGTCAGTAACGGGTAAATCCTCCTCTGTTTGCCAAACAAGCATTGATCCGACGTGGCATACTCCTAATGAGACGTCTAAGGTCATTTTGGTCCAGACTGTCCCATTCCTGTTGCAACGCAGCAGCAAGTTCTTGGACATTGGCAGGACGTTGTTGACGTTGACGTAACCTCTGTCCAAGCATGTCCCAGGCATGCTCGATGGGGGAGAGGTCGGGAATCAGTGCTGGCCAAGGTAATGTGGTGATGTTCTGTTGTTGGAGGTAACCTGTAACGATCCTGGCCCTGTGACATCTTGCGTTGTCATCCTGGAAGATGAAACAGCGGCCATGACGTCGTGCGAACGGCACAACATGGACTGCCAAGATGTTGTCCCGGTAGTACTGGCCTGTAACGCGCCCTGCAACAACATGTAAAGCCGTTCTTCCAGCAACAGTGATGCCTCCCCACACCATAACAGAACCACCCCCAAATCGATCATGTCTGATGACGTTAACGTCTTGGAAGCGCTCGTTTCGACGACGCCACACACTCCTACGTCTGTCCAAAAAATCAACAGTGAACCTTGACTCATCTGAAAACATCACATTGCTCCAGCGTCGATTATCCCAGTGTTGACGATCCCTACACCAACGACGTCTTGCCTGAATGTGATGATCTCTCAAACAAGGGATCACGCGAGGACGTCGGGCGCGAAGGTGACCCCTATGCAGTCGATTCCGAATCGTCTGGCCACTCACTCTCACACCAGTGTCTGTTTGAAGACGAGCGCTGATCTGATTTGCTGTGATGACACGATTTCTCAAGGCCAAGTTACGGATAATTCGATCCTGGGCTTGAGTTGTCGCCCTTGGTCGACCTGAGCGTGGTCTGTCCTGTACAGATTGTGTATCACGGTATCTGGACCATAGCCTGCTTATGACAGACTGAGAAACATTCATCGTCCGCGCCACAACCGCCTGTGTTGTGCCGATCTGTAGCATGCCAAGGGCACGTAACCTTTCATTTTGGGTAAGCCGACGCATATCAAAATTTGTTTTCTGGTCACTAAAACAATTAAACTGATGTTTCCACCCTGGAATTCAATGCCACAATGACTGTAACATTCAAAGTCAGAGTCGTGCAAATCTTGGGTTGGACCCCCATGATGATCCCAAGCATCACCTGCATTCCATGCGGTAGCTATTGGTGCGTTTGGGCGTCACATGTAACTGGAAATGTTTCTTCTGTTAGGTTCTATAGTGACTTTTTTCGTAGTCATTTGCATATTTTAGTATTATGCCCCCAAAATCAAATATCCCCTACTTTTTTTGAATAGTATATCATGATGAAATCTAAAACCTGTATAAAGTGATTGAGTGAAATGTTGCTAATGCTGATACATAGACATGTACCATATAAATAATTAAAATACTGGTACATATAACCCTACAAAACTAGTGAAAATTGAGCATTTGTTCATTTCTCTTAATCGTACAATCGTCCATTGTTCATTTATCTTATACATGTAGTTATTTTTTTGTCCAAACAAGGCAACATTGGCAAACACTTGTAATTTAATAATGAATTGACGGCATTCTGCCAAACATGATATGCTCCTCAGCAGAACTATTCTTACACTTTGTATTCCCCTTCCACACTAAAATCAGTACATCAATTTTCATAGCCTTGGTAGGTGTAAGATTCTGACCTTTTATATGAAGTATGCTCACTATGTATTTATGCGGTTTTAATTGAAATAATTTGATTGTGACAAGATGGCTGCACCCTGCGGTGATTATAACAATCTGATCTGACTAGTACTATTATTTGATCACGTAACATTCTATTGGTTTCTGGAAGACAGATCTTGTCAGTAAAGAACCCGACTTCATTAGCCTCACTTGAAGCTGTCTCTAATTTGATTAATATAGCTTAATAATCGTCTTAATAAGTCTTAGTCGTCATTCCTAGGTCCTCTTAATTCCAGACTAAATGTCACGTACGATGCCGAATTAATTGTAAATTAAAGATAATGTTATGTATGTGTCTGGCTAAATTTTATTGTGTAATATGATTAACACCGTATGCTTAGATTTGATCATTAGATTACAGTGATAGCCTGTAGTTATGCTGGATTTCGTCCATCTTCAGACTTTCATTTCAAGTAGTCTGTCGGGTTTCTGTGTGTGTGTGAAGTAGATTTATTTAACATCAGCTTCTTTCTACTTTTATATATTTGGGAGGGTTTGACTTGAAAAGGTTTGGGCACAATAGCCTACCTTATAGGGGATTGTATTAATGGCATTTACATGATTTAATAGTTAAACTGGAAATACACATTGTTCAGTAATAAATAGTGGTTGTTTTCCATTGAAT